GTAATTTTACGTTGAAAGTTGTTTGTGTTTAATTCTCGACAGTACTTTCACCTCACATGTAAAAGCCAAATTAAGTTGATCTATTTTCTCTGAACAATTTAAATCAAAGATTTTGAACCTCGCCTTTTTTTCTTATTTCAAATAGCCTGACAACGACCTCACTGAAAGCCATTATGCTATACTTTAACCCATATCCTGCCAAACTTATTGCCGAATAAAAGAAAACAAATACCCCAAGACCGGCGAGCAAATTCCTATGGCGTGCCTGTTTATTTTGACAGATGTTTTGATGGCCCTCCATACTTCTTTGCCACACCAAAATCAAATCTTGCTTAACAGCCGCTCAAAATGTTCTCGTTCATGCTGGACCGTATCAAATAGCATTCTCGGTGTGTGTGTGTGAAAAAAAAGATACTTAGAATTTGGCGGAGTATTTGTTTATAATTACCCGTGGAAATTGCTGCACTTGAAATGTGTGTCGCTGGAGGAAAATCACGTTCAGCTGTCACACACCGGCTGAGGGCGTCGGTCCCGATAAATCACACGGGAAAGTTTACAGCCCAAGCTGATGTGTGCAGATGTGAAGTGTGGTTTAAGAGATATACTTTTAATTGAAGTTAGAAGAGGCCCTGACGGGAGACACTTGTTGGGGCCCTGTGTCAAAGGTCATCAGAAGTTGTTTATTGTGGCTGAAGTATGCACTTAACAAAAATTAAGCCACACAGGCAACGATGTTGACATTATACCAAATTATAGAGAAGAGAGAAAGGTAGGAAGGCTTTAAGTCACTTTAGAGGGAGATCGGTAATGTTTTGGATATTTATCACCGTATCGATGCTAATTTATTCACCACCCCTTTATATCACCCCCCCCCCCCCCCCCCCGTTTCCTGAAAGTTAGATCTGCCCCTGTTTTAGGGAATGATATTCCGGAAAACTGGAATGAACGGACGGTGACTTGGTCTTAGGCGCGGTTCTGGGGGGAAGGGGGCTTTAGCACCCCCACCCCCCAAAAAAGTTGTCTAGCCCCCCCCCCCACACCCCCCCCCCCCCCAAAAAAATACCATAAAAAAAATGGCAGTAGCCAATTTTGGAAGGTGACGACACAATGCGAATTGTTTCACCTACCCCCAAAAAATAGTCGTGAGAAGGGTGCATTTAGTATTTTATCAGCACTCACCATTGAAAATGTGGTACGAGCCCCATCCGCACCCCCACCCCATCCCCACCTATTGATTTTTGAAGTGTCCGGATAAAAAAAAGGTCTACATTTCAGCACGCCCCCCTGAAAAAAATTCTGGATCCACCGCGCCTGCTTGGTCCCTCTGCACGTTAGCATAATGTTGGAAATAATAGATCCGTTAAAATGTCATTTACCAAATGCATTAATTTCACTTTCAAAGATTGTGAAGTTCATCGAGCCGAAATAATTCTGACATTAAAAAACAGTTAAAGCAATGTGATTTCCCTTTCAAAATTAGTGCAGTTGCTATCTTACAGTGTTTTTAGTAATGAACAAAATAATTGAAGAATGAATTACAAAAAGACACATCAAAGGAGCAAATGTTTATTGGTAAAGTAATTTAAGTACTATTCATCAATCCTTATCGAAACTGAGTTCTTGACGATCAGTCTCCCATCGTATTATAATTGTTTTAATTAATAAACAAAGATCTTTATTTACCACAAATAATGATAGGTTTTAAGGAAATAAATTCACTTTCAGCCGAGGGCAAGTGCATGCATTCAAATCAAGAAATATGTAATGGTGGCCATCGCAAGTTATCGATTCCCAGGTTGCAACTAGCCTTTAGTCAAGGCCCACGCGTCTTTACCCGGCCACGTGACGCGCCCCGGATGCTGGCACGTATAAAAGACTACGCGAGGTAGTCTTTTTACGTGCCAGCATCCAGGGTGCATCACATGTTCGGGTAAAGACGCGTGGGCCTGGACTATAGACTAGTTGCAAGTGGCAAGCGGTTCAAATGAACTGTGGCAAACTTATTCCTTTCTCGTTACTGACAATCATATACTGAAAATGAAATGCATGTAAACAGTATTAATGACGTGTCTTTACGAAAATGGACGATGTCACAAACAAAATTAGAAACCCGTAATAAAATCAATTTTACGGTGCCTTGCAGTTTAAATGGTTGTTCTAAACTAAAACTGTTATTGCACATCAAACCATCAGACAGCAAAAGCAATCTACATCAACAACACTGTTTGCCAATAATTATGACGCCTGCCTCAAATATGCGTTGGTGAACGCGCATACTTTGGATATCTCTAGTTGGACTCGTATGTTGATACATGGGCCCGAGCCTCGCCGGCTGTAAATCAAAATGGCGTCTGATGGACCGGAGCGGAGTTTCTATGCTTCATCTGACAGCTATAATGGTCTTAGGCAGGCGCGGATCCGGGGAGGGGGGGGGTAAACCCCCCCCCCCCAGCTCTGTCAAAAAAAAATATCATACAAATTCCAACAAAAAAAATGCGACCCCCCCCCCCCCCCCTAGCTGTGACACCCCAACAAAATTATACTGGTATAATGTCTGCCTGTTCAAAATACGGTACACCATTCTGTTACCTAGTGTTAATAATCGTCGAATTTGAACAACACTCCCTATTGAAATATGGTACCAGCCCCCTTCCCCCCAGTTTTTGATTTTACGGAGGTCAATTGTCCAGAAAAAAACCCCTGTGTACATTTTCAGATTTTTTTGCTGATGAACCCCCTCCCCCCCTTCCCCGCGAAATTTCCTGGATCAGCCACTGGTAGGCCTACAGTGCATAGCCTACTCGGATTTTTTTTTTCATTTCATACACTATTTGATTGGTTAAAAATTTAAAAAGTATGAACACTGGCATTCCATACCAGACACTGCATCAACTACTGGTTTAATTCGAGTTAAATGTTACCAATTCAGGGGACGATTTTGGTTTAACAAATTTGATCACTGATATTTTATCGACAATCGGTTCAACATTACCACCATTATTGGTTAATTTGAGTTAAATTTTACCAGTTTTAAGGGAAAGAGTTAGGTATAAAAACAAATGATCACCGATATTCTACCGACAATCGGTTAAGCTATATATTGAGCTAAGAAAAACAAAAAAAAATTAAAATGTTATTTTAAATATCATCATCTTCAAGTTCGGCATTTTTTTTTAATGCAAACGTTTCATTTATATGCAACAAAAGATTTGGACACACACTCTTGTTTGTCTGTTAATATATGGGCAGTGCAAATAAGTCCTACACAAGTCATGGCAAAAAAACATCAAGCTGTTGAAGTACACTTTTGGTTGTCCTGGATTTTTCATCGGATGTAAACCTGAACACTTTATAATATGTTTGACTTGTTTTGTTTTATTATGTGAATTGGACAGCAGGATTTTAGGGCTACTTGCAATGTTCCTCTCCGGAGGTAGGAGTCACAAAACTCTACATTTTAGCCTCCAACCTGGAGCGGGGTGGTGAGCATGCCCTGTCCATCATATCAGTTTGAGGTTTTCGCAAACCACCATCATTTCCCAAAAGTCGGCTTCGCCTGTAGAGGTGGCTCGATCTCGGATTGTCCTCATTATCACGATTTGATGCTTATCAGCAGAAAGAGTACCCGATACTGTGATTGTGTCTACCACAAATTAGGAACCTAAAAAACGTCATGCAACTGGAGCCTTTAGCCGAGTCTGGGGACGAAGCCGTGGTTTAGAAAAATCCTTCACCCCACTGGTGGTCCGTAGCTCCTCGAATGCATGCGGCAGACGCGAACGGCTGCCGTGCAGTGCTTCATCTATAGACATAAACGTCGTAATGCGTTAAATTATGGACCAAATTTATCACGCGATGTCTTCTCATAAAACATAGCTGTGGGCTTTAATCACTGCCGGTGTCTAGCCGGGTTGACCCTATACGCAGCGCGTAGAACAGCCGGGGCTGGTAATTAATATTATGACATCTTGAATTCGGAAGGGAAAACAAATCGGTATGCCCCGAACGAGGGCGCCCTGTAGTTTCAAATTTAATATTAACTCAGTAAATTTCTCTTGAGAAGTTGTGGATACACCATGAGAAATGAAAATACAGGTGGTTTTGAGAAGAAATAGGGGGTGTTAACTTAACTGTTTAAGTTTCAGAAATTTTATTTTGATAAGAGATGCTTCGTGTTCATTTTTATCTTATCCTAAAGTTCGACTGGGTGTGGTTCTAATGAGGAGAGGATCCGTCTTGTTTCAATACTGCACGATGGGTAAACCATGACATGTCATATGACAAACTATTAATAGGCCATTTAACGTTTATAATTGTCTGCTCCGAGTTTCCAAAACAAAACTTTACTGGAGCGGAATTTGCAGAAATAAGCCATCAATCTAAATATGCCAGAGATCACGATAACAGCAGGGATGTAGTCGAGTCCGTCACAAGTCCCTGCAAGTCCGGTCACTAGTCCTCAATCAGTCCCAATTCAAATCACAAGCTATTCCATGAGATTTGAAAAAGGCATTCCAGATTGTTCACTCACTGTTTCGTGTGACTGCAGGATTTGTGAATTGACTTGGGATTGACCTGTGACTGGACTTGTGATGGACTTGTGGCGGACTTGACTACACCCCTGGATCACAGATTTAAATAGTCGAGTTCAGTGTGTACCAAATTCGATTCACAAATCCATTTACTAAATAAAAGTCAATGAACAATAACAAAGGAATGCCTTTGTTCTTTGAATTGCTCATGGTATGCCTTTTGTATGCTGGACTTTTGATTGACTTAAGCAGACCCCATCACACTACCTGATGACGCTAAATACGTTGGCAACGCTGCAGATCTGAAAAATGGCAATCGGCGATCACCGAGACAAAAGAAGAATGCGCTTCTTAAGCTGTCAGCGTCCAATGAACAAAGAGGCTAGCTAGTTTAAAGATATTGACCAAGTTATATATTTTCCATGTTCAACCTCGGATCCAATTAAAGTTAAGGTAGACAGACAATCACTGTGGTATGACCTCTTAGAGTGATTGACCTACCCTTTTCCCCAATGACTTGGATACAGGGATGAGAGAGACAGCATTCCTGTACGCTATCTCGTCGGCAGGACTGACCTATACCATCGCAAAGGCCTGCAGCCAAGGCTCTATGGAGAGATGCTCCTGCGATACCAGCTACTACTCGGACGAGGACAACCGGGAGACCTGGAAGTGGGGAGGCTGTGGCGACAACCTCAAGTACAGCCGACGCTTCGTGGAGCGCTTCTTGATGCCCAAGAAGGGCGGGCAGCCTCCCATCAGGGATGTACGGGCCAAGGTGGACAGGCACAACACTCACTTGGGAATCAGGGTGAGTCCAGTGTTGCACACCATTATTATGCCCAAGATTCTCCATGGGCTGCCGACAGACAGCGCTTCGTAGCCTAGAAATTAAACCACGGGTTGGACCTTTAATGCGAGGCGGCTATCGTTTGAACTCTTGTGCATTCAATCTTAACCCAAAGTTGAAACTGTCCTACCTCTATAGGGGCGACCATAATTGCACTAAATGTCGCCTCTAGAGGTATGCATATTTGTGTCGTCATTAGTACATTTGTTATGAGAGATACCATTACTGCAAAAATGGTCGCCCTAGGAGGTACCGGGGGTATGCATCTTTGTGTTGTCATTAGTACCCGACGACGACGACTCAAACATGCATATTCAGGACTTCCTCTAGGGGCCGACCATGGGGCTAGACCATGACGACACAAACATGCATACCTCTGGGCAACCATTATAGCAATACAGAGATACTGATGACGACACCAACATGCATACCACTATCTTTATTTGTGTCGTCATCAGTAACTCCAGGGGCAACAATTAGTGCAATAATGGTCGTCCCTTTGAGGTAGGCCTATGGTGTTTGTGTCGTCATAAGTACAATGTACCTCTGGGGCGACCATTGTTGCAAACATTAAAATTTTCCGTATCTTCATTTCAGCTTGTGGAGGGAAGCGCAAGAAAAGTCTGCAAGTGTCACGGTGTATCGGGGTCCTGTACGTCCGAGACATGTTGGCATCAGCTTGGCAGACTGCCGGATACGGCCAAACACCTCAAGGGCAGGTACGACCGGGCGGTCAAGGTGGAGCTGGCTAACTCGGCCCACGGAGACAACGAGCTGGTCCGGCAGGTAAAGAAGAAACGCAAGTCGTCCCGAGCTACCGGAGCCCCTACGACCGCATACGCGGACTCCGCTGACGAGGGGGAGCAGCAGCAAGGTCCGCGGAAGGCGGACCTCGTCTACATCGACCGCTCGCCTAACTTTTGCGAGGCCAGCCCGTACTCGCCCGGAACGCGTGACAGACAGTGTGACAAGAACAGCAATTGTGACAGCATCTGCTGCGGGCGGGGTTACAACATACGTAGCCTACTGGTCACTAGACGTTGTGATTGTAGGTTCCAGTGGTGCTGTGAAGTCATCTGCAACGAATGCACCACCAGAGAGGAAATACAGCTCTGTAAATGATAACTGGCGAATAAGCAAGCACAGTAATCATCCAGATTTACAAAGAAACCAGAATAAAACCCTCCGGGGATCTACATCATGAATGTGCATTTTGCGTTCACTGCAGACGCTGCTGGATATGGATACTAGCTAATTTCCTTTCAGTACCTCTAATCAAAGTTCTCTTACATAATGTACTTGTCTAAATATTGTGGTTATTTGAGGACATTTGGAGAGGTTGTCTTCTTTCACCATCATTCGCCCATGGCTCCAGCAGCTGATATTGTTCATCCTCCTGCAGTTCGCGCATGTTTCTGTTTCTTTTTGAAAATCTGTGATCTCTGTGCGCGATCATCGCACCAGCGAAATTTTTTCAGAGAAATCTTCAGGACTGTTCCTCAAACATCTAACTGTCTTATTGTTATTGGTAAAGCTGATGAATCTGTCGTTTTCGACACACAATTTGGCACCCGTGGCCCGATTTGTTCAATACTCTGTAAGCACTGGAGGGTTTTTTTTGCAGAGTAACATAAATAGCGCCCTCTTTCTGTTCCAGATCTGCTGCCACAAGAGGGCGGCAATCATGCTCACTCTCGATCACAGACTGATCTCTATGCAAAAATCACAGGTAATTTTTTTAACGTGGAAATCAGGGCTCTCGATCTTTCATGTTGTAAACAAGTAAATCGGTGGGTACACGCGAAACATTTCTAATGGATGAAGCCCTCTCTCGATGAGAACTTTAAAAAAAACTGCCCAGTAGCCATGCTCTCTATACAGCATACACTAACCCTAGTATATACCAGCATTTTTTTTAAACATAAAACATCTTGAAGCGAAATGAATCTGTTGCATTGTGATAAACACTTCATGGCATAAGTGACATTATAATGTTTATACATGTTCCACCATCTTTTTTTTTTACTTACATGTTTCACGTGTCATGTTATAAAAAATCACTTGGTATGTATGGTAGCACTAGCATTTGCTTATCATTGCCTTCCTGCGCACAAGGCTGATGTGTGTTATTTTATTTGTCTTACTTAAATTGGAGCCCATTTCATAAGGGTGTCATTTTTTTCATGAAACAAATATGTATATTTCCCGAATTTCCTAGCCCCATTTCTTCAATTGAACATAATGAATCTTCATCATTCTTGCCTCAATTGTTCATTACGTTAATAATATTTGGTTGATACTAAACATTCTTCATGGTTTATGTTTAAAAAAAATGCTTTATGAGACAGAATCTTTTAAATTTAAGCTTATGTATTCGCTGAAAACACTTAATGTCGTTTCTATAGAGTTTGTACATTATTTTATAAGAATATATTGTAATTAAAACTGTAAATATGTTTTAATGTAACGCTATTTTTTGTATATAAATGGAAATGTTTTGTAAGATGCAGCAACATTATACTTGTGTATTGTAGATTTGGATTAGTTATACTTATGTGTGCGTGGCAGATAAAGTAAACGTTGGCTTAGCTTTTTGTTTGTGTGCATTTTCTTGAATTTTTTGTCAAGGCATGTATTTCACAATACTTCCTCATATACAGGATCCGCATCATTTAAAGTGTACATGGGCCTTATTCAAGAGTCGGCCACACTGGATTGAGAGTGAGGTAAAATCTGGATTTTTGGAACTTGTGTAGAGAAATGTAAGCAAGTTTGTTACTAATTAATTCCAGTCTGCTTCAATGAATAATTTCAAATTTGTAATTAAACGTTCCTTAATGTTTAAAGCCAGATTTTAAAAAATGACATTAAAATAAGGCTGCATTATGCCTACATAAAAAGTCTGGCGCCATCCCATTCAACGGTGAATAATTAATGAAATACATTCAGGGAACTCGACAAAAAAGGCCAACTCGTGAATAAGGCCCACAGGCGAGTGGCTAGTTCCAGAACGCCAGCGTTGTGTCCTCTTAAGACTTGTTTAAGCCTAACCTTAAATCTGTGTGACGTTTAATTAGTACTTTCTAAATTACAAGCAGTAACTCTGGGGACCAGACGATTCAGAGTGAAAATCACTCTCATTTTAGATTGTAATACGCTGAAAAGGGAACCAATCCAGTAGAAACTCGAGTGAAAACTCGATTGTCTGAATGAATCCCGCTCCGAAACGGCTGGTCCCCGGTGGGAGTAAATTGCCTCTGGAATAGAGTGACTTTTCAGTCTTTGAAAATGAGAGAGCAAGTGTTTGATTTACGATCAACCATCCAGAGATATTCACAGCAAGCAACATATAAGGCAAGTCGGTTTAATTACACCAGCCAATATGGAGGAAAATACAAAAACAGATAGCATTACAAAAATTTTAAATACAAAACTTATATACACCTTGTAATAAAACTGGATAAATGGAAAAGTTTTACAAAAAGTCACACGAATTGAATTACAAACACGAATTTGAGGACGCCACTTTTGTTTCCAAATAATCGTCAACAAAGTGAGTGTAGTAATTGCTAATAATGTTACCTTACCAACTGTCTGAACTCAACATTTTTTTAAAATTTTAAATATCATTTTTTTTGTGGGGGGGGGGGGACAAACATGGGTTGTATTTAAATCCAAATTGTGGTAGAAAGAAAGCACTTGCGTTTTATAACCCAACCCCATTTGGATATTAGGCCTACAATTAAAGTTTGTCAAGCGAAGGGAGTACTTGAAAAGTCTGCAAGTTTTCGATTTTTTCCCCTCAAAAACCCGGTAAAAACTTTCGGAGAATAATTATGCTGGTCGGAAAATAATTATGCTTGGATGCCAAAATCCCCATTAATTGTCATTCGTAATAGATGGGTAGAGGGTAGTGTCGTTAAACATGTCAATCCACAAATAATGTTTTGAATGTGTTCCAGAACGTGCATTACTTTTAAGCAATCACTGAAGTACCCTTTGTGATTGTAGAATATCTATTCACGTATACTGCAACCTGTTGAATGTGAAGCTAAATTCATACTCGTTGGCAGTGATTGGTCAATATGTCAGAGGGCGGAGATGCATGGATCTACCTACTGATCTTTTATGGAAAGAGTTGGAGCGTTTGGCGTTGTTGGAAATATCCAGCATTATGGCCACAACCAGACTGATTACTACTATGCTGATGGGTATGCCAATCAAGACACTTTGTAGCACTGGGGACGGGGTAAAGTTTGACTGATACTTTATCTGTGACTTTGCCACAGCCGCTTTCCACAATTCCACTAATTTCTCATCCACGCCATCCAGCTGATGTCGTATGAGAACACAAATCCCCCGCACAAGAGCCCAGGTGATTGCCTTATTACTGTTCAAAATGACGTACTGTTCGTACCCTTTGCCGTGCCGGGGTTCGATTCCAATCCGTTTCATGACCAGTCCGATGAAGACATCGTCCCACGGCAGGAAGCGCACGTGTGGTGATTCGTAGTAAATGTCGGCCGCCACGTCTCCGGACATCACGAAACAGGAGCCCGGGAAGAAAGGCGCGTAGGTGGCCTCCGGATAGAGCTCCTTGGACGTCAGCCACTTGTGGTTGTGCTGATTTGGCTTCCGGACCGGCTCCGAGTTTCTCCGCAGACTTCCCTCGGCGTAGCTATGGCGTGGTTTGTCCAGCAGCCGCCTGACTAGATTGAATGTATTTAGCATGACGTCTGCGTCGGCACTGGCAACGTAGGTAGCGTTGGGGCAGTACGTTGCCACCCACTTCATCCCCATGATGTTCTTGATGGTCAGGTTCTGGTAAGCGTCTAAGAAATTCTCCTGGATGATGTCGTTGAAGCGCTCACTTTCCTCACGGATCGAGCGATTAAGCTCCGGGTCCCGGTTCAGCCCAAGCAAAAACAGAGTGCTGGTCAGTCTGCCAGATACCGTTTGCGTACCGCCCCATGTCCGGCGGATCTGCTGGCGATCGTAGACATCACCCGGCGCACTTTTGACGAGGATCAACAGGAATGGCTGGCCGCCATCCGAGTCGTTCATGTATTCACAACGTGTAGGGTTAGCTATGATGAAATTGTAAGGGTGAGGATTGATGATATCATCGCTGTAGAGTGGCTGGTGGTGGCTAGGCTGAGTATCATCACTGTCAGTGTCGGTAAGCGATTCCTCGGTCTCCGGAGATTCCAAGCTCCTAGGTGAACTAGGAATCATGTACAGACAGCAACCCACTGTGATCGTGAAGATCACCAACGCAAGCTTTCGCCTGAGCTTCTTTCTCCATATCCTTCCATTCATTGTGTTGTCGTCCAGTCCAATTCGGTCAGCATGGACAGCGCCAGCGCCATCCTATTGCATACATGTATTAACCCACTCAGTCCACACGAAGCGCACTCCCGTCAAATGGCATTTTCTTATTTATGCACGACGACATAGACAAGAGTAAGCGTCGAGTCCTATTCTACACGTGTATATGCAGTATGTACAGTATGTGCACGCAGTTCGTCATTGTACAAAGATGGGAACACAAGATAACATCGAAAAATGGTCAAAGTCTCTCATTTTCGACGACTGTATACAATCATCTGGCCCAAACAGGAACAGCGTTTATGAGTTAAAGGTATTGGCGTCCGTGATATTTCCATAATGGCTCAAAACGCAGAATGGTTGCGAAATGCATCTCCTCGTTGCATGAATTGATATCGTTCCCTGCCAGAGTGGCGCTGTCTAATGCCTTGACCTGAATGACCTCCGACCTACCGTATTGTTGACAATGCAGGCCTTGAGAATGGAATTCCATTCAATCTCTGTTCGCCAGCCACTGCGGCGGTAGTACATGTACATGTAGTGCTATAGGCATGCGCACTGTCCACAGTGAAAGTTTTGTAAAACACAAGAAGTGAAATAGACCGTGACTCCATTCCATTCAAACCACTCGTGAAAAGGGAACATTTTAGACAGGATCTTGACCAATTAAACATTCTTTTTAATTGCACAAAAGTCATCCAAAGACTTTATTCAAAGTAAGTAGTTTGCAGGAATTTGTTTGCCAGAGTGTCCATTTTATATGAAGTCGTGGAGGGCAATATTACCCTTCGCTTGTATGGCGCCCTCAAGTGTAATGGACGGAGGACAATGTACGTTACTTTTCTGCGCATACACTGCAGCAGTTTGAAGAATAGATGAAACTCCATTTTAAGGTAAATTGCAATTTATTTCAGATGACTGTTTTAAATGAGAGGAATGATCAGAGTATCAGAGCAAATCCTTTGCGAAGTTTCATGAAACCAGAGAAAATGGCGTCCATCGTGATCTAGGCACTGAACATTTTAGGCAGTATATAGTGTTTGTTCCGAAGTTAAGGTTTGTCATTAGTACTCATCTTCAAAGGAATTGAACGCTTAATAGATATTACCGTACGCGTTTCTTGTTAACAAAAATTTACCTCCAGTTCATCCAGTTTTCATGCCAGCTTCAAATGAATTAAAGCCCATCCAGGCACGTCATCGGGGGCTGGATTTTAGTTTTCTCGGGCCTAAACTACAATTTGTCATGGAGCGTGAAACGTCCGCAAAATGTTTGAAACGCAAAGACAGCGCACAATTTATACGAGGTACAATCTAGACATCCTGGGAGTGATCGGCGAGTGCAGATAGAGTGACTGTTTCATGACGCAAGTTGACACTATTAAAGTGAATGTTCAACCATCCTTTTCTTAGTGTTGACGACCATTCCAGTGGTGTTAGCCTAAGTTGTTAACAAGAGCACAGCTAGATCTCTCATCGAGTGGGAGTCAGTCAGTGGTAGGTTAATCAGCTAGAGCACGCTTTGACTCCTTATTAGACTCACCATCCTGCAGCTATGGCCCTACCAACGAAATTAATCGAGGATCGAGGATATGACTAGCTGTAATTACGTGCAGCTATACAACAGGCAGTCTCCAAATGCCCTCAACATGACATGCTGCTGATTATTGGAGATCGGAATGCTGAAGTTGTAAGTGATAACACCGATATGCTATGGGGCGATGTGGCTGTTAATGTTAATGTAAATCAGCAATGATAATGGCGAGAGGCTTGTGGAACTTCTGCACCACCAACATGCAGATGTGTGATAGGTGGCGCCATCTGCCCCCACAAAGACATCTATAAACTAATACATGGAAATCGCCCGATGGTCACACTGTCAATCAAATTGACCACATCATTGTCAACAAGAAGTGGCGAACATCCTTCCAAGATGTAAAAGTTCAACGTGGGGCAGATGTTGGCAGCGACCACTACCAATGTCTATGGCCAAGGTTAGGTTAGGTTAAAGCTATGAGAAACATTAAAGCATCAGCGACGCAAAGTCCTTGACATTATAGCAAGCTTCGCTCACCTGAGACGAAGAGAGAGTTTTATCATCCAGCTGAGAAATCGCTTTAGTGCACTTCAAAATGAAGAGGAACAAGATCGAGATAGTGTTGAAAAGTCACGAGGTAAGATCAAGAGTGTTTATAAGGAAACGGCAAAAAGGGTCATTGGCTACAGGAAGAAAAATCAAAGGAGTGGGTAATTAACGACAGGAACATGGCACAAATCGACGAAAGAGGGAAAGCCAAGGATAAACTAGTAAGTGCACGGTAACCAAGGCTGATCAGTGGCGTAGCACGGTCATTTTAATTTTAATTTAATTTTCACGATACATGCGTGAAATTCACAAAAAGGCACCAGGAACGGCGATGGCACAAAATAAGGGCACCACTTGGTTTTAAGAAGGGGACTTGTTCAGAAAAAAAAAGGAAACTTCTTAAAAAAAGGGCACTCTTTACAACTTATTTTTGGGGTAAGCGCTGGGGGAAAAAAAGACATTTGAATGGAAAAGGGCAGTCTTTACAAAATGTTGGGGGAATACCCCCCTCCCGCTGGCTACAGTGCTGATTGAACGGGATAAGGAAGAGCCTTTGAGAGCCTTTGTTGAGGAAATGGCAAGTGAGGGAGCACGCTGCAGCACCGTGAGAGCTGAGCAAGGGGGACAAGATCACAACACAACCCTGCGGTCAACTGAACAACATCACCATACCAGCCAAAGACAAACAAGAGAAAGTGATAACGACGCTCTGGAAGCAACTTGCAAGATAGGCTCAACACTTCGAAGAAGTGCTGAACAGACCGGAGCCAGACTGATGCAGACCCACCACCATCTGATGCTATTATCGGCATTGACATCAACCCACCAACTGAAGAAGAGGTTCTGGCAGATTCAGGGCCATGAAAATAATGTGGTAATATGAGCTACTTCAAGTTAAGGTTGATCTCACCACAGCTGCCACAGTTCTTAAAGACCTCTGCAAGACGATCTGGGAACATGATATCATCCCACAGGACTGGTGCAATGCCTCATTTTCAAACTGCCCAAAGAAAGGAGACATGACAAACTGCGACAACGGCGCGAGGGAGGACACTCATCTCTATTCCCAGCAAAGTGTTCTGCAAGATTCTTCTCGGGAAGAGATCAGATAGTGGCATTACGCTGCGGCAGGAGCAAACAGGGTACGTTCCGGAGGGGGAGAGGGTGCATCTGTCAGATTTTGTTCTCAGTGTGTAAGATCGTCGAGCAGTACTTGGATTGAAACTCACCTCTATACATCAACTTCATCGACTTCAAGAATGCATTCGATATTCATGTAGTACGTATATCCATTGTGAGTGCCTGTGAAAGATATTGAGGGCCAAAATAGTCACTTTACTTGGGAAATTCTACTAGCACTTCAAATGCAGTGTGTTTCAACCTTGACAACACTCTATACAGAGTCCTTCAAGTGAAGTCCGAAGTCAGCGGGGTTTGCATTATTTCGTCCATCCTATTCCGCATTGCGAACGATTGGGTCAACATCCAGAAGAAGACTGACAGACTCAATGTATATACTCCACAGACAGGCCTTTTTCAATACCTTTGGACTGTTGAAATGCTAAAAGAAAACCTCAAAATCGTCTTTTTTGTGGTTTTTCAACAGAAAAAATCTTGGGGGAAATATCCAATGCCCCCCGGACTACGGTGGGGGATATATCCTACCCATCCTCCCTGGCATTTATGCCCCTGCATATACCCAAAAGGTAATCTCAATTTCAAATACAAAGTCGATGTGCATTATTGTCTGTTTTATTCCACCACTTGCCTTCCTATATACAAATACAGCTATATTTACTGCATGCAGTTTTATAGTCGACACCCGAAGAACTTTGGCCTCACCTGCAGCTTGTATTTCAATACAATCACAGATAATAGCCTAACCTCAAAGATATATGTGGCACAGTTTACAAACCGACAATACCCTTTCACAATTCACAATACACAATTCACGTACCCTCAATTGCATGTACTGGTTGTGGTTGAAGAATATTTTCTGGGCATAGTGAGTGAGTCATCAGGCATCAGTGACGAAATTGGGTGTTCGGCGATTGCAAGGCTTCTTATACACACACTGAATACATGTATATTCGGAATGTTGTGTATTTCTCCACGATGGAAAAAACAGGCCTAATTGAATAGTTAGTATCACGATGTTGGTGTTTCATGAAGGAAATTCTACGTTCACGTTTAAGCCTGTCACGCTCTAGGATTACTGGTGTATTTTTTCCTCAATGCAACTGAGGCATCCTGTTCACTTTGCACTCGTGAAGGGCCGAAGACGCCATCTTTGTTTAGAATCTTAGTGAAGGAGACGTACAGTCCTTGATGTTGGTACATGCTGTGCACCACGATGCTCAGCGGGAGGAACACGAAGCGCCTGCTCCGATCCGTCATTGTCATATACTTCATCATTTGGTTCTTTTTGACAGTGTCGAAAAATGACAGTGACACCGCGGTTTTCGTGGCCGACAAGGCGTTCACGGTGGGCCCCGAGTTTCAGGACGAAAGGAGCGTCATTCACCACCAACCCAAGCATGACGGCAAGATGGACTACATTGCAAACCGCGATAGATTGTCGTTTGTCACTTCAAACAACATCAGTAACTTCAGCCGAGCTAACTCGACTCTGAGAAAAGATAGACCTCTGTACAGCGACAATATTATCAACCCACACCCTTTCCATTTTACCTTATTCAACCACAACGCCTGTACGAATGCTATGCATGAGTGGGCGTTGCCCCTGCAATTGTTGATACTCGTTAAGTCCAGACCGGAAGATATCTATGACCGGCAGCAAATACGGGAAACCTGGGGCGGGGCGCAGAACATCTCAAACCAACTGACTCTGACCATGTTCCTCTTGGGCCAGACCCCAAATGCAACAGTCATTGATGAGGTGTCACGCGAAAGCCTCCGCTTCGAAGATATCATTCAGGAGAACTTCATAGACGCTTACACTAACCTGACCTATAAAACCATGATGGGTCTGCGGTGGGGGGCCACATTCTGCCCGTTCGCTTCCTTCGTGGCCAGCGTAGACTCTGACATCATTCTCAATCTTCACAACCTCCTTCAGCGCCTTGCCGATAAGCCACGGCACGGCTTCGCAGAGGGGAGCCTCAAGACAAACTGGACGCCGTACCGTGACGCCAAAGGGCAACACAAGAAGTGGTACACCCCGGTGGAGTTGTACCCGGAGCCCACCTACCCGCCCTTCTTTCCCGGTGGATGCTACGTCATGTCCGCGGATGTCGCTGCCACGATCTACCGTGAGTCGGTTCACGTGCGCTTCCTTCCGTGGGACGATGTGTTCGTGGGTCTCGTTATGCAACGAGCGGGCATCACGCCTCGTGACGGTAAAGGCTACCAGGTCTACATCCCGTTGTCCCGATACCGAACGCTGATGATCAGACTTGCCCTACAGAAAGGCATCGCAGTCATTACCAAGCACAACTCCAAGGCCGTCGACCAGCAACTGATTCTGATGTACCAGAAAGCCATGCAAAAGTACGTGCCGCGCCGAAAGACATCGCACCTTAATTTGTCATCGACACCACGAACTGACACTCACGCGCAAGTGGGTGTCAGTTCGTGAAATCACCCGTAAGGCCAACAAAAAAGTCTCCGGTATGGAATGGCGCGCGCGTCGCCGTAGCCATGCGCGTCGACAAAATTCAAAGTTTTTTTTTTCAATTAAAGATGATGTTTCCAAACCGCCAAACTCACTGGTTTGACCGGAATCCTGCTGCTGCACAATTTTAACGGGTTTTAGATGGGGTTACAATCAAGTATAAGCTTTATGATGCTTCTCTTGGCTCCCATATATTTTTGCACTAAATTTAGTCGGGCACCATTTGCAGTCATCAGCCGACATTTAAAGGGGAAAAAGTAAAAAAAAAAAAAAAAAAAAAAAAAAAAAGCCGAGTTGCCGCACCACTTTTGGGGCAAGCTCCATACCAGAAACCGAAGACTTTTTGGGGGCCTAATCATCAATTTCGGTTTCACTAACTGACAACCGGTAGTGTGCGCGCACATCGACACTGACGCAAACTAGGAAGATTTTCGTTTTCCCGAACCGACACGTATACCCAAGCATGATGCGGCAATACAGAACGAAAAAAAAAACGGTTTGAAAAGTTTTTGCACGAATTTAATCAAAAACGCTTTAATTGGTGAAATTAAGGTTAGTGTCAGTTCGTGAAACCGAAAATGTACGGAGTGCGCTCTAAAAGTGCCGCACTGTGGAGGATGTCAGTTCGTGAAACCCAAAATACCCCGGTTCTGTAAAATACGCGCGCGGGCAGCGCACTCACGCGCAACTAAGTTTCAGAATAGCTATAATAATTTGTTATCGGCCTTTAATTTGGTCGCCTTATGGTGCTTGTTAATTGTTTTTATCTGACGTATCTGGCGGTTTATTTATGTTATGTTTTTGTACGTCACGGCATGACCGTATATTACCCTTATTTTTCTTGAACAATTCAGTAAACCTTATGTGCAATGGAGTACAAAGTGTACTTATAGTGGAAATCAGACAAACCTATTTTCGAAACAGAAAGGGAAAGATTTGAGATGGAGAACTCAATGTTTTGATGCAATCATTTTTTAATCTAAAAAACTGGGCGCTTATGTTTTTATTCTTGCAAGAACGAATTTCGGGGGTCAACATTTTTACTATCAAAAATCGAGCTGCTTAATGCTTCGGCTAGACCACGATGACAGTGTTATAGTCGAGTCCAGCGTAGGTCCATCACAGTTCCGATCGCAAGTCAACTATAGGAATGAACAAAATAACAAAAGAATGTCGTCGTTCTTTGAAAAGCCTGTGACTTGTGATACACCCACCACACTGCACGAAGACGCTATTAACATTGGCAATGCTCCAAATCTGGGAAATGGCATTCAGGATTAAAAAAAAATCATAAGAGACGATGCACAAGCTGTCAGTGCCCAATGAAAAAATTGGACTTAGAGATATATTGCTGAAAGATACGGAGCATGGATTGGTAAGAAAGGATAGTTGATAGAGCGCGAATTCCGGAAGTCGCTGGTTAAACTCCTTATGCAGCCATTTTCTATGTTCAACCTCGGATCAAATCGAAAGTAACTAGACAGACTCTCACTGAATAATGACTTCTTAGAGGGATTATTGACGGATACTTTTTTTCCAAATGAACTAGATACAAGGATGAAAGAGACGCGTTCAACATTCCTGATGTACGCCATCTCTTCGGCAGGATTGGCCTATACAATCCCCAAGGCCTAAAGCCAAGGAAATATGGTGAGATGATCTTGCGATACCAGCTACAACTCGGACAAGGACAGCTGGGAGACCTACAACTCGGGAGGCTGTGGCAACAACCTCAAGCACATGTACAACATGTACATGTACAGCCGACGCTTCGTGGAGCGGTTCCCGATGGCCGTGCAAGAAAGGGCGGCCAGCCTCCATACAGGGACGTAAGCGCCAAGGTGCACAGGAACAACAGTCACTTGGGATTCAGGGTGAGTCCAGAATAACTCCATAATGCCCAAGATTCTTCATGGGTTGCCCCTAGAGGTATGCCTGTTTGTGTCGTCATCAGTACACAGGGGCCGGTGACCATTATTGCAATAATACGCTAAAGTATAAGCACGGATTTTTTGCTATGGGGTAAGCAGAACCATGACATTTGGCCCAGTACGCAATAAAACTAAACTTTTCCGCATCTTCTTTTCAGGTTGTGGAGGGAATCGCAAGAAAAGTCTACAATTAGTCACGGCGTATCGAGTTCCTGTACATCCAAAACCGCGGGACAGACTACTTGGGACGGCCAAGCTCCTCAAGGACAAGCATAAGACCGGGCGGTCAAGGTGGAGCTTGCCAACACGGCCCACGGGGACAACGAGCTGGTCCGGCAGGTCAAGAAGAAACACAAGCCGTCCCGAGCCACCGAAACCCTAACAACTGAGGATTCGAACGCCGCTACCAAGGGCGACCAGCAGCAAGGTACGCGCCCAAGACCGACCTCGTCTACATCGCAGAGTTGTAATGACTCGAGTTCGACTCGAGTCTCAATTTTTTGGCGACCCAACTCGACTCGAGTCCCAAAGGGTAATTCACTCAACTCGACTCGAGTGACTCGACTCGAGTCCCTTATCAGAAGACTCGACTCGACTCGAGTCGAAGGCAATAACACTCGAGTCCCAAAACTGTTCGAAAACATTATTTGCGGTGACTTACGGCACAAAGTTAGGCCTATTATGTGCGCGTACTTTGGAACATTATAGAACCTTTCCGTGGCAAGTTTGGCATTTTGTTAAGCTGGGTTGACCTGAATGAAACCCTCCGATGTGCTACAAGAAATAAGATTTTGGGGTTTTTGCCGACGCTTAGCCAATTCCTTTCAGTAGCCCATATCAAACGTCTCATGCAACATGTCTAAATATTGTAGTTCCTGGAAGTCATTTTGAGAGGTCGTCTTCAGTCTATACCTTGAAAATCGCCCATGGCTTCAGCAGCTGACACTGTTGCTCCACCTGCAGTTCACGCATATGTTTTTTTTTGTATCATTTTGAAAACTATCTCTTCTTTGCGGATCGCCGCATCAGCAAATTTATCTGCGAAATGTTCTAGGCTGTTCATAAAATACTTGCGTATGCACACTGTTCCCAAAGCTAGTTTGTTGTTTTGGGGTGAAGCCTAGTATTTGCCGTCTTCTACAAACCACCGATTCATTTTGAGGCTTATGAGCATTGAATTTGTTCGTAGAGTATAATAATATAGCGCCCTCTTTCTGTTCCAAATCTGCTGCCACTAGAGGGCGGCAACCTTGCTCACTCTCAATCTATTGAGTTGAAAACACCGATCTCCGTGATTTGCGAACAAGCAGATTGGTAGTACGAGGACTCGTTGAAAAATTTGTTTAAGCCAGGGCCTGGTAGCTGGATGTTCCCTGTACAGGATACATGCACCCGAGTACCAACATTTTTTTAATAACATGTGGAAGCAAATAGAATCTTTTGCACTGTGAAAAACATTTCATGACATAAGTGACATTATGTTAATGCTGTACCGCCATCTTTTCCTGGCACGTTTCAACTGTCTCATAAAAAGGGAACTTTATAGGGACCGTCAGGATTGAACACTTATACGGGATACGTAGGTGGCTTGGGTAGAAAAAAAAGCTATGTCACCATTTTGTGCGGTTAATATTCCACCAAACAAAAATTAAAAACATCTTAACTTTGTGATGTGAAATACATGAACACATTGCCAATAGTGTTCCAGATGGAATAGCCACACAAAGAATATGATGTACCGAGCAAATGTTACAAGTTGTAAGCCTATACGTATCCCTACGGGCTCAATTTCTAATGGTCCACGGTCCCTTTGCTGCCTTGGTATGGGAGTGTGCACGTTTGCTTATCGCTGCCTTTCTGCCTGCGCACAAGACTGATGTGTATAATTATTTTGTGCAACAACAAAATGGAGACCATATTGTCACAAGCGTCGGTTTTTATATTGCAGAATGTGTACATGTATATCTCCCGCATTTCCTAGTCTTATTTCTTCAACTAAACATACAAGACAGTCATCATTCATGCCTCAAGTTAATGATTTGTTCATTCCGTTGTTTTGGGTTGATATTATACCATCAATATGTAAGATCTTAAATTTTAGTAGCACTTTGTAGCAGGTCATGAGTTAGAGCAAAATCCCCATGAATAGGTTTTAAAAAACTTTATATATTCTATGTCCAAATTTGTTTTGTGTGAAAATTCTATTTAATTTAACCCTATATATTCGCTGAAAACACTTGAGTTATATTTGTTTCTGTAGAGTTTGTACGTTATTTTATGAGAGTAGAGTTTGTACTTTATTTTAAGAGAGTATAATATAACTGTAAATATGTTTGAATGTTACGCTATTTTATGTATATATGGGTTGGAGTTTGACTGATACTTTTTCTGTGATTTTGCCACAGCCGCTTTCCACAAATCCACTAATTTCTCATCATATTCCTGGGCGGCGCTATAGGATATTTGATTGATATCGTCCCCTACCAGAGTGGCGCTGTCTCAAGACCTGGCCCACCATCGAGAAAGGCCTCACCGCGGACTAGCATCCCTCTCCACATACCTTAGACAGTGGAGACTAAAACTTGGTGTCGAATAAACAGCCGCTTCTGCATTCCACCTGCACAATAAAGAGGCAACCAGGAAGATCAGTGTCTCCTGTGAGGGAAGAGTCTTGAATTTCGACCCCACTCCAACATATCTCGGCGTTAAACTTGACCGAAGCCTAACATAATACTGCCTGAATAGTAAAATCAATGCTCGATGTGCCATCATATCATCAGGCGACTGGCATGTGTCGACTGGGGTGCAAACACCACTACGCTGCGAACTTCCACACTTCAAGGGTGGATCCAGGGGGGGGCAAAGGGGGACATGCCCCCCCAAAAAAAAAAACGAGACCAATTTTTTTTTTATGTGACATCGCAATAAAGGCAGGCAATGAGTACACCACCATCTTTTCCTCAAAAAAACATTAGTTAAAGTGGTCAGAAATTGCCTCAGATCGCACCACAGAGCATTTAGAATCCAACAAAATTTCGGGGACCTTAAGCGGGCCCCGAACCCCACGCCGTAATTTTTTTGATCCACTTTTTTGGGGGTCCAAATTTTTTTGGGCCCCCCCAAAAAAAATTGTGTTCTGTATCCGCCCTTGCCACACTTGCGCTGGTATACGCTGCTGCAGATTACTGCGCTCCAGTGTGGAATAGAAGCGTACATACTAAGAAGCTGGATTCAAGCCTCAACACTGCGCTCAGCATCATTTCAGTCCTGGGACAAATCCCTCCGGCGAACATCCGCAGACATTTTGCAACCCTGAGGCTTGCACTCAGAGCGCTCGAGGAAGAACACCTGCTACACACCAAGCTTACGAATGAGGGAGCCCGACGACTCAAGTCCCGCCACCCATTCTCATCGTCTGCCAAAGAGCGACTGCAGGATTTCTCCCAAGCAAACACGGCATCCTGGGTTGCAGACAAATGGGAGCAATCATGGTAAGGGTCCACCACGCGCCTTCATCAGTTCGTCGAGGACCACACCAATATCAGTGGAATAGATCTAACACGCAAGGCCTGGACAAGACTAAACCGCCTTTGAACTGGCGTGGGGCACTTCAGAGCCAACATTGCCAATTGGGACCTTGCAGACAGTGCCACCTGTAAATGTGGGGCTGCAGACCAAACTATACCCGATTGCCCCATCTACCGATCTCCGCATGGTGCAGACGGTATAAATAACTTGGACCAGGAGACCAAATTATGGTTGATCCAACTGCAAGTTGATATCTACCCGACAAATGAAAGAAGACGAAGTCGATCGGATGTGAAAAAATGTCCCAAAGTCTTGTGTAGAACGAAATCACGTGTTATCCTATGGGGGAAAAAGTGGAAAAAGAAGGGGAAAAAGAGAGAAGAAAAATAACAAAAACAATAGCTGTTTCGGTGTGTATCCCGTAACAGCTAAAAAAAAAATAACAAAAACAATAGCTGTTTCGGCGTAAACCGAAACAGCTAACAAGAGCTGTTTCGGTTTGTACACCGACGGTTTGCACACCGAAACAGCTAATAACAAAATTAAACAACAGCAGTTTTGGTGTGTACACCAAAACAGTTTAAGAGAAAAACAAATAACAAAAACTACACCGAAACAGCTAATTAAATACAAAGTCAATGTACGATACGTTTCAATTTCACAGATATGACCCCAAGGTTATAATGCACAGTTTACAATCGAATTCACAATACCCGATCGTCGCATACTCTAGTTGTGATGGAAGAATGGGTAGTGAGTGAGTCATCAGAGTTGCACTTGTGAAGAGCCATAGCCGCCATCTTTGTTAAGAATCTTAGTGGAGGAAATCTGTCTTTGATATCGGTTCGCGCTGTGCATGCACTACGATGCTCAACAGGAGGAACACGAAGCGCCTGCTCCGATCCGTCATTGTCATATACTTCATCATTTGGTTCTTTTTGACAGTGGGGAAAAATGACAGGGACACCGCGGTATTCACGGTTGGCCCCGAGTTTCAGGACGAAAGGAGCGTCATTCACCACCAACCCAAGCATGACGGTAAGATGGACTACATTGCAAATCGCGACATATTGTCCTTAGTCAACACTTCAAACAACAGCAGTAACTTCAGCCAAGCTAACTCGACTCTGAGCAAAGATAGACCTCTGTACAGCGACAATATTATCAACCCACACCCTTTCCATTTTACCTTAATCAACCACAACGCCTGCATGGACGCTATGTATAAGTGGGCGATGCCCCTGCAATTGTTGATACTCGTTAAGTCCAGGCCGGAAGATATCTATGACCGGCAGCAAATACGGGAAACCTGGGGCGGGGCACAGAACATCTCAAACCAACTGACCCTGACCATGTTCCTGTTGGGCCAGACCCCAGATGCAACAGCAACCGATGAGGTTTTACGAGAAAGTCTCCGCTTCGAAGATATCATTCAGGAGAACTTCATAGACGCTTACACCAACCTGACATATAAAACCACTATGGGTATGAGGTGGGTGGCTACATTTTGCCCGTTCGCTTCCTTCGTGGCCAGCGTAGACTCTGACATCATTCTCAATCTTCACAATCTCCTTCAGCGCCTTGCCGATAAGCCACGGCACAGGTTCGCAGAGGGAAGCCTCAAGACAAACTGGACGCCATACCGTGACGCCGAAGGGCAACACAAGAAGTGGTACACCCCGGTAGAGTTGTACCCGGAGCCCACCTACCCGCCCTTCTTTCCCGGTGGATGCTACGTCATGTCCGCAGATGTCGCTGCCACGATCTACCGTGAGTCGGTTCACGTGCGCTTCCTTCCGTGGGACGATGTGTTCGTGGGTCTCGTTATGCAACGAGCGGGCATCACGCCTCGTGACGGGGACGGCTACCAGGTCTACGTCCCGCTATCCCGCCAAACACTGATCAGACAGGCCCTACAGAAAGGCATCGCAGTCATTGCCAAGCACAACTCCAAGGCCGTCGACAAGCGACTGATCCTGATATACCAGAAAGCCGTGCAAAAGTACGTGTCGCGCCGAAAGGCGTCGCACCATAATTTATCAGAATATCCATAATGATTTTTATCGGCCTTTAATTTGGTCGCCTTGGGGTGCTTGCTGGATCGTTTCTGACGTATCTGGCGGTTTATTTTACATTTTGGTACGTCACTGCATGATAAAATATTACCTTGTGTTTCTTGGACAATTCAGTAAACCTTATCTGCATTGGAGGCTCAAGTGTATTTATAGTGGAGATCAGGCAGCCTATTTTCGAAAGAGAAGGGGAAAGATTTTGACATGGAGTACACACAGTTTTGGTGCAAATCACTTTTTGATTTGTAATGGCGTGATAAAGGTTTTATTTTTAGGGACCGGGCTCACTTTCTGGAGGGTAACCTCAAGGGGTTTGGTCAAAACATCTATTATAACTAAACTAGTTTACCTTATTGAAAGTCTGGAGAGCAGGCGGCCCGAGCGGAAGGGGCGTGTCCATAAGCCGGGAAGGGGAGGAAGGAGCACACACATTTTGGTTCAAACTCTTAGTGTTTAGTTTGAGGTTGCTAAGTGCATACATTATAACCTGACCCCTCTCAAAATGGCCCATGAAACACCAAATATTTCTCTTGCGAAGTTTTGTGGATACGCCTTGTGAAATGAATGACAGGCTGTCTTGAGGAGAACCAGGGGTAATAAAGGGACTTTACGTCCTGGAATGCGCCCAATTGGGCTACAAAACGCGTTTTAAACGAAGTGGTGTTAATAATTGGAAAGCATTAAACAGTAGGATATGAAGGTCCACACAACTTCCCTCCAAAACTGGGCTTTTTTTGTTTATTCTTGCGAGAACGAATTTCGGGGGTCAGAATTTTGACTCTCAAACATCGAGCAACTGGGTGCTAGTCATGAATGTCTGCTCATGTTCCACCAGTGCGTCGCATTCTGCGTACATGCGACAAAAAAATATTGGTGTATTGGTGGTGTGTGTATTTGTGTCAATAACATTGAATGGACACGGCTGGAAATACTATGCGAATGCCACAAAATGTCCGCCGCGCGTCAGAGGTAAACAACCTGGATTGTTCAACTTTGGAACAGCGCGACACTTGGCTAGTTTCCTTTCAAGTATAGCCTACATTTCAACAAGGATAAGTAAACAATCCAAAACGTAAAATTTTCGGGGATTTCAGGCCTCTTTTGGGTGTATCACAAGTCAATCACAATGATACACCCACCACACTGCACGAAAACGCTATTAACATTGGCCATGCGGCAAATGTGGGAAATTGCATTCAGGATTACTATTTTTTAAATTTATTTATTTCATTTTTTTCTGGTAATGAAACCAAGGAATCCTCAAAAGTACCCTAAGCACTGTAGCTCGAAAGCCTAGAGAGAAGACACTAGGCCTATGAGAGACGATGCACGAGCTGCCAGTGCCCAATGAAAAAAAGACTTAGAGATATATGTGTGCATAATATAGGTGAAAGATACGGAGCATCTGAATTCCCAAAGTCGGTGGGTAAACTCCTTATCCAGCCATTTTCTATGTTCAACCTCGGATCAAATCGAAAGAAACTCGCACTGAGTAATGACTTCTTAGAGGGATTATTGACCCATACCTTTTTCCAATGAACTGGATACAGGGATAAGAGAGATGCGTTCAACATTCTTGATGTACGCCATCAAGTCGTCGGCAGGACTGGCCTATACCATCGCCAAAGCCTGAAGTCAAGGAACTATGGAGAGATGCTCCTGCGATACCAACTACCACTCGGACGAGGACAGCTGAGAGACCTATAATCCTGGCCAAATCTCGCTTGGTCCCCAACTACCTAGTCTGAGTATCACTCATTATCCACCGAGCCAAATCTGTGTAACGCCTGACATCTCTTGACACGCAAATTAATGCAAGCCGCGCGCCAGCCAATCGGAGTCGACTTTACTAAACCGTGACGTCATTTCATTCCCAAATAAGGACTAAATGGTTTGATTAGTCAATTTGAATGCAGTGCTTTATAATACAACAACCGGCCCCATATCGCGTAACATGATACAGAGCGCGTGACACGTTTTCTTTTTAAATCCATTTTCTATGTGACGCGCAACGGGTAAATGACCAAAGACTCGATATAGAAAGCGCCCTCTGATTGGTCAAAATCTAGGAGGTCAAGAGGCGGGGTCTTGCCTAATTAATCAGCAAATCTGTTCACAAGAAATAGACCACGGCATTGGCCGTTGTCTATTACATAGAGTACCAAACCCCCGGCGGCCGCTCAATGTTGTCTCTCATGACGCGGTGCGGTACTCCATCAGCTGGAGAGAGCAACATTGACGGGGGGAGTGGGGGATTGGATGACCGTTGCAGGCTCAGGAAGTGTCCCAACCAGTTTGGCCGAGATACTCTGAATGTACAATTTAACCATGATGTTGGATTTGGACATTGCGCGTAGTACGCCCTCACTAATAACACACACGCGCGCGCGCTGGTTACAACATGGTCAATGCATATACACGATTCACCATGACGGTGCAACATGTCATTTTGGCCGATATTTTTACAAAATACAGATTGTGTTCAATGTGAAGCCGTATTAGGATACACAAACAATGTGTCATCTTCTTCAATTTGTTTTTATTCCCGCCATTCCCTTATTTGGACGAAAAATCCATCCAAACCATAGTGTAACCACCGTTTTACCGCTGTAAATTATATAAGAAGGAGAGTCACTCACTTTCTTTATAATTGGTTTGGATGAATCACCGATGGATTTTTCGCCAAAATAACGGAATTAGTGAATACAAACAAATTAAAAAGGATTGTATGTTCTTTGCGTATCCTATATAGAGCGTTTCAAGTTAAACACAAACTGTATTTTGTACAATAAATGGCCAAAATAGCATGGTGAACCGTTACGATGTACGCTACAATAAAATTGTAATTTTAAATCGTATAATGGCCTCTTAATTGTCGCCGGTACTGTCGATGGTCTATTGGTTATTTGCTCAACAATGCAGGTATCGGGGGCTCGAATCTTACCGGATATCAACACATGTGGATTGTTTCCCCGCAGCACTCGGGATACGAAGTAATAAAAAATATATATGTCTTTATTATTTCCATTTTTTTAAATATTACTATCAATAATTATTATCTGGCCTAAATGCGTTCTTTCATTCAATCTTCGGCAGCCATTTCATATTTTGGAAACAACTCTCAGGAAAACATGTCATGCACATTTTTGAACTATGAAGAAATTCAGACATATAGCTGCTTGGTCGTGGTCCACAGGTCGTTCCACACTCTGGGGCCTCTAACAATAATTGCTTACCCCATTCCATTCTTTCATTCTACAAGAGCTACAGAAACTTCAGTTAGGTCAAAATAGTGATATAAGTCGATATCACATTTCATGTCAATTTACCAACTTACGTCAAAGGCGGATCTATAGTAAGTTTTGCTGGGGTTGGGAAGAGTGGGGAGTGGTCCAGGCCCGTCAGATACATAATAACCACTGCGGAATAGTTTTAATATTTTGTGTCAGAGCAGGAGAGGGGTTCGAACCCCCCCCCCCCGGATCTGCGCCTGCGTGTAACTGACAGTAAAAAGCAAGTCTGCACAATGTAATGCATTTTTTTTTAAATTCAATCCTTAATGTACATTCGGGTGTTCCACTTGACTTTGTTTTTCCATTATGTATGCATTTTCAGTTTTAAATTAAGGGTGAAGAGCTTTGTTTTCTTGCGTTTTCCTATTTCGCAATTACTATATTCTTTGGGAATGTTCACAATTAAAGAAACGTTATTTGGAAGATGTAATAAATATATATATATATATAGAAATTACAATATCCAATGAAATCCTCTTCTATCACAATTCATATTTATATTACAGTGTACATCTTTATTTTTTCCCGGTTTAATAATGTATACGGCGTTTCCTACGTCAGTTGGAAAATTCCCCATTAATAATGGTAAAGTCATAGTGATCGAACGAAACTTCGTTTTGATTATAGTCAATTATTAAAAATTCATTGATTTATGACATAGACCTTTGTTTCGTTTTTAATACTACCGATACTGCAGAGCAGATGAAAATATCAAACTAAACCAGAGTTTCATAAAAATGGAGGATTAGATAAAAAAAATCAAAAAGTTATGTGCTGGCCAAGCTTTCAGGGATTGGATGGGCCATAACGATGCCCCATCACAATCCCCTAGTTCTCTTCCGGGCTCTCGGGGGTCCCGGCCAATACACACTTCCTTCCCTGTCCATCCATGTAACCCCGGAGGGCCAGTCACCATGTAAAAGCAAAGCGCTAAGGGAGGAACAGGGCGGCACCCTAAGCCCTGATCCTCCGAGTGGACCACATGCCCTGAACCTGTACGAAGGTGCCAACCTGGAACTTGCGGACAGTACCAGCAGCAGTGCTTACCGATTAAGCTAAGGTACTGTTGGTATTTTACCACCGGAAATTAAACATCTTATAATGACTGAATAGAATGCGTGCATTGAAAAGCAAAATGACACCGACGGGATTCGATCCCGGACTGCGCGATTCGTGGACGACGGATCTAACCATTCGGCCATCAGGCTTCCTTAGAATTCTCCTCAAAAACAATTTGTCGTAATAATAGGTGGAGTCCGCGGAGAAACGTGGAACATTGCTGTGTGCATCTGTTTTGGCTCCATGGACGAACAGAAGTCGATATTTCGGGCAGTTTTGTTTGGAAAATTGTATACGGCAGCCTCGTTAGTCGTAGGCCTATATACGTGTGCTAAACATACTCATCGTTACGTAACAATGAACACTATTACATGTATTATGTAGGTTTTTTTTAAACAGGCATCAGGTGCGTTCAGGGGCGGATCTAGGAATTTTGGCGGAGTGGGGGATCAGGCCCGTTGATGTTTATATCCGATCTGATCATTATTATCAATGTTAGCCTATACATATATTTTGTGTGTGTCAGAGCGGGGTGGGGGAGGGACTTTCGACCCCCCTGCATCCGCTCCTGACTTCTACTCTTTGTATCTGGACAGTTACAGATTCTCAACTCCGTCAATACTATTTCAACATTGTACGGACGTCGTTAAAGAAGGAAACGATGATTGTTTTAAGGATTTGTTTGTTAAAGGTAGAGTCCATCATTTGCAGCCATCCGAAAAGTAACTGGCGTAATTATTGTTGAAAAACTAACTTGGTTGAAAGATAGTAAGGAGACTAAACTCCCTGTGAAATTATTCTTTCTGGGAAGCTGTCATTTTGAAGTAATCAACGAAAGAAGGCATTTCCAACGGTGATTCTTAAGAAGCACCGTAGGAAAATTTAAATTAGTAGTTCGTTTTGTTATTCAGCGCAGCGCGCACAAGTATTCGAACGACGCACACGCGCGCGCGGTTGTTATAATTCGTCGGATCAGTGCGCGACGTCGCGTATAGTTGCAATTCAAAACAATTCAAAACATGATTCAGCAACTTTTGATTTGAAATTGAGATCTTAGAATGCTGTTTTTCTCGGAATGTACAGCTGAAGCTTAGTTGAAACTTCATCAGGTTAGATGCTCAGTATCCTTCATTAGATTTTGAACTCTTTTGTTGCTTCAAACGAACAAAATGCACAAATTACAAATGATGGACTCTACCTTTAACACTTTAAATCAGGCCTTTTACCTAGCAACGACGTCCCATGGGTGGGACATTTCGCTGGTTGACGCGCACCGTTCCTTGTGTGTGACGCACGTAGACCAGGGGATTTGTACTATGTACACGGCAGTGGCCGCGCTTCGCGGCAAATGAATTGCAGTCAGGCAAGATGGCGTCGGTCGGTCATCCCCAACTGTACTCCCTCTCTGCCGGAGGGGATACTTGTGAACGGAGCGGATACATCAAGACATAACTGCTGCTGGAGCTCAGAGCTGGTCTGGGTGCGGGTTGGTCTGGCTCCCTGACCCCATTGTCCTTCGGACTTCAAAAATATCTTTAAGTGGGGCCGGTGTCATAGGAAAATCCGTCTCCTATAAAAATCGGACTCGTTTTTCCTATAAATAATTATTCGTTGATCCCGCGCGATGCGCGATGCAAGAAGGGCGGCCAGCCTAGCTTCCATACAGGGACGTAAGCGCCAAGGGGCACAGGCACAACACTCTATTGGGAATCAGGGCGAGTTCAGTAAAACTTCATAATGCCCAAGATTGTCTATGGGTATTAAACTTCTGGACTAAAGGTATAATGTTTATGTCGTCATCAGTACACTGGGTGACAATTATTGCAATAATATGCTGAAGTAAGCAGGGATTTTTCGCTATGGGGCAAGCAGAACCATGACATTTGGCCCATAACGCAATGAAACTAAACTTTTCCGCATCTTCATTTCAGGCTGTGGAGGGAATCGCAAAAAAGGTCTACGATAGTCACGGACCGACCAAGACCGACAACGCAGAGGTGTGGCGACTCAACTCGACTCGAGTCCCAACGGGTATTCACTCGACTCGAGTCGAGTAAACTGCGAGCAGATGACACTACTCGACTCAAATCCCTTATCGGTAGACTCGACTCTAGTCGAAGGCTAATAACACCCCAAAACTGTTTGAAAACATATATTTGCGTTGACTTACGGCACAAAGCCTATCATGTGCGCGTACTTTGGAACATATAAAACCTTTCAGTGGCAAGTTTCGCATTTTGTTAAGCTGAGTTGACCAGAATGAAACCCTCCGATGTGCTACAAGAAATAACATTTTGGGTTATTTAGCCAATTTCCTTTCTGTAGCCCATATAAAACGTCTCTTGCAACATGTCTAAATATTTTGGTTACCGGAAGTCATTTTGAGAGGTCGTCTTCAGTCTATACCTATACCTTCAGCTGACACTGTTGCTCCACCCGCAGTTCACGCATGTTTTTTTTTTTCATTTTGAAAACTATCTCTTCTTTGCGTATCGCCGCATCAGCAGATTTATCTCCGAAATGTTTTGGCTGTACATAAAACACTTGCGTATGGACACTGTCCCAAAGCTTATTGTTGTGGGGTGAAGCCTCTGTATTTGCCATCTTCAACAAGCCACCGAGCACCTTAGATTCATTTTTAAGCTTGTGAGCACTGAATATTTTTCGAGTAAAATAATAGAGCGCCCTCTCTCTGTTCCAAATCCGCTGCCGCAAGAGGGCGGAAACCTTGCTCACTCGCAATCTGTCGAGTTGAAAACACTGATCTCCGTGATTGGCGAACAAGCAAATTGGTGGCACGAAGAAATGGATCTGGTACATACAGTACCCTCTTGAGACATAAGCACAATAGGGAACAAAAGATTGTATACGTCTCTACAGAGCAATTTCTATAGGTGAATACGTCTCCACCACAAGGATATCACGATATAGATCATGGATTTTACTCAAAAACTAGGCATTTCAAAGGTGTGTTGATCAGTCGCAAATTGAAGTATTTTATGTAAGAGATAGTAAGTCCAAATTTCAGCCCAGGTAATTAATTCTGGTAAAAATAGGAGCATTTTGAAAGTACACTTTCAAACTCGAAAACTTTAGTACACGAGAACAAAGAAATGACTCGACAAGGATACACATTTCAGTGTGTGTTTGAATGAATGACCCCCTCTCTCGATGAGAAATGTGTGTTTATGCCCGTGCCCGGAAGCTGGATGCTTACTGTAAAACATTCATGCACCCGAGTACCAGCATTTTTATTTAATAATATGTGGAAGCAAAATGTATCTTTTGCATTGCGAATTTTTTTTATGACATGTGTTACATAATGTTAATACTGTCCCGCCATCTTTTCCTGGTACGTTTCAACTCTCTCGTAAAAAGGGCACAGGACCAACAGAAATGATACACGTACGGGATACACATGTGGCTCGGAAAACAAGCTGATTATATCACCATTTTGCGTGGTTATTTCACCAAACCCAAATAATTTTTGGATGTGAAACACACATTGCCAATAGTGTTCCATATGGAATAACCACACAAGTCATATTTTTAATATTTGCAGATGTGTACATGTATATCTCCCGCCTTTTCTAGTTCATTTCTTCAATTGAACACACGAGACCTTCATCATCCATGCCTCAAGTTAATAATTTGTTCATTCCGTTGCTTTGGCTTGATATTAGATACCATCAAAAATAGGCGAGACCTTAAATTTTGGTAGCATTTTGTAGGAGTTCAAAACTAACAGCAAAAGCCACATGAATAGGTTTTTAAATGCTTCGCATATTCTACGTCCAAATTTGTTATGTGTGAAAAACTCCTTTTAATTTGAAGGGAATGTACATCATTGGCTTTTGCTGTAATTTTCAGAAATGAACTATTTGAGAGGTTAGTAGATCAAATATTGTTACACTGACAAGTTTGAAATGCTGGAAAAACTAAGAAAAAAAATGTTCAAGTAGTCTGGTTTCCTGACTTTACTAAAGATTGAATCAATTTATAGATGACGGAAAATTGTTTTTCATCCTTTTTTCGGGGGGGGGGCAATCCATGATGTTTTTTTTATGGCACATATGTGACACAAGAACAACCCTGATCCCTTCATAGATTAATATTCACAATAAGCAAAACATATATTAAAAAAATAAGTCAGTATGTTTAATTACATCAGCCAAAATGGACAAAACTATAAATAATTAGCATTATAAAAAGTTTGACAAAGTGTCACGGATTTTCTTTTTACAAAAGCGAATTTGAGGAAGCCACTTTAGTTCTCTATCTTAACAAAGTGTGTAATCGATAATATAGTTATATAACGTTACCTCCAAAATTGTCCGAACACAAGTATTTGTAAAATATCATTTTGCGGACGAATAGGCCCTGTAGGCTACGTTAAAATACAATGTGAAGTAGAAAAGAAGCAGTTGCATATAACCAAACCCCATCTGAATATTTGGCGGACAATACCTTTCTCGACCAAGGGCAGTGCTTGAAAAATCTGTAAGTTTCCTATTTTTTTTTATCAAACCATGTAAAAACTTTTTCAAAGTCGGGGAATATGCTTGCATGCTAAAACATCGAAATCCCCATTAATGGTCATTCGTGATAGATGGGTAGAGGGTAGTGTCTTTAAACATGTCGATCCACAAAATAATCTTTTCAATGTGTTCCATAGCATGCAGTATTTTTAAGCAATCACTGACTGATGCCCTTTGTGACTGTTCAATAATTATTCTATAGGTTGAATGTAGAGCTAAATTCATAATCCTGGGCAGTGATTGGTCAATATGTCAGAGGGCGGGGCTTCATGGATTTACGTATTGACCTTTTATGGGATGAGTTGGAGTGTTTGCCGTCGCTGGAAGTAAGCAGCATTATGGCCACAACCAGACTGAATAATAGTACTAAAAACATGCTGATGGCTGTGAAAAGCAAGACAGTTTGTAGCACTGAGGTAGGTTTTGACTGATACTTTATCTGTGACTTTGCCACAGCCGCTTTCCATAATTCCACTAATTTCTCATCCACGCCATCCAGCTGATGTCGTATGAGAACACAAATCCCCCGCATAAGAGCCCTGGTGATTGCCTTATTACTGTTCAAACGGACGTACTGTTCGTACCCTTTGCCGTGCCAGGGTTCGATTCCAATCCGTTTCATGACCAGTCCGATGAAGACATCGTCCCATGGCAGGAAGCGCACGTGTGGTGATTCGTAGTAAATGTCGGCCGCTACGTCTCCGGACATCACGAAGCAGGAGCCCGGGAAGAAAGGCGCGTAGGTGGCCTCCGGATAGAGCTCTTTGGACGTCAGCCACTTGTGGTTGTGCTGATGTGGCTTCCGGACCGGCTCCGAGTTTTTCCGCAGACTTCCCTCGGCGTAGCGATGGCGTGGTTTGTCCAGCAGCCGCCTGACTAGATTGAATGTATTTAGCATGACATCTGCGTCGGCACTGGCAACGTAGGTAGCGTTGGGGCAGTACGTTGCCACCCACTTCATCCCCATGATGTTCTTGATGGTCAGGTTCTGGTAAGCGTCTAAGAAATTCTCCTGGACGATGTCATTGTAGCGCTCACTCTCCTCACGGACCGAGCGATTAAGCTCCGGGTCCCGGTTCAGCCCGAGTAGAAACAGAGTGCTGGTCAGCCTGCCAGAAACCGTTTGCGTACCGCCCCATGTCCGGCGGATCTGCTGGCGATCGTAGACATCACCCGGCGCACTTTTGACGAGGATCAACAGGAATAGCTGGCCGCCATCCGAGTCGTTCATGTATTCACAATGAGTAGGGTTAGCTATGGTGAATTTGTAAGGGTGAGGATTGATAATATCATCGCTGTAGAGTGGCTGGTGGTGGCTAGGCTGAGTATCATCACTGTCAGTGTCGGTAAGCGATTCCTCGGTCTCCGGAGATTCCAAGCTCCTACTCGGAGTCCTAGGTGAACTAGGAATCATGTACAGACAGCAACCCACTGTGATCGTGAAGATCACCAACGCAAGCTTTCGTCTGAGCTTCTTTCTCCATTTCCTTCCATTCATTGCGTTGTCGTCCAGTCCACTTCTTTCAACTGGACAGCGTAATAATCCACTCAGGCCACAGTACTGAGCGCACTCTCACCAAATTGTATTTGAGCATCATGGTTTTGACTACCATGACATCCCACGCAAACGACATGAACAACCACTGAATGTGTGCTCGCAGTTCGTCACAGGAACACAAGATACCATCCAGTCCGAGAGTCTCTCATGTTTAATATGTCTGTAAGCGATGATCTGGCCCAATATCGGACAAACACACAGAGTTGACGAAAGGATATCCGTGATGGCTCAAAACACAGAACGGGTTGTGAAATGAGTCGCCTCATATTGTCACGCTGTCTGGATAATGCGTTGACCTCCGACCGCATTGTTGGCTGGCATGGCCTTGAGAGTGGCATGCAATTATTTTAATCTCTGTTCGCGCAGTCGCTGCGGCGCATGGCGGTAGCGCCACTAGCGCGCACTAAGATCTGTTCCTTGCTGTATGTAAACGTACATGTACATATACATGTACATGTACATGGGTAAGTTGTACAATGTACACGTACATGTACAGTACATGACTGTGTGTATTGTGCATGAAGGGGTATTATCATGCATGAAGGTATTGTCATGCATACTCTGTCCGCAGTGAACTGGCACGTGTTTATCCTTAAAGGGGCTCTGCCGTATAGACATGGAACCTCGCCGCACACTTATTTGTTTATATCCAGAGACTTGCACAATACGGCCCCAAAATCCAGCCTGCACTTGTCACAACAAAATGATTCAGAGATTGCTTCAGAAGCCTACAAGCAGAAGCAGGGATGGGTACGTTCGAGGTTTTAAGTTAGGGCTCAGCAGGCATGTTCATGTACTATTTAACGGACTCACTGATGATGTGGTCGCAGCGGATCGCGAGGTCGTTTCCTCCGAGTCGGGGATTTCCCTATATACCAGCCTGCGACGGAATGTCCTCCACCCGGCTGAACTTTTTAACACCCTATAGTAGATATACAAAGAACTTGTTAAGTGGTGTACCTGTAAAGACTATCCTAATATTGTATTCTCCACACTAAAGACATTGCCACCGTATCACGTGATCGCACGGTATCCCATAATAATTGGAACGAAAGCAATGCTGCACTTTCAAACGTTTAAAATTAGGCTTCTTTAAGCCAATTCTGAAAAGAAAACATTTTACACAGTTTCTATGAGCAATCAAACCGTTTTTGTAATGGCACGAAAGCCGCCATCCAAAGAAGCTTAAAGGGAAGATACAACATTTACAAACATCAAAAAACGAAGTGATCAAATTATCACGAAATACCTTACTGGATTGTTAGAGAATGACAATTTAAAGCATCCTGTAAAATCGTGGCTCTTGGTATGCTGACATTTTCAAGAAAAATTGTATTTTTCCAACGGCGCTGGTCGGCCGACCTGAGCGTTGGAGAAAACTGATTTTTTTTTTAAACTGCTCTTAATTTTTCATATTGAGTTGTTCCGCATTTTCTTTCCAATTAATTACACACCTGTGAAGGGGTACAAGTCAGTAAAACTTATTCACTGACCTTACTATTTTCCCAAAATCTGAAAATGGCTCCGTTTCATTTAAAGTGGTGTCAGGGAACCAGACTTGACAAGAACATGATTGTTTTTTTGTTTGTTTTGGGGGTTTTTTTTTGGGGGGGGGGGGTCAGCATCTGCAAGCCCAAAACGTGAAACAAGTCAGTTAATTATAATTTTCCATAACATACTAATCCTCCAAATCCATTTATTTCTGAAAATTGCAGCAAAAGCAAATGTTGTACATTCCCTTTAATTTGATTTGAAGTCCTTGACCGGGATTTGTTTGCCGCCGCACTGCGCCCGGAGCTAGCTTCACAAGTACGTGTACAACCCTTCACTTGTATGGCGCCCTCTATATGAAAGGAACGGAAGCGCCAACAGTTTGAAGAATGGATGGAGCGGCATTTTAGTATGGTGTTCTGTCCGTTTTAGAACACCATATTTTAGGTAAGTTACAGTTTATTTCAGAGTAATGTTTTTACTCGACAGGAAAGGTCAGTATACGTGTTACGTATTCATCTCATTTTTGCTGAAACCGGAAAATGGCCTACACTGTTAAATTGAACTTATGAAGATTATAGGAACCTTCAGTGCTTGCAGAGATTTGGTTTATTAATATACCCCAGTAAAAGAATTGAACGCCTTGAAGGGACTACCAGTACTAGGTATTGTTACCGATTTTGGTTTTTTAAAAAGAAAAAGAAAAAAAGGGCTATTTTTTGTTAAAACAAACAAACAGATTTCTACCTGCGCGTCAACCGGCGCTCTACCAACAGACACATGACAGAGCCAGATGGCCCCAACCTCGTCCCCAGTGCTTACATTATTTCCAAACTCGTTTCCAATTTCCAATTTCTGGACAGAAAACTTTTTTCTAGTATCCTGATTCGATACAGCAATTGGCAAGTAAATGATATATATCGTGTACTTGGTGTTGTTATTTCCAACGTATATTACGTGTTTTTCACGTTCATTGGAATTATTACGTCCCATCTTCTCAAAACAATCATTTCATTGCCGTCCATTTGCATTCCTAAGTTCAATAAAATGAAGATTTTACCTCGCTTTCAATTTAATATGGTCGACTCGTTGTCAGTCATTTTAGTTCACTTCCTTCGTACATAATTTGACAGAAACCTTTCCTATCCGCAAAAGACCGGAAATGATTAATTTCATTAAATTGGTGACTGCCCCCCCCCCCTCCCACCGCAGGATGACTTCATCAATTTGAGACTAAGTATATATTCTTAGGGAAAGTTTTAAACCTTTTATTATCGTACAGTTGTGTGAGCTTTAAGTTTTGGTCCTAACCTTTCTTTTTCTTTTTACAAAGAAAGAAAATAATGGGTCATTTCTCTGGATTAACGATGATAGATCTTTAAGACAAATTATTGGACTTGAAAAGCGGCTTAGCTCTTACAATCAAAGTAAACTATACCATGCATTCTTACAAAACTCACACCAGTATTTTCATTCAAAGTCCCCTGATGGTTAATGAGTCAACAACGTGTAAATAACAAGCCTCGTGTGTAAGCCCCACATACATAAGATAATCTCAATTTAAAATGCAAAGTCAATGTGTGTTATTGTCTGCTTTTATTTCACTGCTTGCCTGCCCGGATACAAACACAGCTTTATTATTGCATGAGGCTTAAAGTCCACAACCCAAGTGTTTGAGCCCTACGTGCAGGGTGAAATACAATCACAGCCTGATATGACCCCAAACATACAGCCTAGAATTATCTCTGGCACAGGTTTACAAATCAAATTCACACTACCAATGTTGCATGCACTAGTGGTGGTTGAAGAATGAGCAGTGATCCATAGGAAGTCGGCTGATTAGGAAAACTGCTGTGAGTCATCAGGCATTAGTGACGAAATTGGGTGCTCAGCCATTGCAAGGCTTTTTTTATACACACACACTTGCTACATTTGGAACAATGTATACTTTTTCCCACGATGGAAAAAAACACATGCCTAATTGAATATTTGGTACCACGATGTTGATGTTTCGTGAAGGAAGCTCTATATGTTCACGTAATGCTTGCCACGGTCTAGGATTACAGGTGTTTGTCTTAATGACTTGATTCATCCTGTTCACGTTGCACTCGTGAATCTATCGAGCCGAAGCCGCCATCTTGGTTTACGAATCTTATAGTGAAGGAGATCTACAGTTTTTGATGTCGGTACGCGTTGTGCGCCACGATGCTCAGCAGGAGAAAGACCAAGCTCCTGCTCCGATCCGCCATTGTCATATACTTCATCACTTGGCTTTTGTTGTCCGTGTGGAGAAATGACAACGACACCGCGGTCTACGTGGTCGACAAGGCGTTCACGGTGGGCCCCGAGTTTCAGGACGAAAGGAGCGTCATTCACCACCGACCCAGGCATGGCGGTAAGGTGGACTACCTTGCAAATCGCGACAGATTGTCGCTTGAGATTGACATTCACAACAACAGCAAAAGTAACATCAGCCAAGCTAACTCGACTCTGAGCAAAGATAGACCTCTTTACAGCGACAGTATTATCAACCCACACCCTTTTCATTTTACCTTATTCAACTACGAGGCCTGCACGAACGCTAAGCATAAGTGGGCGATGCCCCTGCACTTGTTGATACTCGTAAAGTCCAGACCGGAAGATATCTATGACCGGCAGCAAATACGGGAAACTTGGGGCGGGGCGCAGAACATCTCAAACAAACTGACTCTGACCATGTTCCTCTTGGGCCAGACCCCAAATGCAACAGTCATTGAGGAGGTGTCACGAGAAAGTCTCCGCTTCAAAGATATCATTCAGGAGAACTTCATAGACGCTTATACCAACCTGACCTATAAAACCATGATGGGTCTGCGGTGGGTGGCCACATTTTGCCCGTTCGCTTCCTTCGTGGCCAGCGTAGACTCTGACATCATTCTCAATCTTCACAACCTCCTTCAGCGCATTGCCGATAAGCCACGGCACAGGTTCGCAGAGGGAAGCCTCAAGACAAACTGGACGCCGTACCGTGACGCCGAAGGGCAGTACAAGAAGTGGTACACCCCGGTGGAGTTGTACCCGGAGCCCACCTACCCGCCCTTCTTTCCCGGTGGATGCTACGTCATGTCCGCGGATGTCGCTGCCACGATCTACCGTGAGTCGGTTCACGTGCGCTTCCTTCCGTGGGACGATGTGTTCGTGGGTCTCGTTATGCAACGAGCGGGCATCACGCCTCGTGACGGTAAAGGCTACCAGGTCTACATCCCGCTATCCCGCCGAACGTTGATCAGACTTGCCCTACAGAAAGGCATCGCAGTCATTGCCAAGCACAACTCCAAGGCCGTCGACAAGCGAATGATCCTGATATACCAGAAAGCCATGCAACAGTACGTGCCGCGCAGAAGGGCATCACGCCACCCCAGAAAAGCTATGACATTATCGGCCGTTAATTTGGTCGCTTTAGTGTGCTTGGTGGTTTGTGTGATGGCGTATCTGGCGGTTTATTTCATATTTTGGTACGTCACTGTATGATCTTGTATTACCTTCATTATTTTTAAATATTTAAATTGTGTGCAATAGAGCATAAAGTGTACTTATAGGCCACTGCAAATCAGAGAAAACTATTTTCGAGAGAGTAAAGGAAAGACTTGGGATGAAGAATAATATAAAAGCTTTGGGTGCAAACCACTTCCTGGCCAACGAGGCATTCTGGGGTGAAAGTGTTTGGGTCACAATCGTCTAATAAGTTATCGATATCACAATCATTTTAACAAATAAAAATCTTCAGAGAGAGGACATTTACTGGCTTAGGATGTGTGCTTACTATAGTGTATTATTTTGGGCACGGGCGTAACAAAGGTTTTAGTTTTAGGGGGCTAACTTTGAAGAGGGGACATTTTACTCAATGGATTTGGTCATCACTTTTTGTACCTCCTCCTTTGAGTCTCGAGGGCAGATGCCTCGAGTTGGGCACACATAATTGTTTGAAGCTCTTACCGATCATTTTAATCCACTCCCCTCTCTGCTTAAATCAAAATGCCCCATGAAACACGGTGCCATAGTGTCCCAGAGGGGTCAGTCTTTGACCCTCTTTGTACAACTTACTTACTCAATGACTCGCTGTCACTTGTGACTGAGCATGGTTGTTGGCTGGTGAAGACGTCCGGGCAGTGCAATCGTATATGATTACCTAGTACTTGTAATATGCTAAATTCGGCCCATTGTGAACACCATGAAGAGTGCCTTCATCAAGGGATTGCTGCAGTATGCATTGCCCGCATTCAATTTTATAGAGGAACGATTCTATATACTAAAAGGGATAAATTTATTGTTAAAGACCACAATTAAATTGATATTCACCACAAAAACGTTTTCATCTGTTTTTCATTAGTTCCCCTTATAGGATGCGGTTGATTTCATTTTTTTTTTTTTATTTCCACATCCCTTAGATTTTTTAATTTAATATAGATCGTGCTGAAATTTGGCCTCATTTCTGTGCATAATATTCTGCCAATGGACCCCTTACCTCTGACGTCACATCTGAGGGCAGGTCTTTGTTCCTCGCTGGTACGCACGAAAAGATACACTGAAGTCACACAGGACATTGTCAAAAAGAAAGTGACTGAATTAGAAATAAAATATTGAAAAATGTGTGGAATACAGTACATGTTATTGTTTAGTACCTGTGACAATTTCATGTAATTTGCATACTTTATTCACAAAATATTTCCATTTTAATGAATCTACCACAGAATCCAGCTGTCCACCACTGATCATTTTACCGATACGCAATGGTGAATACCCTTTAATACAATGAGCCATGGAGGTTTTTCTACCTCCGTGAATGAACGAAACATGCAAAGGAAAACAGGCAAAAATCACCATCATCATTTCAGAAAAAGACTAGATATGTTCCTCATATACAACATCTGCAGTAAAAAATAATGTTCCAGTCTTGACTCAAATTATTACAAAAACACACACACACAATTGCATTTGAATGCCTGTGTTTCATCTCTAGTTCTCAACCAGCTGAATAGCTTCAAGGCATTTGGCATTCCATGGACAGCTGTACTGTTAAAAAAAGGGGGGGTGGTTCTAAAACATGCATATGGTCTGATAGTATAGATCAATTTCAGTAATTCATTTTTCACATGAGTGGACGAACATGCTCGTTCAGTACATGCTTCATTGGTGTATCAACTTTAATTACTTTTCTTAAAGGGGGAAAATCGTAAATCCATGTCTTTTTCCGTTTGACCCAACCCGTCCTTAGCACGCACCGTGCGTGCAAGGGTACCGGGTCTATGATTTTGTGTCATCTTTCCGTTTGATACCTTTTGATATATTCTGTGCACGTTGGTATGGCGCGTGCACATAATGTGCAGCTGGTCGATAATGGTCACGCTAAATTAACGTTGGTACGGTTTCTCATTGTTTGGGATTTTTGAAAATAAACGATCTGTGTTTTTCGACAATACAAGATATTACTCGGAATGTTTTCGCATTTCGTTTATTAGTTCTAGGGAAAAGAAGTTTCATCGGTATTATTCGACTGCAAAATAATTCCATCGTGGTCCTTACCTTGCGTTTCGTTGGAAGACAATAAAGAAAACTACAATATCTGCTTTGTCTATTTTGAGGAGAAAATATCTTCCATGAATTAGCCGTCGTTTTAAATTTTAGTTGGCTCGAGTTACCTAAACAGCTGTTTTAGTTTATTGCATGGCTGCGACGAAATAAATGAGGGCAGTTAAGGCCAAAAAAAAAAGTCTCCGGTTTCTGGTATGGAGCTTGCTCAAAAAGTGGTGCGGCGACGCGGCTTTTTTTTTTTTTTTACTCGACTTTTTTGCTTCAAATGTCGGCTGATGACTGCAAATGGTGCCCGACTAAACTTAGTGCAAATATATGGGAGTCCAGAGAGGCCACATAAAGCTTATTCTCGATCATAACCCCATCTAAAAACACGTTAAAATTGTGCAGCAGCAGGATTCCAGTTAAACCAGTGAGTTTGGCGGTTTTGAGACATCATCTTTCATTGAAAAAAAAACTTTTTCATTTTGCCGACGCGCATGGCTACGGCGACGCGCGCGCATACCAGAAACCGGAGACTTTTTTGGGGGGCCTAAACGGGTGTGTTTTTCGCATACTTGTGCATTAATGTTGTAATTTATGAAATATAACAGAGCAGAGAACCAAGCTGCAATGGCATGCGTAGAAATGAATTTCTGGGAGGATTTATTTTTATTTTTGCAAATGAATTACACCAGGAGAATGAAGAGTTTGTTTCCAGAACGTTATAAACGCGATTTCGTCACTTTTTGAAATTCAGCTCTTTCCCGGTCGCCCAAAGTCAGTATCGACTGCAGTCAGTTACGTAGCCAAACATAATTTAACAATACAATAAAGTGGCAAGTGAGGTTTAGAATCAGCTGATGATGTTGTGTATGTTCCGTATTGTCTCATATCAGTGCGATATCTCACTTTTTTCAAGTGTATATACACTGTTTTGAAAAAAGAGTCTCCAGATGGTTTCAATTGTCTCAGAGAAATACTGTCCAGCCAAAGGTCTCACGTGGGCTTTATTTACGAGTCGGCCATTAATTTTTTGAACTTTGAACTTAATTTTTTGAACTTGCGAAGAGAAATGAAAGCAACTTAATTTATAATCAATTCCAGTCTGCCTCAATAAATAATTTTAAATTTGTAATTAAACATTCCCTAATGTTAAAGCCATATTTAAAAAAAAAAAATGACAGTAACATAAGGCTACATTGTGCCTGAATAAATAGTCTGGCGCCATCCAATTCAACAGTTAACAATTAATGAAATACATTCAGGGAACTCGACAAAAATGGCCAACTCGTGAACAAGGCCCATTGCATCATATAACCCCTAATTTTAAGAGAAACACAAGTATGCCACTATACGTTTTATTCAACCAATTAAAAGCCGTGTGTTGCATTTTTTATTTTTGTTTTGTTCGGTGAATATAGGATCGCTTCAGATGAAGAGATTTGCCCAGATCCTGTAGAAATCACCGCCGTGTTATGACGTCACTCGACGTTACTCGACCTGACGTCACTCAACCAAATCTGTTGCCAAGGAGACACAAACCCATGCCCTCTCCACTGGCCGACTTGTTCAGCTTTTTACGAGCGTGTGGAACAATGTAAAATTAAGAAGGCCCAACCAAAAGTATTAAGCGCTTTCCTAATTGAGACGTAGACGTCAATGAAAAGTGCTTTATTAGGGTCGCATTAAAGGGGTACTACGGCCTGAAATCCCCGAAAATGTAATGTTATGGATTGTTTACTTAAACTATTTTAAAGGTCATATGAAAGGAAACTAACCTAATGTCTTACCGTTCCCGAGAAAAAAACGAAAAAAACGGCCGGTTGTTTACATCAGACACGACGGAGTACACATACGTATTTCCCGTCGTTTTCATTTAATGTACGATATGCGTTGTGTGTGTCACATAAATTACACACAAGACTAATACACAAATGTTGTTTCGTACACGTCTGCAGAATGCGAGAAAGGTGCGGCTGGAATCACAACTAGCACTGAACAGTTCGATTTTTCGGGGACAAAATTTTGACCCCCAGAATTCGTTCTCGCGTGGTTCTCGAACGAATAACACAAAAAACGCCTAGTTTTTAGGAAGGTTGTGTGGACGTTTATGGACGTTTGTTTGTTGTTGTGGACGTTCTTTAAATCAATTTTCCGTTTAATGTTATTTCGTTTAAAAATGCGTTTTATAGCCCAATTGGGCGCATTGCAGGCCGTAATATCCCTTTAAGGTTTATTTTAACCACTGCAAGAAATAGACATTAGTGACGTCCTTCGTAAGCAGCTGATTAATGCAAGCAATTGTTTAATAACTGCATACAAAGAAATTAATGTCTCGATCTAAAGTCTTTAATTAAAACAAATTTTAACAATTATTTGGAAAAGTATGTTGAGCTAATCTTAGAATGTGCAAGTTTTCATTCTTATTTGTTTGGGCCATGCCATTAATGGAGCACATTTGGATAGACCGTGGTATGACTCCTATATATAGCAGAAGCTATATTTTGATGTTAATAGTGATGTTAATTACACGATGTAGTATATTAATGTATCGGTTCTAATTTATAAATGTACATGTACAACTCGTCATTCCTGTTTATACTAGACGTATTTTATACTATATAAAGGGCCCATGCAATTTAATGTGTTAATGCGATTCTTGAAAATGTACCTTTGTGTCCCATTTAACCTTATTTTCAATTTCGTTTTGCCATTTTCAAGGGTATTTTGGTGCCGTTTTTGGTTTTTATGATAATCCGAATTTCCATATTCGTGAGCAAAAGTGTGATGTCATTTCAGGCAGAAAGCTCAATGTTACAGCTATTTTAGCACAAAAAGTTGCCAGAATTCTGGATATTTCCCTGTCCTACATTCCTACATTTTCTTATATGTGTTGATTCATCGTTGCGTCAGTACACGACAGTAAGCCAGTGAGCAAACTTTTCTCACAAACGTTTTCAACGAGCAATTTTTTATTGTTCACAATTTCAACAGAAAAGCCCTAAACTGAACAGTGTCTTCCTGAAATGACATCACAGCAACAGCGCCAGCCCTCAGTCGAAAAGCATCACGGACAAGTTCAAAAGTTTAAAGAAGTGCACTTTTCAATAAAATTAACCAAAAAGGGATGTCAAATAGTTTTCATACATTAAAGAGGGGTAGAAAATTGCCAAAAATATGTTTCCCAGAATAATTCATTTTACGGACCCTTTAAATCATATTACCTACAAAATCATACAAAAACGCAATTGTATATTTGTGTGAGAATCTCATAAACGCGAATGGATGAAGGTAAAAGCCAAATCCTGTAAATAATTGTGGGATACAAGTGCATTTCCATCTCACTGCTGTCAAAACCTGTGATGTTATCAAAATTACCTTTATTGGCATGCACTTAAAGCCGAAACTTGACAGTCTCAAGCTTTTAGTTTACGGGTGCGCCTAGGCGAACACTCGAGGATTGATCTACTGCCGTCCATGTGCCGGTGGCAAATGTTTCTTTTGCAGGCTAGTAAAGTCATTCTACCTTAATACGCATGCGTGAAACACCTCACGAGAGTGAAGGTTCTTTCTTATATTTGTGTTTAATCAAGTCTTATACTCATCGGTGAAATTATTTCACCCCTTACCCTGATTTATGGCTCTGGATGATTTTTAAAAAGGAAATTAAGTCCAAGAACCATTTCGTTACCAACTGGCGCATGCGCATTATAGTCATTGACTTTAATTGGTTGCAGATAAAAAATGTCAGCTGGTGTCACTTGTATCATTTTGCATGTAGCTTCCTTAAGCCGCACGATTAGTGACCACGCTGACAAACAAGGCGGTACCAACTCAGTTGGTCGTATTTGTAAACGAGTGAGGGCGCTGTTGTTACGACGCCATTTTGGGGACGTGAATGAATCCAACATCATTGACGTAATTAAGCTTATATGTTGCGATAATTCATGTCAGTCTTTACAATCTTCCTTTTTTTATATTGAAGAAGAGTTGCCGAATTGCTTAAATGCGAAAATTCTAATGACGGTATCCAGAAAAGGTGGTTATAGCGCCCTTAATTAGTTTAAACCCAAATATGGTTTAGTGAAACTCGCCTTTAAGTGTAATTTCTCTTCAGTCTGGACAGTTGAATATCAAGAGCAAAGTCAATATTTGCCTCGAGTACAGTCTCACTCGTCATGCACTCAACAATTTGCCCATGCACCCGTTCGCGCGTCGTGGTTCGTATCTTTTTTTCAACTCAATGACGATGTGAATAACAGCAGGCCTACAAAGCAGTGACGCAATGCAATGTAATGAGTAGATTTGGAAACGGATTTTTTGTAGTTGCAGCTTACAGGCAGCAACCAGGATTCCTACTATTAGGTCAACGTATACAGGCTTTTTACATAATACGTTTTGCCAAGTTAATAAACAGTTTTATACAAATGAGAATTTGAAGATGTGTTTCTTGTTCCTTTTTCATAATAGTCAACCCCGTCCTCGACCCTTTCCCTTTGATTTGACGAAGCTTTCTCACCAAGCTAATGTAGGCAGAGGCGCAACCAGATTTCGGGTCCGCGGAGAAAGGGCGGGGGGGGGTCGGGTTTGTTTTCTCGTATCGGTTGTAAAGTGGTGGCGTTATCACTTGTTAAAAGAAAAGAAATAACACATCGGCATTAAGCAATTCCTTCTCCACCCCCTCCTATTGCCTCCCCCGCCCCATTCCTTGCCCCTCTCTATACCGAAACTGCATGTAGGCTGGTGGATGGGGCTTATTCACGAGTTCGCCATATTTGTCGAGTTCTCTGAATGTACTTAATTAATTGTTAACTGTTAAATGGGATGGCGCCAGACTATTTATACAGGCACAATGCAGCCGTATTTTACTGTCATTTTTTTTTTATATGGCTTTAAACATTGGGGAATGTTTAATTACAAATTTTACATTATTCATTGAAGCAGACTGGAATTTATTATAAATTAACTTGCTTTCATTTCTCTTCGCAACTTCCAAGAATTAAGATTTTACCTAACTTGCAATTCAATATGGCCGACTCGTGAATAAGGCACATGGCGACCACACTGTGCATGGCCACCACAGGAGTTCTGACAGAACACGTGATTTAAAAAAAACCCAGAAATTCTTATGTACCATCCATTTACGAATAAAAATAAATGACCCAACACATTCATTTAATAAACACAAAATCAGCTTTTCATTCTGGGGGAAAAAAGACGCACAGGGAAAACGGAATACGTACGATTTTGATACGTATACCTTTGAACCTCGAACGTTATCGGACAGCCTTCAAATGATAGTGTTATGCAGGCTAACTGTAAGTTAATAATTAAATTATTTATGAATAGGCAATCGAGTGTGACTATATTTAAAGGGTATCAAAGGATGTAATTTCAGGAAGACAAAGTTCAGTTTAGGGGTTTTGTGTTCATCATTGTGAACCCAAAAAATTGCTAATTTATAGCATTTGTGAGAAAAGTTTGCTCATTGGCTTACTGCCATGTAGGCCCTACTGAAACAACGACGAATCACCAAAGAAAAGAAATTTTACAACAGCAAAATATCAAAAATTCTGGCAACATTAGTGTGGTGCTGAATAAATTTACTGTTACATTGAGGTTTCTGCCTGACATCACACTTTTGCTCATGAATATGGACATTTATATTAGCATGAAACCAAAAGGCACCAAAATATCCTTGAAATGGCAAAACGAAAGTTGAAAATATGGTTCAATGGGACACAAAGGTGCATTTGAAGGGTTGCATTAAAAAAAAAACATTGCATGGGCCCTTTAATATAAAATATTCATGGCCAAATGGCCATATAATAAATAATCACCTACATTGACATTATCAATCTACGGTTATGAGTTCATCAATTTCTAATCTTCAGCCTTTGATACCATTCCGTAACCCATTTCAGCATTCACCATTTAAGTTCACCATTTCGATACAACATGCAGGTAATTATTATCCACACTTGCCGATTACAATTGAATGTAATCCAAACATTGTGCGTGTTTATTTTGAGCGCGTGCAGCGAAAAACAAAGGGCGATAAATAATTATGCTAAATAATCCATTCCTTTAAGTGATTAAGCCCAATTAAGACGTGTGTGTTATTGCCGAGGCTTGCATGTTTACCTGTTAGCCCATGGGCCAAGGTCCAAGCCGAGTACGATACATCAAAATCTACATTATACGTTAATCATTGACTGCATCGATCGGTAAGATTAGGCCGTAACAGAATTTGGTCTTTTCCGGCTGCGGCTGTGGCTTTTTGTCATTGGCACGATACACGGAATAGCTGTAGCCGTCAACAGCAATGCCGGTGTCGCATACCGCTTAGTATGCTGGTTCTGTACACGCACTGCCGAGCTGAAAAATAGTAAGGCATAATTATTGTGTAATATTATAACCATCAAACATGTCGAGTCAAACTGTGTGTGTACGTGAAACCATCGAGTGAACATCAGTGAATGAAGGCCCAAGTTGATCCGTTGGTTGTCATGGCTTCGTAATTTGCAACCACCTCCTAATGTCACCAGATACGTGCATTGTTCATTTGACATTGAAATTGTGCGACGTCATTGAAACACAATGATAAATCTCTGGAAGATTTGATATTAACGCAAGAACCCACGCAGCAAGCTCGTCGGGATCCTGAGTGATCATCACGTTGATCATCACGTTGGGTGGGGTACAAGACCACGAATGCCATATTGTGTGGTAGAACCAGATGTTCTACACGTTAATGGCCTCACCTCAACCAGCAACTGTAACCAGCATCACAGATCGAGAGCAACATGCACGCATATAGTGACACGCAGTAGCCATTATGGATCCTATACATTACGTGTAATGCGAACGGCAGTGGTAGCTAGTGGTGCTTGATAATGAATTGTAAATTAACATAGCACTCATAATTAATAGCGGCGGTTGTATGATGCACAGACGACGGCTGATGCTCGTATTGGCGCTGCTAGCGGGGTTGTATTGCACGAGCTGGTTCAAGATCATGACGTGGAGTTCGTTCAGTCAGAACCAAGCTTCACTGGAGATGGAGGATAATACGGCAGGGAAAAACATCGCCGGGCAGGTGGAGACTGAACAGTTAGCAGGACCGGCAATCACTTACAAACCCATGTACAGCAAGGAAGAGATCAACCCCCACCATTTCCATTTTCTGATCGCCAATGTAGACGCCTGCACCTCCGCAGATAATACCTCCGTGTTCCTGGTTATGCTAGTCAAGAGCAGCGTGGAAGACGTCTACGACCGGGAGCAGATACGACGCACGTGGGGCGGAGACACCGTGGTAAAAGACAAGCGGACGCTCACCATGTTCCTCCTGGGAACCATCACCGGCAATCAGACCACCACTCTCTCGGTCAAAGAGGAGAACGACCGGTACAACGACATCATACAGGAAGACTTTGTCGACTCCTATCAGAACTTGACCATCAAGAACATGATGGGGCTGAAGTGGATCAGCATGTACTGCCCCAACGTGACATACGTGGCTAGCGTGGACGCGGATGTGATGATCAACGTGAACAACCTGGTGACGAGGTTATCGGACAAGCCACGGCGGCAGTTTGCTGAGGGAAGCCTCCGAGCCAAAGCCGCTCCGGTCCGAGACTCGAAAGGCAACGCCAAGAAGTGGTACACTCCCAAGGAGGTGTACCCGGAGGCCACGTATGCGCCGTTCTTCCCTGGCTCCTGCTACGTGATGTCAGGGGACGTGGCTATCAGCATCTACGCAGAGTCCTCTCACGTTCGCTACCTACCATGGGACGATGTCTTCGTGGGCCTGGTCATGAAGCGTATCGGAGTCACGCCCTTACAGGGTAGAGGGTATGAAAAATACCCCCGGAAGTACGAAAACAACACCCTCAGGTGGACGCTGAAGCACGCCATAGCCGTGATTATTCGCCACCAAAAACACAAAGTGGACGAACGTTTGATCAAAATTTGGCAAACTGTTGCCAACACCCAGAAGCACGACAAATTTGACAAGTATGACGTGCTGTTGATTTTCCTGGCCGTTATCGGAGTTTTAGTTGTGTACTTGCTCATCGCACTGGCATTCCTTATAAAATGTCGGCAAGATGAATCCGATTTGGACGATTATGAAAGTGACGATAGCTTTGTTGATTAGCTACAAAATCCATCAAATGTAGTGGCCCTAAAGGGACATTTTCATTTATTAATTATTAATTAATTTCTTTTTTTATATTTATTTTATGGGGCCACATATTTCTTTTTCATTTGAGCAAATGCATTGCGAACTACCGAACAAAGTAATCGGTGTTGTATTGCCAAGATCGGAGAGAAATGCGACACTTTGATTTCACTTCTGCTCAGGGCTATCATTCCTTGACAGGGAATGGCTCCCATAAACCAGTTTGGTACAAAGAGCACACATAAAGAGCATGTAGCAGTTTGCGATTGGAAAAAAAAAACAAATTCATCATTTTTGTCTTACAGTCTACATGCATAGTTAGCGTTCACATTTTTTACAAATCTTTACTTCTCAACAAAGTAATGATGTTCAACATAGGCCAAATAGGCTATAGTTATGAATGTCTACATGATAATGGCAATCCAAGCAAAATCGAGGGAAACCTTGGAAACAAAGGCACAATATTAGTTTTAAAAAAAAAACATTTTTAACATAATTTTGAAGGTCTATGACATTCTTTACTTTTTATTTCCTTGTGTCGACCATGGTGAAATGAGAATGGCATTGTCAAACACGTGACATTTCCTCGTCAGAAATTTGCATAATTTTCCAGCAAATTTCCGCCCATGGGAATATAATAAAGGAAACGGACACCTTTTGCAAACATTCAAAAACGGAACTCAAGTTACATTATTCTACTTGATTGTAAGTCAATAATAGGGTCAAGCATCTTGTGAAATCAACGCGCCGTGTTGTTTTCATTTTCAAGAACAGTGGAATTAACGTCACTTCCTCGCGATGAACCACTGTACCGAGACAGTCCAACAGGGGTTGTGTACAGTATTTGAGCAGTAGCAGATGGTTTAGACCTACACCATCAGAAAAGAAACCGCTTTTTCTCCATACACCGCCCCTATAACTGACCGGATTTCGTTGAGTTTGTAATCGGTTATAGGCCTATCCGTGAATGAGAATTATTTTTCCCCAAGTGACAATCTGGGATCGCATTACAAGAGGCACAAGTCTAAACGTATTAAAATGAATACATGTATTTGGGAAATGGAGGTCTTTCAACGGGAACCTAGCTTTGCATCGAAGAAAAAAAATGAAGATAACTGTTCAGTCTTCTCATAAAGTATATCTACTGGGCTGAAATTTCGACATGTTAGTTTTGCATCAGATTGATTGTATCGCAGTTCCTTGTGTCGACAAAACTACATTTTTTTTTGCAAATGGTGTACATTAAACTTTCAAAAAGCAAACTCACACACACATCAATTTGCTCATTGCTCATGTATAGCGCCCTCATGGTAACTTATTTTCAAATGGCGCAGGCTTTTTTGTGAGTTTGCCAAAAATAAGCATCCTTGAAGTCTTTTTTTTTATCCCAAGATGACAGACGAAGAGATTAGTTGTGCCTCTTTTGCTCAACCTTCCCCGGAAATAAAATCGGCCCCTAACACATCTGTTGAAATTAATTCATGTATAAAGAAGACAAAAGTTCCGTAGCTTACGCCTATAGGCCTGTACGCCTATGTACAAATTACCAGAGCATTTTGCTAGTCGTATTTTCGTGCAAATAATTTCACCCAATCATTCATTGTCGAAAGGGCGCACTTGAAATACATGTAACATCATTCTGCAGTCGGGTGCTTGGTAAATGAAACGGTTTTCGTGGGCCAAAAGCGTACAAGGTTCTTACCTGAATTGTGGTGGCGCTCAGAAGCAGCGCCCTCAACGTCACTTTCAAGCACGTGTACTACGCAACCTATTGAGGGCGCTATATATTGCGCAATAAGCTTAATGCTTGTTTCGCCAAAAGCCGAAACGTCCTGTGTTAATCGTTCAAACAATTTCTGTTTCATTGTAAGCAAAGCTAATCAAGTTATTCGACCTTTTCAATCGTCGGCAATTCGAAATCGTCTGCAAGATACCACCTGGAACCATAATATTTAAGACATTTAGGGGTCGACAGTGCAACTGGGAGCCGGGGGAGATGGGACACGCGTCTTCCCCACCCCCAAGCTCGAGGCCTGCCATGCCCACCAACCTTCTTTTTTTTTACCCTCACCCGCTCAGAATTTGGAAAAAGCAAAGAAACTGTCTATTATTTAAAATTATTTTGTTTGAAACAGACTTTTAAGACCAAACCCATGTTGTTCCCGCTCCTCCAGAAAATGAGAACCTTAAGTACCCCTGCATATAAGACCTCAGTTACGCTACTAAATAAGGCAAAATCGGAGTAGAGTGGGGGTAAACCACCTTACCCCCTTCCTCCTACCTCTACCACAGCTTGATTGTAGAAACGGTTCCTCAACCAGGGCGGTCCGAATGTCTGATGAGAACCCACACCTGCCCAGGTTCGTTTTCCGGCCGGCAGCTTTTGAATCGTCCCCGCCACCCGGAAGTGCAACCTGTGTCTTTATTCTGTCCCGCTGCTCGCTAAGAAACAAAATTAACCTAAAGGGTTGCAGAAATAATAGAATGAAACATCGTATTAACCGAAAACAAAACTCTTTTCTGTCACCTTGAAAAAAAAATTAGTCTAGGAAACACTCTTAGAAACGGCAACGCAAACACTAGGATTTAATGTAATTGTGACACAAACGTTTATTACATGTACATGTACATACTACAAAAAGGTCTTATTGTATACCCGCATCCAGCACAGAAAACATGGATTTGGTTTCACTTTGGACGGAAGTCGAATTGGTAAAGATAAGAAAGAAACACAGCTTCATCTATCGTATTTTTACATGCAATTCTATCAAGTGACGGAGCATCGGGTGTTAAGAGGTTTAGGCCCACACCCCTCCCTTTCTCCACAACAAAAGGGCAAGAGATATTCTATAAAATAAAATAAAAAATTCTCATAGAGAAGGCATCTGGGTTTCAGTTGTTTCGGAGGAGAGTATCTAGTCTCCAAGGAGTGAAACTGAGGACCGGACGATTTAGAGTGAAAATCACTCTTATTTTAGATGTAAGTACTTTGGAAAAAAAATCAATCCTGTGAAAACACAAGTGAAAATCGAACCATTCGATTGAATGAATTTCAGTTTAAATTCGTCTTGTCCTTAGTTTCAGTCGAATTATGTGAATTTTTCACCGGAGTTGAGTGAATGTTACGCCACGAGAGTATGTTCTCTAAAAAAAAAAACCTTAGCACGCGAGTGCTTTCAACACTCATCCGTCCTGCCCTTCACATTGCTCATATAAATTAAGGCCAGACTTGCTAATGAATTTCAGCATTTAATGAAACTGCCAAGGCACCAAAAGAAAATAATAAACAACTCCTATATATTATCGCCTTAATCTCATTGATATGTAAGGAGGGGTATTGTTATTTATCATACTCTTCCCCTCTTATTGTCCACGTGGGTCTGGGGTGGGAACGGACCAGCTTACGGTACCGATCGCCGGTAATCTACCGGTAAGACAATTGTGGCTGCTCGCTGATGGAATGTCTCAATGAACTGCCAAATAGGCAGAGGTGTTAAGAGAGCAAACAGATTAAGGACTGAAGTAGGACAAGTGGTTTAAGTGTGCTGTAATGAGCTGCCGGGTGAGTGTGGTACGATCGAAACTTTACTGGGAGCAAAATTTCCTTGAGTGCCATCGAACTGTGAACGAGGGGACCAGCTGCAAACACGAAGCTGCACTCTTAAAACAACAGCGTCAAACAAAACTTGAGCGTGAAAGTTCGTCAAAAAACTGTTTCTGGTTCAAAAGAAGAAAATGAAAATGTAATTTTTGTGTTGTTAAAGAAAGCACGCCGGTCATTTAAGCTTTGGAGTTGATTCCCATTCGTCGTTGATTTCTCTGCATAATTACTAGAAGGAAATTTAGTTAGTTTGATTATTTATGAGTTACACCATACCGATCCTTCACGCAGAATCGAGTTTGACCAGTTTCAAGTACAATTTCAAGCTGTATTTCTCCGTTCTGTTTTCGAGTTTCACTTGAAAATACATGTCTCATTTCTAATGTTTATAGAAATACAATATGAACTCATTTTTGAATGAGACATCGAACGAAAAATATAGATCGGCCGAACTTATGGAATTATTAGTTTTCAAATCAAAATAATTTGGGAAATGACTTGTGATTGCAAAACTGTTGAAATAATAATGGCTTTAGGCTTTGAGGGGGCAACAATACTCGCTGCTATTCGAAAACAAAACAAGACATTTAAATTCTCATACCTTTTCCCCACACTGAATTTTAATTTTCTTAAAAAGTAGTCTGGTTCCAGTTTAGTAACATGTTCTATCATGCGGGCAATTAACGTAATCAAAATGACCGGTGTCATTCGAAAATCGGACTCTTTTTTCCTTTTATTGGTTTAACCCTCTCACGTGACCGGTCCTTCTCCTCATTATCTATTCATGAGCGTGCGCAATACCACCAATGAGTCTGAATTTCATAAAACCTAAATTCATGCTACACCGGCACTAATCATAGGAATGAAACTAATATCTAGGGGCATGAACAAACTTTATGTAGATTTTTGTTTAATGGTATTATTTTTTACAACTTTGAAGTTTAGTGCATGATGGGGTGTTTGAATTAATTGTTTGATTTTTGAGACCTTATTCAATGAGCTCGAGGAAGCCATTTTCGATCGTGTTCCCTGAATCTATTTTATCAATTGTAAACTGTTGAATGGGATGGTGCCAGACTATTTGATGATTGGAGTGCGTTCCAAGCCTCATTTTCATTTTTCTGTTAAATGTGGCTTAAAACATTAGGCTATGTTAAATCACAAATTTTAAATTATTCATCAGAGCAGACTGGTATTAATTTGTTATGAACTTTTATTTCATTGCTTTCATTTCTACTCGCAAGTTTCAAAACATGAAGAGTTCACCTCACTTTCAGTTTAATAAGTCCATGAACATTTGGACTGTTTTAATACATGTATGTATACATTTGTCCAGAACAATAATTGTCATCAGATGTAGATTTCTTTTTTAAATAATTCGCAGGGAACGCCACAATAATCGGCTTCAGAAATTCAGGATTGGAGAGTGCGGGTGTGAGGAAGGAAAATAGACAACGTTTAATTACCATGAGTGGAGATATCGGAAATTTAACGAACTACATGCAAACAGCATCACTTATGATCATCCCAAGATTGCCGAGTGGCGATCGGAACAGACGAAATTGACCGATACCCCGAGAGACGTATGGCGATGCTGTGTGCGGTTTTGACGATGGTGAACCTCTTTTTTTATAAATTTTACATGATGTGAGTTCACCAATTGAGATAAATGCTGTGGGTTTGTCATGAGCTAACCCTTCTCGTTTGAATAAAAAAAATAGCCCTCTACTGACGACGGTTCAACCTTGAAATGAAATGATCTCACTTTCTTAGAAATTACCCCTCAGTATACAAGTGTTTACGATTGAGGGCAGCAACAGTTTATCCTTCTTTAATTTGAGAAAAATGAAATTTATCTTCAGGCCTATATAGGAACTTCCGGTATTACTCAAATTTAACAGGAAATCCAACAGCTGCATGTTAAAAAAATCCTTTTGTATTTCAAGTTGGAAAGAATGTGTCCTTACCGTATTTTATGTTGATCATTTTGGTATATTCGGAATGGTAAAGGGTTCAAAGTATTCCATTATGATCACAATACATAAGTGCAGTCATACATCATGTGGACCCACCGTGACGTGTACCTACCATCAAACCGTACAAATAGCCTCATTGCTTGTCACCTTTCACTTGTGTTATTTACCGGTTGAAACGGACGTGTATGTTCTTACATGGCCAAACGTCATCGTAAAATCGTCAAAAAAGCCAAGCCAAGATTATGCAATGAAACCGCGCAGGCCGTAGGTTCTGGCCTCCCATTGGACCGAGTAGAAGTGTGTCACTGGGTTTGCCCGATAGCCCCCAACTTGTCACCAGTATAAAAATGCTTGACACTTCGCCATTGGCCGATAGTACAAACATCCTCCCGCGATTTACCCAGCATGCAACGCGCAAGCCGGTGCCTGCGGTGAAAAAAAAATACGCCAGCTGAGTGGGCAGATAGAGAAAGGCACAAATTCTCACACGAGGCACTAAGCAACAAATCATTAAGAGAGATAAATTATTTCACTTTAATTGCCAGTTGGTTTAAAGCCGCGGTGGCACTTTGGTGATTCATTATCACTTTTCTGAAAAAGTGCTGCAACTGCCTAAAAAAAAAGTGACAGGTATAGAGTTCAGAGATCCCGACCAACGCCGGCACGTGCGCCCAGTTGATAGAGAGTGAGTACGGAGGGGCATCGAGTCTAGCAGGGCCAAACCAGTTTACCGCCCGGGCCGAGCCTTGCGGACTAGAGTGACCACGACCGTGACAAAGCGTGAGCCGGCCCCTATTCTTCACCGACACACACCCTCGCCTCTTTGACTGCACCGTAGCTGAGTCTTGATCCTGCCGCGTAGCAGTTGAAAGACTTCAAAGCAGCCGGCACGGACATCAAAGCGCATCAGAGCAACTCATCAAACCCACCGGGCTCCGCCAGACCCACCGCACGCTTTTGTTTTGCTACTTCCACTCCCTGGATGCTCGGTTTCATCTCAAACAACGGCCCCAATTTCGGATCTCACTGTCTCTTTTGTTAAGGCGTCTAGCTGGGGCGTTAGGTACCCCCTCTCACCGGTCCAGACTTGACGTTTTCCCACTTTGTTCCCAGAGAATAGTTTCCGTCTTCAGTCACTGTACTTGTCACCTCGAGAGAACACTACGAAGAATCCTGCTCAGCGTCCCTTTTTTATGAGGCCTTGAACTTCCATTTGGAGTTTTGTGATCGTTAAAAACCCCTTCAGACGCTGAGAGCATTACGGGAAGCTAGCCTCTCAGGGGATACGGCTAGCTGCTTGAGTGTTTCCAGGTTAACTGTATAAATAGCCGATTACCGGCTCATCATCATCATGAAGCTGGAATGGCTTGTGGCGTTCTTCGTTCTTCCCATGGCCAGTCTACTTGCCAAGGAAACCACAGCAGCATCCAGTGGCAAGTGGTGGTAAGTACACGGTACAAATTAAGACTTTTGCAACTTTTCCCCCTGCCGTATCTTCTTGGTACTACAAGGTTAGCCTTGCAACTGTGCATTTCTGAGATGACTTTGACTGGATTAAGTGGGTTGCTAATAGGCAGGTTAAGCGTGACATCAATGGGGTTAAACCTCTCGAACAACCACCCTGTGGCATAAACCCACTCCTCGATCAGCATTGAGTTGTAATTGTAAAATGTGAGGTGAAAAATATGCGTTAACTATAGTCATTTTGTTGTGAAAGTTTTGGACAGTTATGATACCATTGGGGGAAGCCCGTTGGGTAGTGCAGGTCGAAAACACCATTTTCAATTCAGTCATGGACCCATTTTTATTACCAGCACCAGCGTAAAACATTAAAACGGTTGGATATTGTCATTGAAGCGGGTAGCCGTCAACATTGTAGTATTTTTCATGAATGGCTTGATATGTCAATAATTGAATTTGTTCATTTGCCCGAAAGTGGAGTTAACCAATGCATTTTTGGTGTGTGAGCATCTATGTTTGTTTTGCAAACACGTATTTAGGTACTTAAAGGCATTCTTCTTGATCGATTTTATTTGTAGAATGTTTCTCGTGAAGTACCTCAACACGAAATTCCGCGCTCTTAACCTGATGAAAAAGGATAACTATGTAGAACTGGCAATTGGTGCTAATAAAGTTTCCGTATTTTTTTTTGGGGGGGTGGTAAGGTTTCTAATAGAAGACGAGTTATATAGGTAAGATAGAAAGTTGCGGCAGGACGGTTGAGGTGGTTGATACGCTTATCAGGATCAATAACAAGCGGTTTCTTGGCCACACAAAAATGGTGTTGAGCTACCGTGTTAACTAGACATGTGGTGATCCTTGCACAAACATACACAAGCCTGGGGTTGTCCATCTCTCTTCACCTGTCAACGGCCACTAGACTTGAAGGGTACTTCGGCGTGCCTTCACGGGTACTTAACACCCAACGCACACGCTAGCTTTTGACAGTACGTTGCATGGGTACGGTGGCAGTTGGTGAACCGACCGGGGGTGATCATCCCCCCTCCGCTGGAAGGACTCGGGTTAGGCCACGGTCGAGCGAGTCCGGCGATTTTCACGGCGGATTGCGGCGCTGAAAGGCGGCGCATTCACGGTTTTATTGGGGTTTTGTCCGTCATTTAGATGTTTGCCAATATACGCGTTGCAGTGTAAGGTCTTAGCTTTTTAACCCTTGGTAACCCCGGAGCAAGCTGGAGGAAACAGTCTTCTTTTTACCAATCAGATGTTTGTATACAAAAGAACTAGAGATAACAGCTGGACATTTATTTAATAATATAATAAAAATAACATCGCATCATTAAGCTCCCACCTTGACGTTAAAGTGCAAAATAAGTGCCACAAGCCAGCTCGGTTTTCCAGTCAATAATACTGACCAGAAAAGAAGTTCAATCAGGCAGATTTTCATTTGCACCACGGAGAAAAGAGGATCCTTAATGTCTGTAGCAAATTTAAGAACTTATGTGATAAATGAAATTAAATGTAATGGTCAAATCAGACTACAATTCAGAAAAGTATCAATCATCTTGTACACATCTTAAGGCACTTTTTTTGTGGCTTTAAATGGCTTTATAACAAGTATGGAAGTTATAGAACAGCATTTTTTTGGCTTTAAATTTTCGAGCAATTCCTCCGTCGAAAATGGTGCGACTCTCTTGACATGTGCCAGTCAACTTCCGGTAAGTTGCACTGATTCCCTCTGAATGCCACCACCAGCCGATTAAACCCAGGCAATCACACACCCCTTCAGCACCCAGACAAACTTAAACCGATCACAAGAAAGGAGCAGTCAGCTCGGATTTGTCACAGGGAGGTAGCGAACAGGGGGAAATGTCTTTCTCGAAAAGCAGTCTCCGGAACACATCCTTATCATAAAAGACGCGGTATGATATCCATCTCCAGATTCCATGCTTGGCATTTCGACCGTAGAAAACATGCTTAATCATGTTGAATCGATACCATATAGACTTGTCAAGCCTTTTTGTTTCGTTCTTTGTTTGACTGGATAACCTCGCACTCAGTGTGACCTGGATCAGGAGACCGGCGAAAGGTCAATGCCCGCTGCATAGGAGAGCTAGTCCTCGTCCCTCATTCTAGAATGTTGTCAAAATGTAATTTTAATCAACTCTATGATGCTAAACGAATGACACAGGATCCCATGAAGTGAGTCTTATGGACGATGTTCCCCCATTTCAAAGCTATTTCGTTTTCTGGGGAAATGCACAAGTGCATACTCTGCTATTTCGATATACGGGTTTATCATTGAATTTTGGCATTACATGTATATGGACGAAAAGGTCGCCTGTGTCTCATTGATTTCTGTGGTGTAAGACTTGCGAAAGGCCAGTCACTCAAAAGAAACTAGTGTGATTTATGACTCATTTTTGTTGGCTTAATTGGGTCACAAATTCATGCTCAATGCTATATGAACACATCTGCATGTGAAGATTTTGTCCGGTAAACAACACTTGGTGAAGAGGTTCTGTCTCTGAGGGCCGACCAGATGCACTCTTTTTCTCAGTACCTGTCAATTTTTCCCCGTTTACCACACTCCATCCACCATACCAGAACGCCTGGCTGATGTCCCCTGCCTGCCCCCGGCCGTTTCCCCTCGGTCCCTCCGCGCGGCTTAAGCTGCGGCGGCTTCATTTCCGAGCCACAGGTGAAAGCGTTTAGCTGCCGTGACATCGTAATTATAGTCCAGTGGGTGTCATGGGCCTGTTTAAAAAGCCATCAGTAAGTTTCACTGCAACAGTTGTTGCAGAGGTTGGTGCAAATGAGGGAAAACTGTACAGACGACCGAATGCCAGTAAAATTGTGTTTGATCAATGGAGATATGTCTATATAAACATAGACATGGAATTTAAATTGATGACAAGGTCAACTTTTGTCGAGGCAGCCATCATGGGTCTCATTCCGTTGATTCTTTATTGTATTACATGTGGCCCTTATGTGAAAACTTAAATGTGAAAACTTATGAAGTTGAATCTCGTTAGTACAGACTCTGTTAATACAAAATTCTGATATAACAAACAATTTGGCTAGGTCCGAACGAGTTTGTATTAACGAGACTCGACTGTATCTGTACTCTCATGACGCAACTACACTTCAACCTGCCTTCTCGGTGGAGACTCTGCAGCGATGCGCGCAATGTTTAATACTTCCGGGAACTCGCTCTTCGCACTTTTCATTTTGCGTTCACGGTGGCAAATCTTCTTTCTCCCTTTCTCTCTGACTTCTCGACGGGGCAATAAAGCTGATTTACGGTCAGCATATACATGTTCGCATGTTCAAGAACTTGTATACAACCCAAATGTACAACACACTTGACAAAATAATTGGCCCGGGCCATCTGCAACTCCCGCCGTCGTCGGAGCTGCCGCAGCGCGTGCCCTTTGACCCCGAGGCATTAGGCAGCTCACACGAATTCCTAGATCGGGCGTAAATCACGCTTATAATTTCACTCGTAATTTATTCCGTTCCTACTTCTGTGAGGTTCACCACTTAACAACTTTTTTTCTCACTCCTAACTTCTTTAGCGATCAGAAAAATTCCGTTCGGTATGGATTCTGTGATTTTACTGTGGTGGATATTTCTTTTCCTCTTAAAGCCCATGTGCATCGCATCGCATGTATAAGCATTCCCTGCACCGTCTGATTTTGATATCAATATATAATAGTTTTCCAATGAGAGATGTTTCGGATTTTTTCGGTCAATTGCCAATTTCATGCCAGATGTCTGCGAATGCTTGCTTCCTTCCGTCCCCAACATCAAAGGCAAACTTTTGGTTGAATTTTGAATAGGCCTAGTTTAGACTACTTAGAAACGGATTGACTATAAATGAGAGTACATCTGCCAGATGTGATTGTTTATGCAGCTCAAGTCAAATTATGTAAAGAAAAAAAAAAAGTAGGCTTCGATGAAAGATTGTTATTTTACTCCATCGATTAGTATTTCATGAAGCATATAGGTTAAGAAGTTAAATCATGTTATCATGATGTTATAGCTAAACAAAAAGTATTTCATCTTGACGGAGCATATTAATTATACTCTTGTGTATATTCAGTAAAAAAAATGCCACGAAAATCCGTTCATGCAAACCAGAGATCTAACAGAATATAAAAGGCTATGGGTTTTTCACCCATTCCAATGGGATTTACACAGTTAGTGATATCAGTGCATCAGATTTTCATGGGCCATTTCACTCTGATGTAAATTAAGTTAATTGCAATCCCATCCCATTGGAATGGGTGAAAAAAAAACATAGCCTTTTATAATCTGTTAGATCTCTGGTTTGCATGAACGGATTTTCATGGCATTTGTACTAAATATACACAAGAGTATAATTAATATGTTCCATCGAGATGAAATACTCATGTTAAGTAGTTTTTGAGAAATGAAAAGATATCTCCTTGCACACCTTTTTTGGGGGAAACCCTGCAGTTGTAGCAAGTAAATGCTTAAGCACTCACTGCAGTTCGATGAAATTGGGACAGTAATTTATTTGAGTATTTCGTCGCATGCTTAAATCAATAATGCCAGAAGCTTTTTTAAAGCTAGGTCCGTCCTGTGGTATTCCTGGGTAAGGCAGTTTTGTTTATATCTTTTCTTGTCTGCGAGTCCCGCTGTAAATAAAACGGGTAGGCTCACATTTAATTTACGATCTGGACATCAAAAAGTTACAAGTTGCTCACAGCTTGGACGAAGTTCGCCATAAATCGCTGCCGACTCATTCCGGAACGCATACAGAAGGTTAATGTTGAGGGTCTCTGGTATAAAGTATAGAACCATTTTGTTGTATGGCAGAACATTGTTAAGATTTCGTTTCATAAATGCATTTTTAACGGGTCCCCGCATGTAAAAAAAGGGACAACTTCTTGCTTGTTATGCCTTGTTTACATTACCAATCGCAACAAATTTATGACGGGATAAATTTTGACGCAATTTTTACGGCCGCTGCATTCTTTCTTGGCGCCTAAGTGGCCTGCATTTTTTTGGTTAATACACGTTTGTCTTTGACAGTTCGGTGTTCAACTTCTGCAGGAGTTTTTTTTTTTTGCGGTGTGAGGGCAGTGACTCGTGGTGTAAAGTATCGGCGTAGCAATTGAAAAATAACGTGGACTTCTAAAAAGCCATTTTTGAAAACTTAACCAGATCGTGTACTGGCTCCGTTGTTCTAAGAAAATTCTAATTTGTCCTATATCTTGATTTAGAACTGTTCCAAGTACAGTGAAATAAAACGGCAAGAGCAGTTAGTAAGTTATCCAAGGAAGGGTTTCGGACTAAGTTTGGGACTAGATGAAGAAGTAGTCAAAGTGGTGCCTTCACAGTCAGTGGGAGAAACCCTTGCCTAAAGCCCAACTACAATTTGACCAGCGGCGGTTTAGGGTTAAACCCGTGCCGCGCATACTGCGGCTTTGTACTGCGCCACAGTGCGACAGAACACGCTGCGTACGTACACTTCACACCTGACAAGTCCCTTGATCCGCACACGCAAAAACGAGGACTTCGCCTTAAGGTGTTCCGGCCCTTTCTGACACAAGACAAACTAGATATTAATTGATTTTCAACAGTTTCCCAACGCTGTCCCCCCGGGCCGAGCGAGCTGCAGGAACCTTTATACCGAAACGCGCGAGCGCGGCATGATGCATGCGCCACTCAGACTAACCGGCCCCCGTCAAATTCGCCGAAGGTCCAGCGTGAATTTTATAAACCGAATTTAAATTTGTTCCCTTAAGTTTAGTTTACTGAACAAATTTTCCATTTAGGATAAAACAAGATGAAAACACCAATACAAAGGGAACATACTTGCAAGTGAACCTACAATGAACTTGCCAACCCGTTGCTCATAAAAGATTGCATTCCTCTCCATCAAAGGCATGAAAGGATATTAAGCAAGCGGCCATTCACAGTATCTCCTTAATCCCCTGTTATTGCTCTAAATCTCCGGGGATTATCCATCAGTGGGGGAGGTGTAATACCTGCTAATAGATGTTGACCGAGCCTGCGTCATGCATTGTCCGGCCCACTCCCCACCGGCTCTTTGTAGTGGTTTGCTTCGGAGCCGACCTCTTTTCAGGTACGGAGGCGGATCCATTTCACTCTTTTGTGGATACAAGTAATGGGATAAAACAACTTTGCGGGCGTGAATTGGGAGCCCGTCATTGATAGCCCCAATAGCCTTCCGTTACATCCGTTTAAGGTTAAGGATTGGACAATTTTTTTTGGCTCTGTTGCAATCTGGCTGGAAGCTCCAGCTGACTTTAGCTGACGCCATGAATCATCTTGACGAGTATGAACAGATTCTGACATCACTGTAAGGGATTTCGAGCCACCAATTGGGCACGAAATTCAAGTTGGGATATTCGCAACATTCCTTTCAGGTTTACAATATCGCAGACAATACGCGCACCATGCTGATGTAGTTCTTGCATCTTTGGGTGTAAATTCGCATTTGGGTTATTCCCGTTTTCAAAACCTTGCCAAAACTGTGACACTGCATGATGGACATCTATTAGATATTTTATTTCATGGATGTCTTACTTTCAAAGCAGAACAGCCTAGCAACAAAACTCAAAGATTCATGAAAGGTGCCTCAAGTGTGGACTGACTCGGTGGCTTGGTGCCTTCAGACCGTTCACCAAAAGGGCGACAAGACCAGAATTTACGAGCTTAATAAAAGACCAATGAAATGAAAACAGTGTGCCAAAACAACACAGTGAGAGCGATCACTTTTCACCCCGTTGTAAATTACTCGGGCAAACTACCCGGTGGTATATAATAGTTCAGTACCTTTTGGATCTAGCCTGAACCCCAAACTGGTATAGGTCAGCTGTAAGTGCAAAAAAAACCGCTTCTTAACGTGGACAAGTTTTCAGAACATCTTGAGAAAGATACATTAAGCTTTTAATAGTTCAACTCTTTGGTCACATCATCACTACCCAAGGGCGGATCGGGGGGGGGGGCAAAGGGGGCCTTCCCCTCCCCCCCCCCCCAAAAAAAAAAACGAATCCAATTTTTGGTGTTTTTTTTTAGTGACTTCGCAATAAAGGCAGGCAATGAGTACACCACCATCTTTTTCTCAAAAAACATTGGCTAAAGTGGTCAGAAATTGCATCAGATCGCACCACAGAGCATCTAGAATCCCAATTTTTTCGGGGCCCTTAAGCGAGACTGGTACTTGAGACTGGTACCTGGACTTCTCTTCGCCTCCACCACGCCGGAACGTTCCGACGATTTTCAAATTAGCATATTCTAAGCCAAGGCTCAAAGCCATTGTAGGACAATACAGATCTTTTATTATTCGATCTTTTTACAAAAGGGAGCACTGGGCCCTCAATAACGATGCTAATTTTTGCAAGTGCCTTATAGGCCCACTAGCATTCCTATATGCGAGCTGATAATATCCTGAATTTATGGATCTGTGTAGCATCACACAATGCCCAACCCTTCAGCAAAGACCAAAGATGTGTAGTGTAATGCTTTTAACTCGTGCAGCAATAACATTGGAAGGGAAACATAAAAACTTGATGGCGCATCCGTGTTGTCGTTATACAGCACCCATCCAGACATTGATGATAAACTGACTTCTGTTGTTTTATTGAAGACCTACGTCTGTGATTTAGGAGGTCTTGTCAAAGGTACCCTCGCGTAAGGTCACCCCAGAGTCCTTCCAGCTGGAAGAGAAAGTAATATAAACACGACTGAAACCATGGACAGTCAAACTGGATGAGCAGATTGTTTTGATGGCAACTTAATTGCTGGCTATTATAGAGACTAACTTTTTTAATGTACATTTCTAACTCTCCTTTGTTGAAAAGGCAATGGAAGTAAGCTGTTGGGTTGTGAAATACGTTCAAGTTCATCGTGCCAATCGAAAAATTGGGCCACAAAATCATATTTCAATCATTCTGCCAAAATGGACATGCACGCGAAATTAAGATTCATTTTCTTGTTAAAATTAAACAAAAGGGGACGGTTAAATATGTTTAATTGAATAATTTATTTCCTAAGATTAGTTTGGCTTGAACGTGATACTCTTTATGTAACTTTGATTCTTTAGTCGGGGTAAATTTCGGGTCGTGGAGATTTTTATCCACACAATTGTCAGATTACACATGTAGCATGATGAAATTGTCATGATTGCAATTTTACAAATTTTTCTTCTTTCTTTTCCGCTTTTTTCAGGAGTATCGCTACCTACCCTCAAAAATCCAACATCGTGACGGACACGCAAGGCACCGAGATCTCACTAGAGCCACAGATGAGACCGTTGAACAAACGCCAGCGGAGGATGGTGCGTGACAACCCGGGTATTCTGCTGGCCATCTCCCAGGCCGTCAAGATGGCCGTCACCGAGTGCAAGTACCAGTTCAAGAACCGGCGATGGAACTGCCCGACCATGATGAATGTCCAAGGAGCCAATAGCCTCTTCGGCAAAATCCTTAATACAGGTAACGCCATTTGTATATTGTTGTTGTTGTTTCCGTTGTTTCTGTTTCTGTTGTTATTGAGTTGTTGTGGTTTTTGTTGTTGTTATTGTTGTTATAGTGTTGTCATTGTTGTTGTCGTAGTTGTCTCCAATAGTTGTTTCATGTAATACTTATACGATTTGTCGTATGTAGAACATCATTTTGACAGTTAAAGAAATTAAACACAGAAGGCACATTATTCTTAAACATCCTGTCTTACATGCCACTATAACTCCACGAATCGTTTTAGAGTTTGTTTAAGGATTGAAAACGTAGTTTAGATACAAAAAAAGTTCAATAAATATTTCCTTAATTCTTCTTAGTGTAGTCAAGTCATCAAAAGGCATTCTCCAGTGAAAAAATGAAGTGCATCAGATTATCATTAACGAAAAAAATGCAGTTTATGATTCTCAAATGTACGTTGAACCGGGCCCTCCGAATTCTGTCAGAGCGAATTTTGGTCCAGAGATGATGGGGCAAATAATGTGCAAACACGGTGTCCCGCTCGCCGCATGACACGGCTAGCAGCCCTAATCGAATCATAACGGCGTTTGGAATTCTTTTCCACCAAACCTTACTCGCGAGTTGCAACACTCTGCGCGGAATAATATGCCCTCTCGCGCGCCTATGGTGGTCTGAAAATAAAGGCAAAAAACAATCGGAGGCCCAGTAAACATCCCCAATCAGAATGTTACTGTTAACATTTTTGTTGTTGGCGGTGTGGCGCGCTTGATGAGAAAAACTATCAACGCGGCATGAGGCCAGGTGACTTGATCCGCCGTGCAGCAGGCGGCAGGCTGGCTAAAAATCAACGCGCGGCACGGGGCCGCCTTTGCCGTGAGTCGGGGCCGCCGCACGGCCTAGCACTTGAGCTTGACTTAGGTTTACAGACCGCACAACTCTTGGTAGAAAAATAATATTGTAATACGACAGCCGGACGGATAATTTAATGATACTTTGTTTGTATTTGATCTATAGTGACGTGTGGGTTTTCGGAAGTGTTTGTGTACATGTCTTCACTTCAGTTTTAGCCCTTTTCCTCGACTAACTCGTATCATATGTGAAACACATCACGATTAAATGAGACAGGATGGGGAAAAAACAAATGGTCTGATCAGTTTAATTTGTCTCACATCCCAACACAGTGTATCTTGTGCTGTTCCCTGAATTGAAAAAAAAAATGAAATGGAACGAAAACTTCGTTTTGCTTTTGGAACATCTTTCTAATTAAGAAATCTAAAATCTCTGGAAATTCGACAATGTGTTGCTTTCATAACGGATCAAATAAAATGCGGCTTAATCCCAGTGATATTGGCCAAGAAACAAATCCTCTTTTTTATCTTTCTATAAATGGCCAATGATAATACAAAATTTAAATTATTACGACAATGGGTTGCAGTCAAAACAGATCAAGTGAAACTTTGTTTAATCCCTGAAATATTGGCCGAGAAATAATCGTCTATTTAATTTGTATATGCATGACTCAAGGGCTGGGAGATCTCAGCATTCATGTAAACTCACCATGTACAATTCTCTCGCATTTCCAAACCAATTTAGCAGTGGCCCGCCTGACAACCGCCCAGCCGCGTTAAGGGCCGACCAGGGAGGAAACTTTTCCCCATTTTTTTATTTGTAACAAACCACAAAACAAGCAAAGGTGGTGAAGTTGATGGGAACGGGTGGAAGTGCGGGACACATAATACTGTAACAAAGAACGCCGACTGAGGCGACCTGCTGATCGCGGTGCGACGGGCCTTTCGTGTGTATAGCTGGGAGGCCATGCCAGCGGGGTATCCGTACTCACATACATGTACGTACGTCTCGTACGTGTCCTGTGCGTGTTCACTTCTTCAAATTCAAGTATAATATCCAGAATACGGCAGTGAATTAAGTCACTGATTGATCACTTGTAAAATTTCTCCTAGTGTGAATCTTAAACTTGGAGGGAAAAAACTGAGGGATTTTTTTTACTGATACGTAAGTAAGAAGGTGCTTAAACTTTAAAAGCACGAAGGAAAAAAACTGAAAACCATGTATCTGCAAAATAAGACCCTGGGCCCAATTTCATAGCGCTGCTTAACAGCCGACTTTGTGCTTACAGAGCCTCCATCTCTTTCATAGTGACCGTTATCAAGCAGTAAACACAGCAAAAGCACGCTTAACCCCAGAAGAAAACTTTGCTTAAATCAGTGACGTAACAATATACATCTCCATGCGCGCGCAATCGTTAGCATGAAATAGTGCTAAAGCAGCAGCATGATTTTCTGCTATACATATAGTAAGCACAACTTTTCTGCGTACTGTTAAGCGGTGCTATGAAATTGGGCCCCTGGCTTTTTGGATGCAGGAGAAATGTTACACCTCCGTAGCCTACTACGACTCTATCTAACCTTATTTGGAATAACCGTCAACATCGTTTACGTTAGCATTATAGATAAATTCTGACCAATTTGCTTTACCAATACATATCAAAAGATAATATCGGTATGAGGCATGCATATAAGAAATACTTACCCGGAGAAGAAGACGTAAACTATACACATAGGGGTTATATGTTTTAGAGTCGTTGGCGGTTTGTGTAAATTTACATTTTAAACTTTGGCGAGATTTTGGATATGTTGGCAGTACCCATGCATACTAAAGTTGAATATTGTGTCGAAACTGTTGCCGATAATGCTCGATACTTTACCGTTGAACCTTGACGCATAACGCAACAATTCTACCAAATTCATTGTAGCGCGAAGCACACAGAAACAAACCCTAAATGCCTCTGATTCGTTTTCCCTGCTTTTCTCTAATGTCCTAGTTACAGTATGGCAGAAAGGTGATGGGATCGTGCCTTTGATGATACAAATATGGTATTTGGCACACAGTCAGAGTACGTCATGTGAAACAGATTTGGCTATAGGGCCATCGCAGATTTGATCTTTGAAAAATTATAGGTAGAATATCGATCAGTGGCAGCCATTTTGAAAATTTTGAAAATCGCTTGTTATTCTACCTATTTTTTTTTTCAAAGGACAAATCTGCGATGGCCCTACAGCCAAATATTTCTCTTTAAAACAAACTCTGACTGTGTGCCAATTGCTGTGCTTGTATCATCAAAGGCACAGTTCCCCCAAATATCTCCCCTATCTGCCCCACTACTATACCAAGTAGTGCTAGAATGAATGAGCCTCATTTGGCGCAGTTCGTCTATGGTCACAGTAGCACAAAGGGGTTATAACAAAATAATTGTTTGCGACAGATATGAATGAGAAGGTCCCTTTGTTGGCCCATACCAAATAACATTGACTCCTAAACCGGTCTGCAAAGATGTTTCTTGGTGCCAAAAAAAAACAACACTTTTGATTGATGGATCGCTCTCTGCTGCGAGTCACACTTTTGCCTACACAAATTGCCATAAATGGGACAAATAACTGATTTGGAAATGAGTTCTCCATACTCTCCGAGGAATGTGGCTGTGAACGAAGTTCAATGAACTAGTTCAGAACACAGTTATAAGTCTAGACTGTGGAAAAGGGTACTTGCTTGACAGTGAAAGTACTGATGCTTGCTGCTTGCCATTTTGGTGCCAAATAGTGCATTATAACTGATTTCGATTAGTTAATTTGCCCAAGACGTATATCCCTTTTGAAGAGGGGCGCTGGGACTCGGGGGCTTTTGGTCAAAAATGCAAGCAATCACTGCATGTAAGCAGGGGCTTATATGCTTACGCTGTTGATGAAGTCTTATCTTAAAATAAGCAAACCAATAGGGACCTAATGCAATAAATTTAGATTGTTACTGCGTATGAGTCGAATAAGCTATTCATTTAAAAGAAAGACACGTCTCCCTCCTCATTTAACCAAATCTCCGCCCACAAAAGATTACCCGAATCATTGCTAACCGAATTTCGGATATACACAAAATGCTGACGGGGCAATGGGCGCTACAACACCTCCAAGACACCTTTTGTTATCTCCAAAACAAAAATGGGTTCTGAATATTGTCCGGTATATACGAAGAACATCACAACAAGAAAGGGAAAAAGTTCGCCTCTCGGAGAGGCTTTATTTTTTTATTTTCCGAATGTGCAGCACACCATTAACCCAAACGGACCCCAATTCGTCACTCTTAGTGGGAAAATGGCTTTGCAGGCTGGTTAGGGGACCGGGGGTTTGGCGTGTATGGACGGGATGCGATCAATCTCATTTGCCACGGGTGGAAACCGCCTCAGCTCCCCGGAGGAGTTGCTAGAGTGTAAGGCCCCGAGCCTCATTCTTGCTGTCATATTTGGGGGGGGGGGGCTGCACTCAAATTCCGAACTATCAGAAGTTCATCCATTACCGAAGATAGGTCGGTCCAAAATAGCTGGCAGTCTGTTCAACTATGGCACTGCCATGGAGGACAGAGAGTCTGTTCAACGAAAGGCAAGTGCCACTATCTCAAAAAGGATGCATTGCGGTTTATGTTTACGGAAAGTGTTTTCTTCGTCGGCTGCCTGACACTGATTTTTGATGATTATGGATGAGAAAGTTGGGACTGGTCTGTCCTTCCGATCGTGCATCATCATACGCTGAATTCCTGGTGAAAAGATCCCAAAGTACAGTCCTCACCACGAAGGAAAACAATGATGGATAGCAATAGTGGCGAGAATTTGACTTCAAAATCTCGCAGGAGATTCCATGAGAATCCGGCTTTACATGCGCATGCGCAATCATAAACGCTTTGCGGCATGCACAGGGAAATCACTTCGTTAATGTGAACACTATTCGTTCAACATCAACTAGCTGCTTATCACAAATTGACTCAACCATGTCAAGCAATAAACATTAACTTATTACAAGAGTGACGAACAAGGAAAGTTAGTGCACACTTCCCATCATGTACTGTCCTAGGGAAATGTTCACCATTTTCCATATTATATTCTCAAGCCAAATCGAGAAAAGGTGTTAAGGTCTAAATGTCGATTGTTGACCTTCTTTGAGACAAAACTAAACAAAATACATGTATAAGCCTTGAAGTCCATTGTTCAACAGTCATGATCAGAAATTGAAAACTTGGGAAATTTCAACCTAGTACGGCGTCCAATTTGGAACATGTTGTCGAAATCAACACAACTAAAAACAGTGACGTTTTACCGGTGTTGTGCAACGGCTACCATTTGTTCCTCTTGACGTTTTATCGATTGTATTCGCCAGACGTGCTTTGAATGTTGTTCTCGTTGTTTGTAAGGACGAATACAATTATTGACAGTTAATCAAATGTTTGATACAGGTCTCCCGCAGAGTGCTATATCCTTCGATCGGCAATGAGCCGTATAGTGCAAATTTACCACACCTGACTTATCAAAAAAAATCAAAAAAAATTGCAGATCGTGTTGCCCGAGTCCGTGTTCTTGTATATACACTCTTGAATGAGAGGCTGCCAGACTATTTCAACGTGATTGCCCTGCTCTCTTTTAAACATAGGCCTATATTTCAGCACTTGGGCTAAAACAAGATGGCCGACTCGATCAAAGATGGCCGACTCGGAGCTCTTTGCTTAGGCCCTATTTAAGATACAACCCACTGTACATCCGACAATACATCCCAAGGACTTTATATGATAACGTTCAAGCAGTTACGGAATGTCGATTTGAGCTAAATTAATTTGGACAGATCTGGCCTATAGTTGCTATTTTGTAGATTACCTTGTCATTCAATAGAGACACGGTTTCGAAAGAAAACACGACACCGTGTCAGTGAAAAAACAAGAAAGATTTTCATGGGCTCGATGTCAAAGCTTTCTTGACTTCTGACCGACAGTAACCCTGCGGAGGCCCATGTCGTCCTCCTATGTGGCCTCGTGTTTTAGGGCACTTCACTGGCCTGCTTTCTCAAGTGATGTTTTCCGCAAACACAAAAACTGTTTCAAACGCTCTTACATTGACCTCTGTATTCTACCCTTCATCCTCTTCCATTCCTTGGGCAGATCACGCGGAATAAATGTGGTTTACTTGTTGTCTTCTCTTTTGGGATGTTGCTGACAAACTCTCGGTTGGGTAGACAATGGTGAAATCTCTTCCTTTTGAGGGGGGGGGGGAGAGTCATTCCGATGTGGCTGTTTTGTTGGATTGATTGCTGCGCACGAGTTGTTAGTATCAATGATTCTAGAGATTGGCACAATTATTGGATGAGTGGGATTATCCGCTCAATCCAATCAGTCGGTTTATATTGGATCGATTTCAGATGAAATGCTTGGTGACAGGGGTGTGAGTGATTGGGGCTACGTTGGCGGGCCAGCCAGATATATACACGTTGGTAATCCAAAACTATCTTACAACCATCAAATCATTTTCTTCAAATTAGGTTTTGCCCTTCACCGACGTTTTTAAACACTGTATACTCAGTGTGTTACCTCCCGAGTGAAAGTTGGAAAAAATCACTCGGGTGGGACTCGAACCCACGACCTCCTGCTTTCTAGTGCAGATGTCTTACCACTCGACCACCGAGCTAACGGGATCGGTTGGCCGGTTCGAATCTGATCATTTTCTTCGAATCAAATCATTTTCTTCCTAAGTATTCGATATGATTTTAAATGATGCACAGATGTATTTTAAAAGGGTATCATCGAGAATTAGCGATAAGCAATCGCAAGTATAAAAGGCAGCAAATATTACGACATTTCTTCAAGGCGTCACATATTTTGTGCAACTTTCTAATCCTCTTAAATGCGTGAAAACTATTTGACATCCGTTTTTGGTTAATTTTATTGAAAAAGTACACTTCTTTAAACATTTGACATTTTCCATGCTTTTCCGGACAACTGAGGGCGCTGTTGCTATGATGTCATTTTAGGAAGACACTGCTCATTTTAGGTGCTTTCTGTTCAAGTTGTGAAGCCAAAAATGTGTTCATTGAAAACATTTGTGAGAAAAGTTTGCTCATTGGCTTAATTCGCATTAGCGTAATAATGAAAAAGGCACCAAAATACCTTGAAAATGACAAATAGAAAATTGAAAATATGGATAAAAGGGACACAAAGGTGTATTGTCCAGGATTGCATTTTAAAAGGATGCATTGCATAGGCCTTTTAAAGAACAATTGAAATGTTTAACGAACTCCATTTTTTGGGGGGGGGGTAGTTTCTATATAAACCTCATCTATAATCGCAAGTAGGCCTTCATAGAAAGGTTCCAAATAGCACGATATTATGAATTGACCCTGCAATAAGGTGTTACTTAAAAAGGTAATTTTTTACGGACTTGAGTTTTTGTAGTCTTTATAAACCTCAGCTGATGCCAGTATTGTGTATACATTGACACATCATTCTAACATGACGTACTTTTTCTCCTTACTTTCTTATTAACAGCTTGCAGGGAAACTGCGTTTATTTACGCCATAACCAGCGCGGCTGTCACACACTCCGTAGCCCGTTCGTGCAGCGAGGGCAGCGTGGAGACGTGCACCTGCGATTACAAGTACCAGCGACCCAGCGAAGAGGACTGGGAGTGGGGCGGCTGCAGCGACAACATCGCCTTCGGCCACCGCTTCTCGCAGAAGTTCGTGGACGCCGACGAGAAAGGGCGAGACTTGCGGTTCATGATGAACATGCACAACAACGAAGTTGGAAGACTGGTAAGTTCAAAACAGTTTTATCAAGTTTACTTTTTTTTCCTTTGAAGTTGATTTACTGAAGAGTGAACGGGTGATTTTTAGCTGCGAAATTACAGCTCAACAAATCACCATGTTTTCCGTTAGTCTGTTAGTTAGTTAGTAACAAACGTTGACATTGTCTATTGCTCCTACATATCTTGACCAATTTCAACCAAGCTTTGTCAAAAGTATCAGCAGCCCAGCCCCAACTTGTCACATGACCAAACTGGGGTCAAAAGTCGTCATGGGTCACTGGTGTCAAAACCTGATTTTTTTTAAAACTCGAAACACTAGCCTATTTCCAGAAATTACATGGTACATTCACGCGACTCATGCATGAACACGAATTCGTTGGTCCACAGCTTCCGAGATATTTCCGATCTAGCTTGCTATTTAACTTAAAAAGAACGAGGTTAAAAACGAAGTAAGCCTTGGGGACGAGGTTGAAGTGAACCATGTAGGTCGCCATGTTTAACACGCATGCGCGTAAGTGTTCTTGGAATCGCGTTCTTCTGTAAGGCCCCCCCCCCCCCAAAAAAAGTCTCCGGTTTCTGGTATGGAGCTTGCCCAAAAAGTGGTGCGGCGACGCGGCTTTTTTTTTTTTTTTTTACCTGATTTTTTTGCTTCAAATGTCGGGATGACTGCAAATGGTGCCCGACTAAACTTAGTGCAAATATATGGGAGTCCAGAGAGGCCACATAAAGCTTATTCTCAACCATAACCCCATCTAAAAACACGTTAAAATTGTGCAGCAGCAGGATTCCAGTCAAACCAGTGAGTTTGGCGGTTTTGAAACATCATCTTTCATTGAAAAAAAAACTTTTTCATTTTGCCGACGCGCATGGCTACGGTGACGCCTGCGCATACCAGAAACCGGAGACTTTTTTTTTTGGGCCTAATCTAGTAACGTTCGATTTACTACATTAGATCATCTCCTATCCAGCCAAATATTTGGGAAATGATGTATGAGATTATCCGTTTATTTCAACTGGTGACACGGACGATCTTGGCAGGGGCGGGCTACCGTATTCGAACTATTGGTGGCGCTTTCAGTTACCTTGACTTTAGTTTTGTGTTAAATGGTGTGGACGGTATTTATTATGATTCTACAAAGCCTGTCAGCAATGACGTTCGCGTATTAGACTCGTACGAAAACAAACATTTTATTTTTGTTCTTTTTTGTCTCTCTCAATTCGCTTGTTCTCATCCCAGAATTGGTAGCTTTTGTTTGGCTTTCGATGTTTGTTATAGTTTAAACGATACCGGTTTCTCGACCACTTCTTAAAAGTGGCTTTGATCGTTTAATCGGTTCCAACAAGTGGTATTTTAAAAGCTTGAAGTAAGGTTACCTCTTCTCGTCTTCTCTCCCACGAAGCGATCTTTTCAAAAACCCATTGCCGTTTTTCTGTCTTCTTTTTCTTTTTGAAATCGTGCAATTTTCGACCACAATTGCCAACCTTTGTCATCTCAAACGGTTCCACTTATTTTGTACAATTGTCGGTGTCGGTGTTCCCTTGCTTTCTAACGATAAGCGCGATCCTGATAATGAATACGCGGCACACAACTCATGTCATTGAGAACGTTTATGACTGTGTCATCTCCGCTTAAAACACCTTTCTTTTCTCTGAAAACCTGCTATTGGTTCAGATTACCGGTTAGAGGAACCCCTTTGAAAGGAACTTAGCACCATTGTTTCATCCACGCCCCCCCCCCCCCGATCCCCCACGCCTCGACCCTCTACGGCCCGTTGCGTCGCTAACAGTCACCGCGGCGACATCACAGTCGTAAACTCGCTTGCTTTTCAGCCGCTTTGCTCCCCTCATCTTCAAATCGAAAAAAGTCGGTACTGTTAAAAGAAGAGCAACTGCCTGTTTTCTTTGCCAATTCACGGAGTTGTATAGTTGGCCCTGTGCAATTACCTGTCCTATCGGCCTTTTATTCTGAACGTTTACGTCAAAATTATGAGCCCCGCTCGCGTTTTCAAGTGCCCCCTTTGAGGGGCTCGTAAAAGGGGTACTTAGTAGGCCCTGTAAACGAAAACAACGAAAAGACCTTGTTTCCAACAATTGCCGGTACTATTGGTTGCTCTTTTTAATTCGGACATTAAACTCCCCGCCCTAAGCTGTATCATAATAGACGAATAGGCTGAACCAATGATACGGGTTTTTTTTAACAGAGAAATTCCAGTACGTCATAAAGAATCCTGTGAATGGATTCTAGGAGCGGTGAGTCATGTGTGTGGGATGTTCCCAATTGTGTCAGGAACGACTCACGGATTTGACTTTTTTTTCATATTGCGAAGACTCAAAGTGTGTCACACAAATTATGCAATCGGTCATGCATGGTGTAAGACGACTTGAAGATTTCCAACTTTTACTTTTTCACGCGAAAAAGGCAAAGTCACATCCGGTTAATTAGCAACTCACCCGGCTAGTCACTTAATATTGTCTCTAAAATTTACTGTAACCAAACGAAACAACCACGCTTATTTAAATTTTCGTTCTTGACTTCTCAAAAATAATTATAAAAGAGAGAAAAGGTTCTGTAAAAAGTAACAATAAAATTAAAAAGGTAGTCTGCCCTTAAGGATTTCATTGGAAATACCAACACCCAGACTATACAGCGTCTTTCGATGGAAAATATTGAAAAATGGGCCATTTTCCTACTGAAGGCTCCCAATGATATTTGAGTTCAGAATGAACCAGTCTAACTGGGTAAAAAGAGTAGCCTTTCAAATGCTTATGTTGGTGTTACTTTCTTGTTTTTCAGACGGTTTCTTCAGACATGCGGCAGGAGTGTAAATGCCACGGCATGTCCGGTAGTTGCACCATCAAGACGTGCTGGATGCGCCTACCAACCTTCCGTACCGTGGGAGAGTTCCTCAAGGATCGCTTCGACGGCGCTTCCCGCGTGGCGCTCCGCAACGAGGGAGTCCGGGACAGCAGCAACAGCAACAGCAACCGGCCCGGGAGCGAGCGGGGCGGACGGCGGGACCGCGGCCAGCAGCGCGCCCCAACCGGCACCGAGTCCAACTTCCAGCCGTACAACGCCAACCACAAGCCGGCCGGCCCCCGCGACCTGGTCTACTTCGACGACTCGCCCGACTTTTGCGTGCGGAACGAGAAAGTGGGCACCCTGGGCACGGTAGGGCGGGAATGTAACAACACCTCCCTGGGAGTGGACGGGTGTGACCTGATGTGTTGTGGGCGGGACTATGACGGCTCACAGGTCCGAATCAAGGAAAGATGTAGCTGCACTTTCCACTGGTGCTGTAAAGTCAAATGCCAAGAATGCACGACAGTAAGAACCGTCTATCGCTGCCGGTAGAACATTGTATAAAGTGTACTTTTTGTAAACACCTAACTCAAACCCATGTCTCATGTGTTAAGTTCTAAGTAACTTCAGTACAAAAGAAACAGAAAAAGCTCCCGCGAAAGCTTTTTGACAGCAGGAACATTGACTTTTTCTAAAAACACAAAAGGCAAGAGCTGAGCTTGTCTAACAAACAAGAAATCTCGAACATATTTTTTAACCATATGAGATGTGGTCTAGTCGGTGAATCTCTATTATGTAAATAAATATTATATGATACTTTTATTAACATTTTTTTAGCGTGCAAAGTAATTATAATTATTATTATTATTTTGTTTTGGTATGGGTACGAACGTTGATTTATATGCGACATCCGCCATTCGTCGTGAACAAATCAATGCAAAGCTGTTGGAAGATTAACCTACCCAAACCAAATTCAAGAAAGTAAGGCGTTTGATTGGCTGAATTTAAAAATTCTTTAGTACTTTTTTGAGTTCGACCCCTCACTTATTTGAAAAGAATGGTTGAAGATTACAATGCATCATGGTTTAATAGTTAATTTCTCACAGACTAAACATTGACGTACAACAGCCTTTTAGGGATATTTTTCTTGTACACAACTTTAGTTTTACTGAAAAATAAAGTGCATATCCCTCAAGTATTCATGGGGGAACTGAAGAAAATGCTAGTTTACAGGTGTTTCAATTGTGCATTTAATTTTCGTACTTAGATGTTAATTTGTATGACATCAAAGCTAAATGTAGTGAAATGGTAAGTAAACGTGATACACATAATGCATGTGTATGCATTGATATTATGTTCTTTTTGCCAAAACTTAAACTACTTATATTTATGTCGGATTGATAGTAATTACATTATGGCCGAATTGGCAACCCGTTGAATCACCAACTTTAACACTGGATAACATCTCGAGCTAGCTGAGCATGTTTACGAGGCTTACGACTTTCTCCACCCATTTTTGGTGCTGGACGGAACAGTGGTTTAGCGCCCTCTTTCGACGAGTTGAAGCAACTTGAAAATGGTAGCCAGCAGCTCGGTCGCTTCGCTCGTACCCACCGCCCTAAATAGGGCGCTGGGAAAGGGCTAATCTTCTGCACAAAATTGAAGGAAGCACAGGCGCGCAAAGCATTGTGAAGAACTTACTGCCTCAACCAATGCAAGTACATTTCTCTGCGCACGTGTCATGCGCAGGCGGAAGGGTTGACCCGCGTTATTGTTCGAACAAATTCTATCCAATGGGAACTCGAAAAAAAAATACGTCATGCATCCAGAAGAAATTAGCCCTTCACAGCGCCATTTTTATGGGTGATGGGTACGAGCCAACTCGGTCGCCAAGTTCGTTTTAAGCATGTATTATAACCATACTTTACAAGTAACATTTTGATCATAAATCTGTAAGTATGGAACTTTTATCGATGAGTTATTCAAAAGATTTTTTTTTTAAACTAGTGGCCGGCAAGACTTTTTTGATAAACTGTACAACTCTTTTAAACTAATTGAGACCTAACTGTACAAACGCATTATGTTTTCGGTTTTCACAAATACCGAGTCTGTTATTTTTTGATGAATTTGTAGCTCAAATCGTTAAGCATGTGCAAATTAAATTGTTGCGTGCTTTTGATATGAACCTAAATCAATATTTAAACAATATTCGACCGACGCCTTTAAATTATTGATGAGCTGGTAGATACATGTTTTGCGGTATTCATCAGCCTGTGTGTGGCATTGTAAATATAGTAAATAACATGCTTTTATATTTGAATTGATTATGTTAATTAACTAGAGCACAACAACAATGAAAATATCTGGTGTACAAAGTACAATGGACGTTGTTTAGCTAATAGGCTGGCACTTTTCTGAAATGAATGGTTTGAAATCAGTAGAGCTCTTGTTTTGTAATTTATAGCTCGACAAATATTGTTTACTTCCACAAAAAAGTAATGTCCTGAATTCAGGAATGGGCCATGCAGGCATACTGGGATTTGCGCCTGTTATTACTTGTGGGTGTATATGTATATAGAGGTTGGTGAGAGGAAACGAGTATGTAATAATTGTATGATAAACTCATACAAGAACATGTTTTTGCGCCATTCCCTTTCCCAGGGGTGTTTTTCCAAAATATTATTAATAATATTATTATAATATTATTCCAATATTGCAAAAATGGCTCGGATTCCGGAATGTCCATTAAACCACTTGCAAATTGCTAAACTGTGTGAAATAAAAGAAAGAAAGAAGGAAGATCAGCTTTTGGGAGGTGATTATTTATTATGAGAGTCAAACTGTTATTTTTTAAAGTGATATAGTGACGAGGAATTGTGGTTCTTTACTTTCAAAGGAACCCTTTCGTGCCCTTTCAAAATTGTCTTCATATATTACTTACTGCCGAACTTGTACCGTCCTGTTGAGGCTGAAGTGCGCCCTCTGCTGTCCAATGGGATATAAACCTCGAGGTCATTGGCTATATTATTCGCGCTGAACACACTCTATCCGGTTCGTTAGTGTGACGTCACCTCCAGCACTTTCTGCACGATTGGAACCGGAAGTTAACGCAGCCCGAGCGTTTGCAGCCAATGAACGCTAGTAATCAGGGGTGTGCGCGCGTGTATGACGTTTTTACTAACGAACCGGATGGAGTACTGAAGTGAATACGTCACGCGCACAAAATGTGTGTGAAAGACATTAGCGCGTGATTCAGCCCGTGAACCAACACGCGCGCGTACTCAATTTGTTTGCACCACACTTCCTGGTTCTAAATGACGTCACATTATAAAATACTAAACCCCATGTCTGGAAATTACAACAAAAGCAAATGTAAATTCCCTTTACCCATGTGTTATAAATCGGTAAATACAGCGCAGGTACACGCAAAGGGGAAATGTAGTATGTAAATCTAGTTGTGTCGTGGTTAATGTCAGAGGTTTTCATCTTAAAAATGGACGGTTTTCGATAGGGGGGGGGGCAAGTTATCCGGCATGGTGCCACCGGAGGTCTGGGGAAAGTTGCTGGATACCTAGGCTTTTTAAAACCACTTCAAATAATCCCAAATTTAGTTGAATCTTCCAGGGAATTTCCGATCGAATGTGGATTGACGCGATAGCCTTGTGGCCTAGTTCGCTCATCAAACTACCCGCACCAAGAAGGTCTGAACATGATCACAATCTCATTTCATGTCGACGGTTTCCTCTGTGCAACTTCCTCCTGCATTTTTAAGGAAATTGGAAAATTGGCGCATTTCCTTTTCTTCCCTGACTGCAGGTATAGCCGCAGCTTGCTGCAGGGGATTGGTAGATGGCGGGGAGGGGGTGTCATGGGCTGACGTCACTTAGGCAGCCTGCCGAGTTTCAGCGGAATCGGAAAAAGACATTGAGGAGGATCGAATGGCAAGCGGGCGCAGAGCGATTTGAAACATGTTCAGACGTTCGACTGTTAACGATGCTCACGGTGCTATAGTCTGTCATGTATACAATGTACATGTAAATGCATAATTAGCTGATTTGTAATATTTCAAAAGTATCCTTGTTTTTGTGCAGCTAAGTCCAGTCAAAGATGGAAACTACATTGTACATACACTGTACATGTACATGCCCGAAAAAATTGTTGCGACGTGGCCCTTTTAAAAGTTCTCAGAGATGCAAGCCTGACGTCATATTGTGCAAAAGTTGCTTGGAAACTTAAAATAGCCCCTGACGCCTAGAACTAGAAGAGCGACGGGATTACAGAAGTAAGCTCTTAAACTAGGTATGTTAACACTTTGCCGCCATTGATGTCTATTAAACAACCGAAAAAAGGGTTAGCTAATTAACAACCCCCTAAATCGCTGATATAAATGGAGGTGAAACACGGGAAAGAAAAACACAAAAACATAGTTTATTGAATATAAAGGTAAATGTCATTTGGTTGACTGGATCAGATCCCGCCGGAAAGTTGCCAAAAAGCCAGACCCTATCTGGGTTATTCATTTCCCGCCAAATTTCCCCCCGCAGTTTTCCAATTGATTCGCCACGCTAAACAGACGGTACCGTGAATTTGTGCAAAATAGCCCGTCCAATTGATTGTAATAACCACCCACAAATCCAGCCGTGCGGACCACACAGAACAAGGACAAAAAAATGCCCGGACGGCGTTTTTCATCCCTAAACTACCGCAACAGTTTCACATTTCTGTTACTTTTGTGACCGCACATCGCACTCAACGGGATCCTGTTTGATTTCGCAGAGATCTCCGCTCGGCCAATGGCACACTGCCAAATCGATCACGTGCCCTGCAGATCAGACTGGCACGCTGGACCGCACACGATCTAAGTCTACCCAGACATTTTTTTTTATTACGTGACTGAATTCTGACTGACAGGAATAAGGAGAAAGTTGAGGTAGGTCTGGTTAAAGAAAAGAAACCCGGCAAAACCATCCTCTCCGCAACAAAATGCAATTTCCGCGGTGAGTTTACCCAAGGGAAGTATGGTAGACCGACACAGGAATAACTTCCAACTTGATAGTTGACAAGACGGATGACAGGCAAGGATTCAGGAAGCTATAATGCACAAGGTTCTCCGATCGCCCACGTACGAACATGGATGACGGATGAAAATTCTGACAATAGTTGACATGACAACTTCTAGAACGTCTACATTTCGCCTAAATCATGCAGCTTGCGTAGAAAGGACATAATCTCCATGCAGTCAAGGAGAGTCGATGAGGGGGCGTTTCTTGTTGAGAGGGGTTTTGCTGGGTTAATATTTTCACCACATTATACGGCCGAAATATGCTCTTATATGCAACAATCGCCCACCCATGCATGAACGCGAAAAGTTTCAATTTCAAAAATAGTAACAATTAACCCAGAAAAAGATTGAGCTAGGACAACATATTTTTTTATACTCATCCCTTTCCCTCAGCTCTATAAATTCGTGGATTTTCGGGGGGGGGGGGGGGAGGGGAGCGCCCCTTAGCGTTAAATGAGGTCCAGCCCAGCCCCCCCCCCCCCCCCCCCCGGTATTTGCTAATTTGGTTCTGGGTCCCTCAGTGGCTAAATAGACCAAGTTATTGTTTGGAAAACGTGATAGAATAAGTATATATGCGATACACGTAGTTCGTTTATATTTAATCACAAATGGACAACATTTAGTAGGCTCTGTACAATGCTAATAATGTCACCTCACGTCAGTGAACAGGACAAAGCACAATCCTCAAAGAAGAACCGATCCAAGCGAAGGACTTCGCTGTTTCCTGTTCAATAAACGAGGCGAGGTCGAAGTTAATGGTACACTTTCTTTAACACATGTAGGTACTATCGATCATGAGAACAGTTAATTTCAGTGAACAGGGCTGAGGTTTAAGTCCGCATTTCCCTGCGTCACATCCTATAGGCATGAGCTGCGCAAGAGGAGTCGCCGTTTGCTGTTGCTGATCAATGTGAAAAGAAGGTAGGTTAACGTGGACCCCGGGCGGTAGTCGCTGATAGACATTTCTAATCCTCGACCGTCATCCCTTGCCCCCAAACCGTTTCCGCGTTCCAGTCAGTTCTGGCGTCAAGTCATCACAGGGAACGGACAACAAAGATGGTGCCAAAGCACGTTGTGCACATCATGCGTGCCAACCACAATTATTAGGGTCCTTTCGAAATAGCACGCGATACGTACGCAGCACGGAAAGCAGAATTACGGATAACATCACCGTTTGGTTTAGTTATTTCATCTGGCCATGTATCTACATTTCAACATGTTGGTGTGACATTCCAAATTGCCGATAGTTTACCCTTTTAAATCAACAGTTTGCCATTGCTATTATAGCAATGGCAAATTGTCGATTTAAAAGGGTAGGCCTATTTGTTCAAGCCGCATATACATTTGTAGAATCTCCCGTTGCTGCACCATATCTAACGACGGTCCTAGTAAATAGTGCGTACCATTGCCAAACAGCTCATAAGCACGCCACAGATGGTATGGGGGCGCTGCTATGACGCAGGATACAAGGCGCCATCCCTCCCATCAACAATTCACCATCCCTCCGACCGACAGGCCACCCTCGCTCCCATCATTAAGCCACCATCCCTCCCATAAGCCACCATCCCTCCCTTTAACAAGCCACCATTCCTCCCATCAACAAGCCATCATCCCTTCCATAAACACGCTATCATCTTTACAAGCCATCATCTCTCCCATCAACAAGCCACCCACCGTCCCATCAACAAGCCACCATTCCTCACATTAACAAGCCATCATTTCTCCCATCACCAAGCCACCCACCGTCCCATCAACAAGCCACCATTCCTCCCATCAACAAGTCATCATCCCTCCCATCAACAAGCCACGTATGCACGTTTTTGTCGACATCCCTATGCATGTTTGTGTCGTCATCAGTACCTCTGGGGGCCACCGTTACTGTAATAAGGTCGGCCCTAGAGGTATGCATGTTTGTGTCGTCATCAGTACCTCTAGGGGCGACCATTGCTGTACTAAGGTCGCCCGTAGAGGTATGCATGTTTGTGTCGCCATCAGTACCTCTAAGGGCCACCCTTATTAAGGTCGCCCCGATAGGTGTGCATGTTTGTGTCGTCGTCGGTACCTCTAGTGGCGACCATTGCCGTTCTTAGGTCACCCCTAGAGATATGCATGTTTTCCGTCGTCAGTACCACTATAGGGGCGACCATTACTGTACTAGGTCATCCCTAGAGGTATGCATGTTTGTGCCGTCATCAGAACCTCTGTGGGTAACCATTACTGTACTAATGTCGCCCCTAGAGGTTTGCAAGTTTGTTTCGTCATCAGTACCTCTAGGGGCCACCATTACTGTACTAAGGTCGCCCCTAGAGGTATGCATGTTTGTGTCGTCATCAGTACCTCTAGGGTACATTACTGTACTAAGGTCGCCCTACACTGTAAAAACGGTGCTTAGGATTTAAACACATTTCTAAACACTTATTCTGTACCCACTTTTTCCACACGTTTAGCATCATGACATGTTTAGATGTCCTTTTTCTGTGACACGCATTATCCGTTTGACATGTTCAATGAATTATGTTTAGCATTTAAACACCTTCCTAAGCGCATTTAGATATACAATCCTAAGCACATGTCCAAAACGTAAACACGTTTAGTTTCACAACGTTAAAAAGTGGTAAACGTTTAGAATTGAAACACATTCCTAAACGTTTTAAACTCTAAACACGTTCTGATGTGTTTAAATGCTAAACACTGTTTTTACAGTGTAGAGGTATTCATGTTTTTGTCGACACAAACTCACACATGCGTACCTCTAGGGGAGACCTTAGTATAGTAGTGGTAGCCCCTCAGAGAGGTACTGATGAAGACACAAACATGCATACCTCTAGGGCGACCATTAGTGCAATATTCTGGTCGCCCGTAGAGGTATGCATGCTGGTGTCGGAAGGGCTCATTCAAAAACCACAATTACTTGAATTGCACGTGCGTTGAAACTCCTCCCTTTTCTCTCCCCCGCCCATTTGTTTGTTCTTAAAAAAAAAATTCCCGCTTTTGCAAAGAAACTGTTACAATTATTGTTTCCCAGCCCCCCCCCCCCCCCCCCCCCCCCAGGGCTTGTAAACCTGGATGCGCTAACAGATACATTCAAATTAAAATTGGATTATAACGTGTCCTTCGTTGGTTGGTGAATATTGAAATTATTTATTAATAAAAAAACATTTTCGCAGTTTGGCATTGAAAGAAACAAACAAATGTATTTGTTTTTTAACGGAAATCGCACCGTGTTCATTGATTACCATGCACAAACATTGAAACACACAATGAATTACATTTGGTTAAATCTGATGCAAATATATTACAATTGGAAATAAAAATAAGGCACTGTTGGTCATATTCTTCAAAGGCAAATTTAGCAAGAACTGTAATTAAATCCTTAAAAGTATTCGCCACTATTTTAAGAGACTCTGAAAGCATTTTAAATACATGTATAAGAACAATATACTTTAGACATTACAAAATTATATTCAGTGATATAAAAATATGTTACATCTTACAAAATTAGTATTAAAAGCAGAGTGATAGTAATCGCCTCTTTCATGTGTTTCTCTAAACATCATCATATGTACAGCTTTCACACATTTTCTTTTGAAGGGCCTGCGTGCCAAATGTTCACCAGTGTTAAAATAGTCGAGCTATTAAGATGTTTCTCTAATACTGTAAAACAATTGAATTACCACTTTTTTTTCAAATACTGAACGTATTGCTACTGACAAAAGTTTGCTGTATAGGCACTAGAACATAAGCCCGTGCTACGCACGGGAAGTGAATTAAAAATACGTTAAAAAGGCACTGAATAATGATTGTATGGTTTTGAGTTGGTGCTGGCAGTAGATCAGGTATATACGAGTCCCTTCCAGTATACTCTGTGGTCACTGAATACTTAGTATGGAAGAATGCTTTGTGTTGTTATTACTCTGCCAAGACTTCGGACCTAGTCTAGCTGACGGGAGACTACCATAACACAAAATGAAACACGCCACATTCGAAAAGACTGTGAAAATAAGGAAAGAGCAAGGACATGAATCGGCCAACGGGATACCAAAAAGGTTTGTTGGCGCGCAAATTTGATTTTTTTTTTCGCTCGTACCCACCGCCCTCTGCTACGGTGCTGCAGTGTCTTCATTCTGAGTTCTCACTGGACAGAAGGTTCAACCCCTTCAGCGTGCGCATGCGTCGCTCTCAGGGAATACTTTGGTAAGCTATCCACAATCCTTTACGTTCCCGCCACAAATTTGTTTGACTTTAATTAGAAATCACACTAGAGACTATAGGATAGGGCGATCGGTGCTAGCGAAGATATCGTATGCCAGTTCATCCCGAGTTGGTTCATAGGGCGCCGTAGCCGTTACATCTGTTAATGGTAGCTTGGACGGTGCAGTTGTCGCAATTCACCTCGCAACACCAGTGGAACCGACAGCGGCAGTTGACTTGGTAGACTACGGTCTCCTCCACGTAGCCCCTGCTGCAGCACAAGATGTCGCAGCCGCCTACGTCCATGGAGGTGCTGTTGCACCGCCGGCCCTCCGTACCCAGGGAGCCCGTCTTGGGGTTGGGCTCGCAGAAGTCCGGCGAGTCCATGGAGTAGACCAAGTCCAGTTCGGTCGGGGGTTTGATCGTCGAGTCCTCCGGAATGAGCGTCTCGCCGTCATTTCCGCCCGTGACTTTGGCCGAGCCTTTGTACCGGTCCATCAGTCGGGTGCCGGCCTCGCGGAAGGAGGGCATCTTCTCCCAACACGTCCTGAGAGTGCAGGAACCAGACAGGCCGTGGCACTTGCACTCTCGCCGCATAAAACGTTTGATCGTCTGCAACAGAGGAATACAAAATATTGAGAATATGCAAATGCATCACCCTTGTCCCATATTTAGCAGCTGCTTCCATTTCAAGAAAAAAATGCAACATTTAGACTGGTTTCAAGCTTGCTGTGTGCAACAAGGTACCAATCTGTAACACTATTTTAAGGTATAGGGGCCTATGTAAACACAGAACTCATCCAAATTGAAGATAGCAAAGTGACAATTATTGAAACATTAAATGACTACCGGTAGGCTTTGGGAACACTAGTTTTGAAACATTTTGTCTAATTTCAAAGGAAATGCTTGTGATGTCGCACCAAATTCGTTTCCCCCATGAACCGATATTAACCTAAGTTTCATTTTCCCTATTTAATCAATTAAAAAATTCTGCTAACTGTCGAATGATTTTTCGTCCCAACATCAATGCCCAATGTTCTCAATAGCCGCAAACCTTGGTCTGCTGGTAAAAAAAACCTGACCAGGAGAACCTCAGACAGGTTATTGCAGTGTGAGCGAACTTGAATTCACTAAAAGAAAGAGAGACTATGCTAAGTCAAATTTTAATCATTGTTTTTCAGTTTCAAATTCCAATTACAATAACACAAAGACAAGACAATTCCAGATCCTTCTATATTGGCTGCAGTCACATTCGGCTTTGGTATGTCCGTGGATATTGGACCACCAGAGAAAAAAAACAGGAGGAAAATCGTAACCCTTTCAAAGGGGTTGATGTCCGATCTAGAGATGCACGCATAAACGCAGGCGCCATTCGTATACAGGAAAAGCCAAAACAAATCGTAAATATCCAATTGGTCTGTCGGTACCATTCTCCCTCCTGCTCGTATTTCTTTTAACGGGAGATGACCCTGTCTCCCCTGCAGACCAAAGCTCTTGAAATAACCACGGAAATACGTCTTTCTCAAAATTGAATACCACTTCAGTAAGGTCGAAGTGAGAGTTTCGGAGTGGCGATTGCTAAGAACGAGGGATGAATTTATGGCTATAGAGCAACTGTCAATTTCGTCCTAAATTCTCGCCTGCTTTTTTTGGCACCAATATAATACGCAAAATTAGGTCATGTAACATGGTATATTAACAATTCAACTCATAGTAGAGATGAATGTGTAACATGATACTTCACAGAGGCCCAGTTATCTTAACAGTTTACAGTTTGTAGAACAACTAGACTGATTATGATGAATCAACACTTTTCATTTTTAAATTGATGTTTCACTTAAATGTTAGACATGGTATAAGTTAATCCTAATTCCCACATGCGGGCAGGTTTCCCGTTAAATTGATCCAATGTGCAGAAAAACTGAAATGGCATGTACTCCGTACCTGAACTTTGAAATTTAAAGGGCATCGATTGCCAACAAGTACACGTACAAGTACCCTACACAATCATCCAAAGCCCCTGGATGGTTCAGAAGGATCTTTTGGGGGTAAGGGCAGACCTTTAAATTGTTTGTCACTCCCAGAGGGGCCAGCTTTTGTAACTGACTCACTGACTGACTCATTGACTGACTGGTACTTGTGAATTAGACTTACATAAGTCTCACCTTGGCCCATAAATAGCTTTGCTGGTCCCAAAGAGCAAGCCTACAGTCCTCTTTATAGACCATTATCATGTTACGGCCATCTTGATTTTTTCCCCCATTTAAATCAACGTAACCTAAGCGAGGCTGGAAGGAAAAAATAGTCTGGTTCCTTTTTGCACAAAAATATCATTCAGTACTGTTATTGGATACAGGGAACACGACTGAAATGGTGGCAGCATGATAAAGGTCTATACAATTCTCTCCGACTGATTCAGTGATTGACTCACTGACTGTAGCTGTCACTTGTGAGTTAGACTTGCATCAATCCTCAACTTAGCCCACAATAATGACTCAGATGAATACCAAGAATCCATCAACCGAAATCAGTCTGGGTCGAGCTCATAGGCTTGCCTTGGCTTGTTTAACTCTCGTCAAGGACTTGGCATTGGATTTTGTCAAGTTGGTCCGAGCTGTGCACGCAGTAGCGCATTGTATATTGTCGACAGACAGTCCCCAGACATTGTCTTGTAAGGCGTGTTTTATTTATGACAACTTCCCAGGACCGAAAGTCTAAACAAACCCGCTCTTCGGGGAGGGGAATGTTGATGCCTGGTGGATACAAAGGCTTCGATCGTGCCACAATTCGGAGGGTAAATTACGAGACATTCAAATTGTTTTATAAGTGGCTGTCACGGACAAACCATCGGGGACTGACACTTTTTTTACCATCACAGTCTGAATTGGGGGGAAAAAGTCACACGCTCGATTGTGACAAATCGATGCATCATCGTGAATTGGATTCAGATGAGTTCTCCCAAAAGGTACAGTACGGTTTCGCTAACAAGAGTATCACGCAGAATGCCATTTTTAATTCAACGCCTTTGGTATATGTATACCCTAATCTATCCCTTTGCATGCACAGCAAGGGTCTATGATATGCGAGCAGATTTCGCCGATTAATTTTGCAAAACAACATTCAGCGGGCGCATGCTATCGGGTCTTCCCTAACCTGTTGTTGTATGACAAAAACATGGCATCCAAATTGACCAATCCACAGCTTAGTCCGCAATTTTGATCGAAATGACATCACCGATTCTAAAGTCAACTCTGATTGACTGGAGCGCGGGGTCTCATACAATTTGCATGTTAGGATCAGACGTTCTACCGTGGCTCTGCACGTCGTGGATGTCTGATCCTCAAAGTAGGCATGGACAACTGAAGGCGTATCTGTAATATTAACAGTATGAAGTGCGGGGGGGGGGGCTGAACCTCTGACACGCCCCTCCTCCCCGATTTTGCTCGATCTAGGTATAACCCCTTAGCCAAACCTCGCCCAATATATAAAACAAATCGTTGTTTCGGTGTGCTGTGTTAAAGATGATTGAAAACTGCGGCTGTATCATAAAGCATTGAATATCTTGTTTAAAAATGTCAGCCTCCCCCCTTATCTGATTTCTGGATCCGCCCCTGCATAACATGTCGTGGTCATTCTGTCTTTTGTTATCCTTGAGGGCGCCAATCCGAATCCGGAATATTTGTTCAGTACAGAGCATGCAAAGAGGGGCCACACTGAACTACAACTTGGTCTGATCTGGATAATTTAATGTGGAACAGGTCGGGAGCCATAAATTCCGTCAATACCCCGGTTGATTTGTGTCGACGAACTGAAATGTTATTTATGATAAACGAATCCCTCCGTAAGACGAGTGGCAAAAGTCGATGTTTAGTACACCGAACCCAATAAATTATTTCAATAAATAAAGAAAGATGGAACAGATACAACCAAATGACGATTGAGGTGCCTGTACTTTTACAAGTGCCGCTTTCCGATTGAAAAGAGAAATTTTAAAGAACAAAACTATTCACCCACATGTTGATTTTAATAGTGTAAACTGAGGGAGAAATTTGTTTGTCAACGGTGCTATAATTTCACCGAAATGCCTGGAAGAACGCTGACGTTTAAGTATACGGATCCTCCACATTATAGTGGAATGAGGGGGAATCACTCTAAACCCATTTTCATGACCTATATAAAAAGCATTAAACTGTGTCAACTCAACTAATTTGTATTCTCTAATCTATTTCCACTAGTCCATCAGTTTGTACCAAACATGAACGAATCACACAAGATGATGGGTGGCATTTAGATATGTATGGTCTTCAATTCGATTTCTAATCGAGATATCCATCTGTTATCTTGGTACCTCTGGAAATAGATAAAGGCCCTATCACTATTGGAATTGAGATGTCACTATTTCAGGATTATACGATCAATTTACAAGCCATAGACATAATAGTACGATTGTACTGAACTACGACACACCTGTCAAAAAAGTCGCTGTCCAAATAGAAAGTTTCCGATTTAGCAACGAACCTATATCATGGCAACTGTGAACTGTTTTGAACTAAGCTCCACTTTTTTGGACGCGGTATTTCAAAAGGAAGTGCTCCAAGATGACTTTGTCTTGGTTACAGGTATCAAAACAGAAACAATCTTCAATACAAAAGCTCACCAGAAGATGCTACATGCTCACAACAAAGTACTTTATCGACCAATTTACCCGATAAGTACATCTGTCCAAATCGGTATGAAGTAGCTTTTGTGCTCGTTGCAAAAAAAAAGGCCGACTTGTTTTGAAACTGCTTCAGAATCAGGAGAAAAATGGAGTTTCTGTGCTATGAGAGCTTCCCTAAGGAGGATGTTATTTCGAAGCACACACCCTAGACAAGTGAGCACTTCTCAATCCCAATAAAGATCAAGTGGCTCGGAATGTTAATCCGGAAGATCCTATTAATACGATGGGCAAGACACAAAAAACAGCCATGCTGTCTTTTTTGATCGCGGACAAAAACTCTCGAGATTTTGTGTTGTGAATGAGTGCCCAAACAAACAGAGCGGGTTGCGAAGCGATACAACATTGTGTACAGAATATGGCAGGTGATTCCGCCCGATTATAATCGGTCAAAAGAGTTGTAGGTTTTTGGAGAATTGAACAAGGGGAAGAATACCTGAGCACGTGGAGCGTTTCGCTTGAAGTTGCCGCGCTCCGAGATGGATTTTTGTGGGTGGCATTTTCGATGAGTGATTTGGGGCAATGTGATTCAACTGATAAGGATGAACAGTTTTATTATGCAGTACACTTGGCAGGCTTTTTCAATTGATAATTCAGATCAATTTATAATCATTATCAACAAATTTATCTCTCTTTTTTTGTACCAAACATGCTTTTGCATACACCTCTTATTCAATGTGATTGACCAAAATCAGTAGAAGAGTGTACGATCATAGAGGGTACCAAGGAAATTAGACAGTTCAATTTTGAAGTTTAAAAAAATATGTTGTCGGAATCGGAATTTCGCAGTCGGAATTTCGAACTGGCTCATTGTATTAAGGTGACTTCTCGTGCTCTTCAACAAATTCGATTTTTTTTTTCTTCAAACGAAATTGTTCAACTTGTATTTAAACGAAACTTGTTCCCAGTGCCCACATTTTTTATTCGAACATCGCGGCGGGAACCAGTCTGCCCTGCAAGAACTGAATTATTGTTGGGCCGCAATTCCAAAAATGGACATTATTTGATACAATTAAGTTTTAAGCCGTCAATTATCATCGCATTGTCTGTAAATAAGTATTGGTAACATATTTATTCTTAAAATTTTCAATAATTTAACAGAAAATGGATGAAAGAATTTTTAAAAAACGAAGAGGAGGTTTAGTCACAGGACTAACAAAAATTAGTCATTTGAGACACCGTTCAGGATTAATTTTAATTAGTCAAAATGACAAACGTATTTTTACAGTGTTTAGGCTTACCTTGTCCTGTTTTCGCCAGAAAAATCGCAATAAAATAAATCCGTTTTAGAAAATAGCACTGACAGTACATGATTTTTTTTTTACAGACGATGTCTCATACTTACCATTCGACCTGCTTCGTTATTGTGCAGCGTGATCAGTGTTTTCACGTCGCTCCGTCTCCTAATCTGGGTGTCCATGAACTCCTTGGACTTGGTGTAGCCGAACTCGATGTTGTCGCCGCAGCCACCCCACTCCCAGCTGCCGTCCGGCCCGGGGCTTTCGCTCGTCGTGGTCTTGGTGCTCTCGGCGCATCCGCACTGGAGCAGGTCGCCCAGGCTGCAGGCCTGGGTCACAGTGAAGGCAACACCGGACGCTGTGATGGCGTTGGCCAGGGCAGTCTCCGGAGTGTCTGAAGCGACAAATCCAATCAATTTACAACATTGATTACATTTATTATCGATTGTTTTTATCCATTATTGCAGTGGCTTACCTGTGGTCCAGGAGGGTGTTCATGAGGGGACACTCACTTTTTTTATAAATCATTTTTGCCCTCCTCCAAAATTGTAAGGGGGGGGGGCAAGCTAGTTATTGCACTGCATTATTCACCTGACACAAGGGCAGATCCAGGGGGGCCAAAGGGGGCCACGCCCCCCCCCCCCAAAAAAAAAAAACGAATCCAATTTTTTTTTAGTGTCTTCGCAAGTAAGGCAGGCAATGAGTACACCACCATCTTTTCCTAAAAAAACATTGGTTAAAGTGGTCAGAAATTGCCTCCGATCGCACCACAGAGCATCTAGAATCCAAAACATTTTCGTTGCACTTAAGCGAACCCCACGCCGTTATTTTTTGGACACACATTTTGGGGACCAAAATTTGTTTTGCCCCTCCCAAAAAAATTTGACCTGACAAATTCCTACAATTACAAAGCTTTAGGGCGGGTTTTGGAAGTAGTACAATTTGAAGTTCGATCCATTGGGGCGTGGCAACTTTCACCCACAAAAACATGCTACCCCCCCCCCCCCCAAAAAAAAAAAATGAAATTGACAGGAATGTATGTCAGTGATATACTGCAATGTGTGAACAAAACTTAACTCTCGATATAATTATCACCTCTTTAAGTAAGTCACAAACATTCACAGTTTAGATAATCCATAAACATGCCTATTTTATTACAGATTGATAACGAGCGAAACGAGTTCACATCCAAGTGGGGAAAAAATCACATGTTGAAATAATAACACAGTAGGAATGCATAGAAATGCAGGAATGTGTAGAAATGAAGATATTTTTGGTGCAAGTCCAAAAGAAGGGCCTTAAATTTGCGAGACACGGGACGGTAATGACCCATCGCGGAGCGAAACAACACCGGGGAGGGGAAGTCGTTTCTCCCCGGTGACAAGACGGTACGTCATCGGCCAGGCTCGGCCGCTGACAGACGAGGAACACTGGTATGGACAATTCCATTACTGCAGAAAATATGCAGAGGGAATGTTGTTATTAAGGATGCATATCATAGCTGGCTTGGTGGTCTGGAATCTCATGATACTGGTTTCTTTGCAGACGGGGAGAGATCCTATAATCCGGGTTTGTTTTGGGTTATTAAGAAACGAAATGAATCGTGAAATGACCTGAAATCAAAGAGTTCCAACTCTAACAAAAATAAACATATGAACCTACATCAAGGATTGCGTGTAAAAAATTTTCATTTTTTCCACGAAGATACCATTTTACGATTTCTTTAAACATTAGGCCCCTATTACCATTCTTTCAGTTTTAAATTTAAAAAAATAGTTCTAGTTATTTTTTTTGAATAAAGATAATGTATGAAAAAATTCTTGAAACTGAATTTGAAAAAAAAATTCTTGAAAAAGACAATTATAGTTAATCCAAAGATGTTACAGATCCCGATTCAACTTCTTGGAGAAAAGAAGTTAAAGGGAATGTACATCATTGGCTTTTGCTGTAATTTTCAGAAATGAACTATTGGAGGGGTTAGTATAATAGATCAAATATTGTTACACTGACATGTTTGAAGTTTTGTGTTCGGGAATGCTGGAAAAATCAAGAAAGGCAAACATGTTCAAGTAATCTGGTTCCCCGACTCCACTAAAGATGAAACGGATCAATTTATAGATGCTGGAAAATTGTAAGGTAAGGCAACTAGTCTAGCTGGCCTGCACCCGTTCATGAACATGTAACCAATAGCAAACAAAATTTAGTACATTTGGAGCAGTAGTTGAAAAATAGTTAGGTTTTTCCAACGGTGGTCGGCCGACCACCGCTGGTAATGTATACAAAAATACCATTTTCTTGAAAATGACTTCACACCAGGTGCCATAATTTTACAAGATGCTTTAGACTGTCATTTACCAACATCCTTGTAAGGTTTTTCGTAACAACTTGGTAGTTTTATTTTTCGATGTTTGCAAATGTTGTATTTTCCCTTTAAACAATGGAGAGGTGATCCCGTGGGGTGGAGATGAGGGATTCCCCCTCCCCCTCCCCCTCCCCGAACAAAAGCAGCTAAATATGTCTTTACTCAAATACTGATTAAAACGTAGTATAATGTTTAAATGGGCCAGCCTTTTGATATCCAAATTCATTCCACCTTTGATGTGGTATGGGTTGTCAAAGCCACGATAACAACCCTAGCCACAATCAAACATGGTCCCCAACATTTCATAACGTGCATTATTATCGGCCGGTCGTGACAAAATAAATAAATATTGGAAGTTTTTTTTTCCTTCCTGGCGGCCGCCGACCATCGACAGGCCGTGGCCCGCGCCGCATGCCCGGGTACTAGGGGCTGATGACACACCGGCGGGTTTTCTAGGTCAACACGCGGCGAGAGCCCGTGTCACCGGCAACAGTGAACACAGCGTGAGGGGGTACGGGTCTGTGGATACAGTAACAAATCCACAATGTGCCTCCGGGCACAATCAGCACCGCAGTGAACTTGGAGTGAACTACACGCACCGTCCGATTGGGCCTATCCATACGTCTGGTCTGGCCGGTGAAAGCTTAGAGCAATGCCCTTCAGGCCCTGGTTAAGTGTTTCGTGGGCCCTAAGCACCATGTTCCGTTATAGCCCTGCTACTCCCCCCCCCCCCCCCCCCGCCACCGACACAAAATTCATGCTATTAAAGCACAAAGCACTGTACAAATCAAGCCAGGGCAAATTGGTATAGGTCCAAGCTCTAAAAGCCTGTTGACATCAAGGGCGTGGGGATGGTACATACATTGTACATGTGAGTATCTTGATCAGACCTAATGCGAGTGCGAAGCCTAACGGCGTGGGGCTCAGGGCCCGCTTGAGGGCACCATGTAAAAGGGAGGAACAAGGCGGCACCCTAAGCCCTGGCCCCCGAGTGGCCAGTAAGCGTAAGTGAGTTATTATTTTGAAACATATAATAAACATTTTACAATATACATTTTTATTTTGCCCGGTACAATATTGCATACTGCGTTTCTTACATCAGTTGGAAATTGCGACATTAATAATGGTACAGACATATTGATCGAACGAAAGTTCGTTTTGATTATAGTCAATTATTAAAAATTCATTGATTTATTACATAGACCTTTGTTTTGTTTTTAATACTTCCGTAGGCCTGCCGAGCAGATGTAAATATCAAACTAAACCAAAGTTTTTAAAAAATATAGGATACAAAAAATCAAAAAGTTATGTGCTGGCCAAGCTTTCAGGGATCGGTCTGAGCCATAACAATGCCCCAGCCAATCCCTTAGTTCTCTTCCGGGCTCTCGGGGGTCCCGACCAATACACACTTCCTTCCCTGTCCATCCATGTAACCCCGGAGGGCCAGTCACCATGTAAAAGCAAAGAGCTAAGGGAGGAACAGGGCGGCACCCTAAGCCCTGATCCTCCGAGTGGACCACATGCCCTGAACCTGTACGAAGGCGCCAACCTGGAACTCACGGACAGTACCAGCCGCAGTGCTTACCGATTAAGCTAAGGTACAGTTGGTATTTTACGACGGGAAATTAAATCCTTTATAGAAAGTGCCGGACAGCGCGTGTTGAAAACTAAAATGACACGTGCGGGATCGAACCCGCGACTCTCCACTCGTGGGTCAGCAATTTAACCACTAGGCTATTTCACTAGTTACAATTACGTTCGAGTTTAAAACCTAAGAACCATTCATTGTGTTGGTTTCAATTGTTGACGGGTTATTTTGACGGCGCAGTGCAGTGTGACAATTATAGTTGCGCTCTGTTGCGTAACTTATTGTATGTGTGTTTTTTAAACGCCCAGTTCCTCTACTTGGCTCTCGATCTCGTTTGAATTAAGCAACCCCCTTAAAAATAAAAAGTACCCTTTAAAATGGGATTGCTTCAGCGCCCTCACCCGCTCAAAATATATTTCAATGTGGGATATTTCAGTTATACACCAAGCGGTCAATGCTGAGCTACATCACAGTGCAACTGCAAACTTGCTGCCGACCAAAGGGACGCGTGCAGCTGACACGGATCTGAGTTCCGTAATTGCCAACAGATGATTCGGCGCGCGAAGTATCCCACTCGTCTTGTGATATGCTGATGTTGCTGGTATGCTAAGGTCAATCCCCTTTTTTCCCATCATAAGTCATACTGGAAATGCCTGCCAAATAATTATCAACTTTTCGGAGGTAAACAAAGACGGGGCAGAATTACTAGAACAGTGCGTTAGGCATGAAATCGCCCACTAATAATGTGACGTTATTATATCGATTTAAACCAAAGTCTCGACGCTTCACAATAATCACCCCGGTGTTCCCGAGTGGAGAGAGCGTATCATAGTAAAATGTCTTGCTCAAGAACACCAGCATATGTACACTCGACCCCCCAAAAAGTCCCCCTTCCAATACTTTTTTGTCTAACTCAAAAACTACTGAGCACCTCTCGCTCAAATAACGACTTATCAGTACAGAAATTCCTTAGCAATCCAGCCATACTCTTTATTTGGCCCAAAACAGTGATAATTTGTACGAATTTATGCAATTTATGACAAACGATACCGAAAATAGTTGCACTTGTGTATACGTGCAAGTTGTGGTTCACACTTACCTTGCACGTATACAAAAGTGCAACTTTTTTCGGTACCATTTGTCATAAATTGCATTATTTTGTACACATTATGAATGTTTTGGGCCAAACAAAGAGTATGGCTGGATTGCTAAGGAATTTTTGTACTGATCAGTCTAGTTTGAGCAAGATGTGACCAGTAGTTTTTGAGTATTAAGGGGGACTTTCTTTTTTGGTTGAGTGTACTTCAGTACGGTTCCCTTCGAGGTAACAAGTGCCAACAATATCTAGTTGTTTTATCTTTCTCTTTTGCCTACTGCTCACCTGAGAATTCAATGACACTGAAAACACTACAAAATGTATAATTAGGCCTATATCGTTACCTTCTAAAAGAATTGCTCCGATTATTCTAGTGCTGCTGAACACGGCTGTAAACCTCAAGAAAAAGTCAAGTTAAAAAAAAAAATTAAAACAAAAGATTCCAACATAATTTTCCTCAAAGATTATAACGCAAGACAAACGCGCGTGTTGAATAAGTTTCTACCATGCACAATGCCATGTAAACGGGTCCCAAACTCAGAAACTCTATGGGAGCCTATAGTCTTGTCTCCAGACTCAACAAGACGATTACACGCAACCTCTGATACGAGACATCAAGGCCCCAGTTCAAGGTGGCCGCATCCTCGTCACGAATGAGGCAATGAGATTTCCCATCATCGCAGGAAGACAAGATACCTAGCTGATAAGGCCTGAGGTATGCTGGAATCATAGCAAAGCCGAGAGAGACATCCACACCACAAAGAACCAACATGCGTCACGCCAAGAAGAAACATGGAGACTCTATATCTTATATGCAGGAAGTGACCTTGAGGAACGGGCACAGACGGAAACTTGCAATCCACAATTCAGTCAATTTCGTTCACGAATTAGTAATCCGTATTTTTTTTTATACTCACTCAGATATTTCTACTCAGATAATACTTATTAACAAAAGATATTAATGGTACACACAACTTCGTCGGGTAATTTGTCAACATGATGTCTGAGATGCTGACGCTTTACACATTTTTTTGATGAAATTATAATGAAATATGTAATTACTTTTCATTTGACAAAATAAAAATGTATTCAACGTCGTCATCTTGATTTTGTGCCGGATATATTTTCCCACGGTGGCCACTAAGTGACTTTACTCATATACATGATAAAGCATCAGAGTTTTTACCTCTAGTTAGACTTCATAGCCCGGTGGCTGTCCATCTGTCTTCGATATCAATTGTGCATGATCCCTTTAAATCCGGGCTCTTGATTTACTTCATGATCACAGCAACAAGAACAATGTTTTCTTTGTTAAGATATTCGGAAGGGAAACCACAAAGCATTTCGACTCATATAATTTCGGTTTTGTGGCTATTTTGGCAACTATAGTACAGGGCAGACGGACATTAGGTCATTTGAATTCTTAAGAAAAAAATCCGTAAAAAAAAGAAAATAGAAACGGACCAAAATAGACCAAAGTCAACAAATAACACCCCAATCGTCTCTCGGCCAACTTATCAGCGGGCCGAAAGAAGCCAACTTTATATGGTATCAGCATCAACAGCAGCTTTTGCCTTGAACTCTGACGAACACGAAAGGTCGTCCCGAAAATTACAAACATTCCGGGGTAATTTTCCCGAAATTAGGAAACAGTGCAGGTCACGCCCGGGCCCAAACTCGCGCGTCTCCGTGCAGCACCGACTTGGCTGGCGGGCAAAAAAAAAGTTGCAACTGTTGCGGAGCTGAAGGACGTAGGCAAGACAAATATGCAATAATGAAATTACGCAGGCTTGGGAAAACGGACGTGGCGTTTGTGGGTTCTTATACTTCCCCTTTTCGATGTAACGATGGGATGCAATCTTTAAATTCATGGCAAGTGTAAAGCATTTACTAGGAAAAGAAAAGCATTGGGTTTCTATGATTTTATCTCATATTTGAGATTTTGTTTGATGTAGGGCCTACACATCAGGCATTTTCTTGGTTTTTGTCATGGAAACTTAAGTCCTGTCTAAATCTGCATTTGAGGGTAACACTCGTACTATTATTGTTGAGTATAGTGGGTTATTAACAATAGAACGTATACCTTTGGGGAATGCACAAAACCACTTTACTCTGGACATTCATTTAATCAAATAAATACATAAACAAAAGGCAAAAAGAGATGGATTCATACACTCAACAAAATAAATAGTCAGATTTGACTAGAAACCAGTTAAAATTGACCAGCCATTCAGGGTCAGCTGGGTGCAACTGAAAACCAGTCAATCTGACTAGAATGTCCCAGTCAGTATTGAAAAATAGTTACGCAAATAACTAAAATTGGAGTCAAATCCAACTACTTTTTCTAGTCGTACAATGAAACTTTGCATGTTTAACTAAATCTTAGTCAATTTTCAACAACTGGGAAAAACAATAATTTGACTAAGTTGTTTTTAGAGTGTAATGTGCCACAAAAGAATCACAATCCAATTTTAATTGTTAAGAGGCCATAATATCGGACTGGTAGTCTGCAACGATAAAATAACTGATTGCGAATAAGTTAAAACATTCAGAATACGAAATTAACTGATATCAATTAAAATGTAATTAAAAAAATAATGTTTTAATACACGCTGCTTTTTCATTTGGCAATAAAACAAACTGGGCTTTCGATTTTGTCTTTTACGGCCGGTGTGGCATGAAATTTGGATTCGTGAAATACGGGCCCATTGGATGTACTGCGCATGCCTCAGTAGGCAGTGTACAAGAAAAGGTCACGTGTTGGAGCAAGAGTCCATATAAGGTAAAATAGACCAGATTTCATAGGAGTAATTATAAGTGTCACATGACACCGGCGGACTGAATCCAAATTTAGGATTTTGCAGGTTAGATTTATATTTTGTCCATGTCATATTTCACTCCCTCTTACCTTGTTTGAGGATCTTCACGAAAGAGTTCCCCAACATGGTGCAGTTCCAGCGATGGTACCGCAACTGGTACTGACACTCCTTCATGGCCAACCTCGTCCCCTTCACTACCTCGTCCACGATCTCGGGCTCCCGCCGGCAAATGTCATGCTGTTTGTTGCCGCTGCCCCGGAGCTTGCGGGAGCGTCGGCAGATGCTGTTGGGGTCGAGGTTGAGGGGACTGCCAACGGCCCTGTACACAATATAATTATACACAAAGGAGAACATGTGTCATTATGGCTGCATGAGCAACTTGTACGGTTGATGAAAGAATACAACCCGAACTAACGACCGAATTACCAACAAACAAACACACCGACCAATCAACCGACCGACTGATCAATTGAACTCCACTATTTTGAATTCCGTATAATTCAAATCAAGGCTTCTTTTACTTACTGACTGACTGACCCTTGTGATTCCGCGCAGTGCTATCGTATAGGATTACCCGTAACGTCAAATGAATGGGCTACCTCTGACCCATTGTGTATGACCACATGCATGACAAGACTTCCAGTTAAAAGCCATTCTGAATCAATTGAAAAGGATGTTATGTGCTCTGGGACCGGCACTATACTAGGCTCGCCTTGTCTTGTTTTAATCGAAACTTTAAATGATCTCCATCCATTTAGGTCCAAGAATCCCGTTCAGGTAAATAAAGAATTATTATTGACCTCAAAAATATACCACCTCCTTCACTACAATCATTCGTGGGTATGTGTTGATAGGTGTTCCAAAAGAAGTCGATTAGTTACATTACTTTAGTCAACTTATACATAACAGAGCAAACAAGATGACAGATTATCTCATTAAAAGTTTATGCTGTGCTGCCATTTTCCAGAAAAGTGGATTTTGGTAACAATTTCCAACGTGATGGTCGGCCGACCATCGTTTGAAAAAAACCTGACGTTTTTCGAATACTGTCCACAAGTTTACCAAATGTAATTAGTCCATATTGTCTTTGTAATCGGTTACACATCTGTGGCGTAAGTGGGTGCAAGCCAGCTAGTCTGGTTCCCTGACCAGACAATTTCCCGACGTCTACAAATTGCTCCGTTTCGTCTGACGTAGGGTCAGGGAGCCAGACTACAAGAACAACATTTTTTTCCTAGCATCTATGAACACAAAACTTTAAACAGGTCAGTGTAACAAATATATCTGGCATAAAATACTAAGTAAACCCCAATTACATCCATATCTGAAAATGACAGCAAAAACAAATGTATATTACCTTTAACATAAGCATTAAAACCGAGATTTTCCCCTTTTGTGGTGAGTATTTGAGAGAACAAAAAGGAAGGCAGTGGCTTAGTAATAGTACCGAGAGACTAAAGCTGAATTGCCGTTTGGAAATCCGCCAATTTGCATCCGTTTTTCTTGGCACCAATAAGTTTTGAAAATGGCTGCATCCTTGTGTCACCCCTTTTCAAATCTGTATACCATCGATGCACGCACCAACCCCTTTCCCCCAGCACGCCACGCCTACCTGGACACAGCTACACGACCCCCTATCTCCGCCTCTGCAAAGCAGCCGTGAAATTCGATTTTACCCAGGCCCAACTTCGGCAGCTGATATGTGGGGGGGCTATGATGAGTCAGTTGTTTTTGAGTTGCCATAAAACGGCAACCACCGATGACAGAAATTGAGCAGACTGGTTTCCGGAGAAGTATTATATTCAAGCATGACCGCCGCATTATTGCGTAAGGTCGTCAAATACGCCACACCGCTTGTGTTTCTACTTCTTGCTAAAACATAAGCCGTTATCATTGGATTAAACATTGATGCCCGTTGCATTCACTTGGGTCATGAAGCTATCATGCTTGGACGCATTACCTGATACAGAAATGAATTTATGTATCTCTTGTGATTTCTTTTTATTTCGAGGGTAGCAATTTTCTTAATTCATCCCTTATGCGAGACATGGGTAGAATGACTCACCGATTCGGGATATGCCCAAGGCGCTAATATTATGAATATCATTTCATTTTCCATGACATGGAGTGACGTTGCAAATAAAGTGAGATAAGGTACAAGTTGGTTACTGTCATGTGTCTAATACTTGTTGAAAACCGTATGGAAAATTTGACTGCTATGTTAATCCATGGAGGAAAAATAAACAGGTAATCATAATTTTGTAATAAATTACATGTAATAAATTACATGTTACGTGCATACCACGTTGGCCTTTCATCTTCATTACAGATCTTGACTTCATTAAACGAATATGAATCAGTTCTATATTTCTTCCTTTTCCCCAAACTTCCATTTAAGGAATTAAAGACAGATATAATGCATTTTAGGATTACGAATTTTGAAAACTATTAAATTCCAGAGGGAAAAGCGTAAGTAAACTTGTCAGGATCAGTGCTCTCAAGATCATGTTAAAATTCTGAATGAGAATTATTTAAAAACAACAACAACAACAACAACAACCCAAATTAGTCAACAAAGAAACAAAAGAGCCTGAAAAAAAAACGCCACATTAATTTACTGGATGGGTTATCCGTGACGGATTTCTGCAAGGAAATGACCAAAATAGGGAGAAAAAAACAGTGAGTACGAGCATGGTACGAGCAAGACAAGTAACTGAAAGAATTTTTCAAAACGAACAGACACCGACCCTCCAGATCTTGTGTTTTAAGAGCCAGTCTTACTTTTTCTACAATTCATGAATATGATACATGCCATTTTTAAGACCCACCAAAAGTGCACACTGCACCATCCGATCAACCGGCGTGTTTACCATTTCATGACTTTTATGTCCGCCTGCTGTGTATTCCATTTTGGCACTAAAAAGAGACCCGCCACCGCTATAAAACTAATCTGATTTGATTACGGTGTTGTTTCCTTTTTATATGACGCCGTGAAGTTGTTATGGTAATTTTTAAAGTACATGTACATGCCAACAGACAAAGGGGTAAGGCTGCAAACAATGTCGCCTTGGGTCCCCAGAGACCGATAACTTTTATGGCCCCGGCTCCAAGGCCCCCTCCCCCCTTTCCTCCGACTGTTATCATCAGTTGACGTGCTTGTGAAACCGCGGTGAGATCTATTATACCAGGCCTTGATCTATCAGGACACCGGAGAAAAAATAATTTCGAAACATTTTATGGTTTCCAAAGTGATGCTAAACGGCTCCGACGTTGAGCTGATCGCTGCTGATAATCAACTTAGCATACATTTACATTCACTGTTTGTTTTTAAGTTTGGAGTTGATGATAGTGCCATTGCCGCCTCACGGAGTCCAGAAAAGCAACAAACGTTAAAGCCGAAAATATCATCTACCTTGACTTGAGCTTGGGCCAGGGGCCGATAGGTTCTTATTATTAAACCCAGTCCAAGTAGAAGCAATAGTTTATCTGTTATCCTTGAACGTAATCAGTGGAATTTATAGCGTAACATCAAAAAAAAAGGACAGCAAACACACTGTGTTACACGACTATAATTTACAAGACCAGTCACGAAGCATCTGATTGCTGTTTAACAATAACATGACAAGTGACAACAAGCTTCAACAATAGGCTGTCATTTTTTTCCTTGAACACTTTAAAGAATATCTAATGGATGGACAAACATCCAACAAAAATAACACAATGAGAGTGATCAAAGATACAAATGAGACTACGGATATACCTGAAGCAATAAATATTTAAATATCAGTTGTAAAGAAATAACCGTATGATTGACACAACTTTGACAAAATGTATTGCAAGTTATGAGAGCTGATTCCCAATGCTGTGACTTGCTGTCTAGACTGTCCTGTCATGATATTCTTACTCACTGCATGCAGACTCACAGGTATAATACCTGCGCAGTGTGATACCGCTTTATCAAATTATGACAAAGCCTTTTGTATTCAGATCACAAATCACTGCTGGGTTGTCTCCGGGATCTTAACGAAGTTTTTCCTGGAGTTTTATACTAGAATACCTTAGAGAAATTCCTTGAACCTGAACCATGCACTGCTTAGGATTTGTTTATAATTTGGCAGTGGAGTGATACTTTTGTTAATATTTCTGCAATTATTCACCATGATAAATATTATTGAAAAACACAACACTACAAACAAACAAAGTTCCTGCTTTGAACGTAATAGGGCAGATATTAGCATGATTAGGGGGAGGGCTCGAGAACTCTACTTTTTGTGTTGGAACACCTTATCTCAGTATCCTGCTAACTGCCCGTGTTAGCTGTTCTAGAGGATTCTGAGCACAGTTGAAGCTGTTGAAGTGTCCAATTTCTCAAACCAATTTTAAATCCAACAGGGAAAATGTTCAGGATTGTGTGTGCATGCCGCAAAAAACTGAGGGAATAGTACATTCTTTCTACTGACATTGCCAACAGTTTTGGGAGATTTCAATCAAAAGGATCATAAAATGACCATAACTGTATTCCTCCATTTTTTTCATTTTTGGGGGGATATCAAATACGCATTTAGAACGTATTTCTTAAACTTGAACCGAAAACTTCGTCTGCTTTAGAACACATCGGCAAAACAAACCATGATACATCATTTAGGAAGAACTATAAATGAACTGATAGGCCTACATGTACTCACCACCAGAGTCCGATGATATTTGTGGGCAGAATGAGAAAGAACAAAAGACCCACGACGAAACTGCTGGAACTACGCACCATCATTCTCAAAATCTTGAAGTGCTTGCGGAAGTCCGGCAAACTCGGCCGACAAAAATCACAATTAAGGGGACTTAAATAGAACAAAAAAGTGGGACAGCGTTTATCGATACTTGATTTCTTCGAGGGGGGATATATTTGAGCTGTTGCAGGCGCACCGCCGAGCTTTTCTTGACTTGTCCCCCGGTCAGTGATCCAGCGCCGCTCCGGAACGGTGATCAATCTATCGGCGGGAGCTAGGGGAACGGTGCGCGGTGGGCAAGGGAATATCCTCCCGGTGCAGTCTCGCTCAAGTGCTGACAAGTACCCGACCGACTTCGATGTAGGGCCCAAGCTTCAATTTCAGAAACTCGCCTCGATAAATAGCACACGAAGCTCAGATGTGACACGCACACTCGGCAATTTAAAATCTCTTCGTTGGAGTTTAATTTACTGTCAAATTAACGGTATGGCAATGTATGGAGACTGAAGAATGTCCCCGGGAAGTCGGAACTGTCATTCGGCCGTCAACCGTCCAAACTCAGTTTTGAGAAGTTCCCTGTCTTTTCCAGGCTATTTATATTCTCATTCGTAAAGTTTGTTTTCTATTTCGAACGATCATTTCATTGAAGACTTCCGTTATCTTGTTGGTTCCACATGTTGAACAACAAGTCAATGGGTTACACGTGGCCAGATACCGAGTACTTGACGTTTAATCCATCCGCCCTCAGCTGTCCGGTCTCCATCAAGCACTGTTCCGACATCTCAGTCCATTCTTGAAGCCGAAGAAGTGGCCTTAATTCGCGGCTGAAATACCTTGGCAACACACCACACAAACTCAACTCGAGTGGGTTTTAATTTTTGTCCTCCGCCTTTTACTTCGGTGTGAATCGCATCATAAGTGTGGATTTCACCTGACGAGCGGTACTCTTACAAAAAAGAGTCGCCGCTGAGTTGTGTTAATATCCCGCCACCTATTCGCGAGTGTTCCGCTACTAAACACGGTCGGGGTTTTGTCCTATCCACGGTATAGGTCGACTTTTCTCAAGCCGTTGCGTCAATCAGCACATTTCAATGCTGGGGCGAGGTGGCCCGTGCTGACCTTACGTACTCCATTTCTTGACTCCGAATGAGTCGGTTGTGATTTCTTTCTTTTTTCTCTCTCTCTGGACTGATGGGGTTGTCTGTAACAAACTGCTGTTGAATTTCCGAAGTGACTGAAGTGATGGCTCCCTAGCTAGACACGTTGCCCGAAATAGCCACTTCCTTTTTTTACTACCCCGATCATGCTTTGACTAAAAGGGTAAAAAATATAGTCGTGTCTGAAATTTCAGACAACTTTTATGCACCTTTTGTTGATATTACGTTTCTATTTTCGTTTTATGACCTGGAGCATTCAGTGACTTATTTCTCCATGAAATATACATGCTACAAAGGAAAAGAAGTACATGTAGGGCCTACATAACTTTTCAACATGGAATAAAAATGCTAGTCTGCACTCTAATAAGAATAACAGATCAAGCGAGCGATGATTTGAAATCGTAGGGATCGAGGTTGACCCATGTACGTCATGGTACAGGAAGTATCAGTGTTTAAATTTTTGTGTGCTGGTCCCAGAGGGGTCAGCTATAGACCTTTATCATGCTGCCACCATTTCACTCATGTTCCCAGTATCCAATAACAGCACTGAATGATAATGATTTTTGTGCAAAAAGGAACCAGACTATTTTTCCTTCCAGCCTCGGTTTGGTTACATTGATTTGAATGGGGAAAATCCAAATGGCCGCAACATGATAATGGCCTATAGTCCTCGTTGTACCTGACTGACTGACTCGCTGACTGAAATACGTGAATTAGACTTGCCTAAGTCTCACCTTGGCCCAGAAGTTTGAGATAGGATTACTCTGTAACGTCAATGAATGGGCTACTTCTGCCCATTGTGTAGGCCACGTGAATGAACAACTTCCTGTGAAAAGCCGTTCAGAATCGACTGACTAGAATTTTGTGCGCTCTCTGACCAGCTAGCTATACTTGCCTTGTCTTGCCTTAGGTGTGGCTGTGGGCCGGGGTTTCGTTTGATTGGCCCTCGATAACTCCATAGAAGGGCAACCCTCCAGTAGCATAGGTGGTCACGGGACCACGCCCCCTCTCAACATGTCTTATTGGCACTTTGACTGATACATTAATGTGCCTCCCACCGTAAAACGAGGAGCCCCAGTGCCCCCGCCCCTACCCCTTTCAAATTGACCTTGGTTATACGTCATTGGCTTCTGACGGCCCGAAAACAATGTTAAACTCAAGCCTCTTTTCTCATTTTATTGCATGTTGGTAAAAGAACCTTCGACCAAACTTCTCTGAAACAGGGGACCACTGAAGAGTGCCCCCCCCCCCCCTTCATTTCCTTCGATTGGTTTAGTCTAAACTGACGGCCAATCGATTTGTTTGAATGACTTTTTTTTATTAGTTTCAGGAGTGCAAGAGGAATAAAGACAGATTTCAATCTTGCAAAAATATATATACATGATGTACAAAGATAAAGCCTCCAAGACACACACAAAACCGTTGAGACTAAAAGGCAGCCTTTTGGATACTTACTTTGTTTGATCGATTTTGATTCTGTTTTTTTAAAGGGAGTATATCTTTTAGCACCTTACACAAAGTGACCATATTAGAAGCGAGGCTAAGCTCTTTTGCGTCATTACTATAATAATATTATATGAAGGTTCCTGAGCTGTTGCGGAAGAGTTCATTCATAAAGTAGATGTCGTTCGCTAGTGTAGCCTCGCTTTCACTTTCAACCCAAAGGATCGATCAGTTCCGGTACCAGATGTAAGTTTACAAATTCCTTGCAGCCCATCCGCCCCCCTGGCAAATGAACGGAATCTCTTTACTGCAAGCCGTTGAAGACAGATGCGGATTGATGAGATCGTCAAGTGAAGTCAAGCCGTATGTGCTTCAAACCCTTACCCCCGTCACGCATCGGCAACTGCGCACATTCGTCAACGTGGCGACAACGATGAACACGTACGAATCATATTCATATTGGTTGCAGACCAGTTAATATATTGCAGCAATTGGCAATGATAAACACCCCATTCCAAAAATCTGGGGGGAAAAATACTCGGAACTCCCCCAGGTGATCAGGACACACCTCAATTCAAGTTTGATTTACGAACTTTCACTTTCTGTATTTAGAGGCTAGACGATGAAAATTTGGGTAATATTTTGGCCCAAAATATCAGCCCCAAGTAGAAGAAGTGCTAAATCCCATTGCCATTTTGAAAAGTAAACTCTGCACTCCATAGGGAAACAGAGCGAATCGTCAAATTTCATCTGGGTTTTTTTTTTAGGAATACAACCTCCAACTCCTGTTCAGAGTAGAACCATCGATTTTCACAAACCCTCACATGCAATTGGACACAAATTCTCCTTTCATGTTACTAGTCTGCTGAATTCGTTTTTAGCCCCCTCTATTAAGACATTTTTTTTTTCAATCTAAATTTGCCTTTGAAAAAAGAGGGTTAAATCAGGTCCATTATCATACGCTCCACAGTCGCTGGCCAAGGGCGGATCCAGAACACAATTTTTTTTGGAGGGGGGGCCAAAAAAAGCCCCCAAAAGTGGGTCCAAAAATTACGGCAAGGGAAAATTGTTTGGATTCTAGATCGCTCTGTGGTGCGATCGGAGGCATAGTTCTGACCACTTTAACCAAATTTTCTGAGGAAAAGAAAGTGGTGTACGCAGTGTCTGCTATTTTAGCGACGTCACTTTAAAAAAAAATGGGTTTTTTTTGGGGGGGGCATGGCCCCCCTTGCCCCCCCCCTTCCCCCCCCCCCCGGATCCGCCCTTGTCGATGGTGAAATTAAGGCGAGGGATTGGGCAGGGGCGTTGCTGGGGGGGGGGGGCGCGCTTCAGGGATCTGGGTATGTGATGCTAACTCGTATTAGTGACTGCAGGCGCAGGCGCGGCCAATACGCCCCATAAATAGTCCACCAGCCTAGTGTCTGATGGTGTACAGTTCACTAGTACTGAACAGCGCCCACTATGTCAGATGATGTCTAACACCCCTTCCCCCTCCACACCCGCACCAATTCTGCGAAGGTATATTACTTGAAATTATGGAAATAAAAAGTTTTACTCAGAGTCATGGTCTGTCCGCAATTTATGGTCAAAACCCGCATTCAAATTTGTGTAGTTTGACGACGCCCGTAAGGCGAAAGGGGGGGGGAACACTTTCGACGATTATGCACACTAACGTACAATATATTGCTTTTCAGGGCGATACATGCGCGAAATTCAAAAAAAGTACCAGTGACGGCCAATGCCACAAAAACAAAAAAGGGCACGACTTTTTTCTTTTAAAGGTCACTTAATCATGAAAAGGGCACTTTATGTTAATAACAAAATAAGGGTGTACTCTTTAAAAGTATTGGGGGGGGGGGGTAATCTCTGGTGGAAAAAGGGGCATTTGAATGGGAATACCATTCAAATGTTAATACAAATGTTAATACCCCCTTAACCCCATCCACTCCCCCCCCCCCCCCCCCCCCCCACTGGCTACGCCTATGCTCCGGCTTTGAGGTAAACAAAAAAAGGCGCGCCAACTTTTTTCCCGGTGTTTTAAGCTGAAACGTCTCTTGCTCCTTCGTCTCCTCACAAAGCATCCAATGTTGAGGTTGATCACGACAGTTGCGTGCCAGATGCAGACGGCCGAACCGTGATCATTTGAACAACTCCCACCGGAGATGACAGTCAGACTTGGGGGTAGGTGTCAGGGTCGAGTCCCATCATAAAACAACCTCTCAAGTGGGATTTATCAGCTAAGCGATAGACGCTGTCCATGGCGAGAAAATACGCAAGACACCAAACACAATGAGCTTAACGTAGAACTGGGCCAAGGTCCACGATTCAACTTTAACTGTGAAATGTGCGAGCACTGACAGACTGGCTTTGGATTTTTTTAAGAAGACGGGTGATTGAAATAAAATATATCGCTTACGAGTACAATTTTTGCTGGCCACACAAGAGCAAGCCTATACAGGTTGAGTAAAAAAAAACGAAACCCAAATGTCCCCGGGACCATTGTTTTAGTGACGTTCTAAATGTAGCACGAAATCTAGGATATATGAAAACTCAATTCATAAACTTTCTTTTAGTACAAGAATCATTCAAATCACTCATGTACTTTTCAAGTTACGGACTTTTAAACAAAACCACCGTTTTAAAGTTCTGTCCACGGATCACAAGAAGGTAAGTGTTCTTTCAGTAAAACGAAACTACAAATCACATAGGAATGTGCATGATGTGTGTGAATTGTGTTCGTTTTGCTGAAAGAACGCACACCTTTTGTGTGATCCGTGGACAGAACTTTAAAACGACGGTTGTGTTTACAATTCCATAACTTGAAAAGTACTTGAGTGATTTGAATGATTCTTATACTAAAAGAAAGCTTATGAATTGGGCTTTTATATCTTAGATTTCTAAAGTGATACATGCAGAACTTCACTAAAACAATAGTCCCGACATTTGGGTTTCGTGTTTTTTGACTCACCCTGTAGTTTTCTTTGTACCTGAACTTCACTGACTCAGTAACTGTCACTTGTAAATTAAGACGTGTTTAATTCTCAACTTGGCCCAAAGGTTTGAATTAGGACTGTCCAGTAACACCGATGAATGGGCTATAATCAAAACACGATACAGTGGCAAACAAAATAATGAATGATTGTGAGTGCAATGGTAAGAATAATTTCACGAGGTGACAGATGGAATGTTCAATTCTTCGCCTCGTGGAATGGAACATTCCATCTGTCACCTCGTGAAATGATTCTTTCCATTGTACGAATGTGAAACATTCATTATTTGTTATATACAACATAACACGTGAATAAATCCTCGTCATCCAAAAGTGTGACCGTGCAATGGAAATTCAATTTACCGTGGAATGGAACTTCTATTTTTTGACTCGCGGCGCGCTGTGCGTGTACTTTTGATTCCCAGGACGGTTAGGGCCAAGTCATGAATAATTCAGTAGTTTCGATCGGGCCAGTATGTTTATTCATGAGAACAGAACAATGATATCAAGAGCCTTGTTGTTTAGTCAACGAGTTACATAAAGCAGTATAACCTAGTGGATAGCGAGATGAGCTATGGATACAAAGATCCCTGGTTCGAACCCACGTCGTCGCTGCTCATTTTCCATCGACTATTTTTCTTCTCAAAATTTATCGTTGAGATAATTTTAATTCAAGGGAGAACGAGAAACCAAGTGTCTTGCAATGATTCAAAGGAAAAGCTGAATTATGCATGACTTGGCCCCAACCCTCCTAGGAAAAAAATACGTGCTCCGGGCCGTGGGTTGGAGGGAATAATTCACTGACACGTGATAAACTATCCACCAATCAGATGACGGGGACTTATGCAGGCGTTGTATAACACAAGCTATACCATGCCATGGTATAATCATGGAGGTAGGAATCGCATAAATACAACTCTGTGGGGACATACATGTACGTTGCGCACCCGAAAACAGGGGCATATTCTTTTAACTTTTCTCCACACAACTAAATTCACAGAAGAAGCAAGTCCTCCTATGGACCCTACCAAAAATACGCATGTGCACAATTTGCACCGTCTTTCATGATGTACGATGAAGACAGCTTTTAGTGTACAACACAATCTGGTCCAAAACACATAAATGCCGCCATTTTTAATATACATGTACAATGTTTATTGACTGAAGTGTCTGTACTCTGTAAGTGTTACTCAGGTATTACACATGCCATTTATACAAAATAAATATTTTCACCTAAAAAGCCGACCACCATAATAGCTTGGAAAACCTACCAAAGCAACTCTAAGAACATCAGCCCTTTGTTTTAAAACGTATAGAGAGCTTGCAAAGAGCACCCCCTCTGTGGACATGTTAATTTTAAATTCAGTGGCAAGGGAAGAACAAAGTGTCTGCGTGTACGAATCACAACGGAACAAAGGCCTGTCCTCAGTGGCCGCGATCTGTGCAAACTATATTCCTTTCCATTACTCAATTTTTTTCAGAATTTTTTTTTTCTCAAACAAAATGTAAACCAAATTCCAAGTTCAATATGGAAAGAATGCTGCATCCTGAGTTCCTGATGCCACTTTTTTCATCAAGTGTTATCTCAATGAAGGTCAGTCACTGCAAAAATGTTGAAAAGACATGAATCTTGGACTGAACAACATTACTAAAAAAATTTAGACAATACTTTGAAAATGCACTCGACTCTCCATAGACTTTGTACACGGCCAAAGAAATATCTCCATTATATTTCAGCATCAGATAAATTGACAGTAGCCGATCTAAGGGGTTGGGTTTGGGTTGCCAAAAAAGTAAAAATCGTACAGAAAAATGCCAATGCCTGCTCCCCCCCCTCCCTCAAACTAACCCCTCCCTCAAACGAACCCCCCCCCCCCCCCCTCTTGAGCCACACCGGGATCCTCCCCTGATTGACTTTTCTTTTACTTCGGCACAGTTTTACATCTACCATCTGTACGGAAAATGTACACAATGCACAATACAATTACATTTTTATAACTTCTGCCCTTCATAAGTTCTTGAAAAATAAAATAAATAGAAGTCAAGTTAAGGGTTCAACAAGGCTATGTCTGTTATCAAGATAATATCATTGACAAAGAAGAACAATTGAAAGTAATATTTCAAGCACCAAAAATGAAATAACTCAAAAATTAAGTCGAAACATCGCCAGATAGTCACACAATAACATAAACTTGTTATTAAATAGAGATATTTTTAAAAATACATTCTTAAATGCTGTTCGATCTGCAAAATGTAAAAAAAAAAAAATAATAATAAAACACACTGATTCAACCATCGTATTATATCCTATTCTATTTCACAGAATTATTCAGCCATAAAGTGTACTCTCCTTATAAATGTATCTTGATTAACAATATATACACACCAACATTTGTACATCAAATCTGAAAACAAGTGGTCTTAACTTTTGTTACAAAAGGAACTTTTATGTCATATCTCATGACCCCAACTACTAGCACACAATTCACCAATTATTTCTTGTGTGCATTTGGATGCACAGAGGGTAACATGCTGTGCATGTGCGTATATGTGTAAAATTTTAAGTAAGATAGGGAGGCAAAAGTTTGGCTGACCCAAAAGTTTGGCTGAAATTTCCAACGACAGATTTTTACACATAGGAATACAGCCTATAAGGGCATCGATTGGTGTGTGGCCAAAGCATAGAGCTATATTAAATTACTAGAGCGCTAACTCGTCATTCTGCGCGCGGAGACGCTTTGAAGCCGTCCTGGGCGCAGACATTTTGAATTCATGTGCGTGTTTGTAGAACATAATGAAATTAGATGGATTGAATTTTGAAAGTGTATTCTACATGCAATGCGCAAGTAGAACATATGCAAACAACTTAGGCACGTCATTGACGGTTCAAAAAACGTGATGGCAAAAAGCATCTGCAGCAAAAACGCGCACACGTTGTGCCGTTTGCGTAGAGCAAAATGACACGCTCATTTGCTGATCTTGCATTTCGGTTTTGGACGTATTGGCTTCGATAATGCACCGGTATGGAATACAAACGCAGATATGCAAATAGCCGTACAAAAGCCGTACACAATTTCTAGGTCTCCATAGGTTTGTGCACAAACATGGATGCGCCCAGCAGGCATTACTTTGTACATGAAGTTAGCGCTCTAGTAATTTAATATAGCTCTATGGGCCATAGCCACTCCCCTTTTCCATCAATCATTTACATCTCATACATATTCATGTCCCAGGTCAACAGGTCAGTATCTCACACTATCAGGGATGCAGATATAATTGGGGGATTTATTCCTCATTTTGGAGGATCGGGTCACATGAAGCCAGCTGGAATCTATCTCAACCATGCACTGGGGATCCACTGGGGCTCAACCTCCAGTTTCCTGGTGATGCCCATCAGCTCATTGTACGTTCTCGTCAGTTCATCGCTGACAATGACCGCGTCAAAGTAGTTCTTGTAGAGGGCCTCCATGCGCATGCCCACCTGAATCATGTCCACCATTTCTTCTTCCTGTATAAAGAGATATACGAGAACATCTGCGATAAATTAACCTCCTAAGGAATATACCTCACTGAACATCTGGGAGTAGTTTCAGACAAGTTTGTCCCCCAAATTACCATTGTAACGGGTATCTGTGGCAGGATTCTAAACTCATTCCCCAGAATCTTCCCGCAGTGAAGTTATTACCACTGTTTGCATACTGGTAACTTCATTTCAGTAATACTCCAGGGAAAATGTTAACGATTTCCATAACAACATTAAAGGGAATGTACAACATTTACTTTTGCTGCAATTTTTTGAAATAGATGGATTTGGAGGATTAATATGTTATAGCAAATATTGTTGAACTGACTTGTTTCACGTTTTGAGTTCGTAGATGCTTGGAAAAACCATGAAAACCAATCGTGTTCTTGTAGTCTGGTTCCCTGACCCCACTTTAGATGAAACGGAGCAATCATGACTTTGGGAAATTGTAAGGTCAGACAATCAGTGTAGAAGGCTTGTACCCCTTCACAGGTGTGTAAGCAATTGCAAAGAAAACGCGGAATAACTAATTATGAAAAATTAGGAGCAGTTTTTGAAAAAAAGCCAGTTTTCTCCAACGCTGGTCGGCCGACCAGTGTTGGAAAAATACAATTTTTCTTTAAAATGACAGCACACCAGGAGCCACAATTTTACAGGATGCTTTAGACTGTCATTCCCTAACAATCTAGTGAGGTATTTCGTGATTATTTGATCATTTCGTTTTGTGATGTTTGCAAATGTTGTATCTTCCCTTTAAGTCAACTGTATTTTGCAACTTTGCCGTAGGCTCAGACCCAGAACGGAATAAAGAACTGCTTGTGTCGAAATTTCACTTTTATACAATTAAAGAATATTTTAGAAGCCTGACGTTTGACGCAGGCCTAAAATTTCAATAAGTACAACTTAATCTGAAACCTCTGAAAATCGCACGTTGGATTTTATCTACTGGTTGTTCATGAGCAGATGAGGCTACCCGTACCTGACCGGCCATTTGCTAGCGGGCGGTGCAGTACGTACGTTGGTACCATTGCATATCATCGTGTGCAGCTAGTACACAAAATGCAGCACACACTGTATTACCGTGCGACGCAGTGATTTTTCCATGTCACAGGTCATTGACTAACCTTTAATTCAGCCGGAAAAAGCTCCGATCAGCATTGGCCTAGGTGTTTCTACAGTAGAAACTCTCCATTAACGACTGGTGAAAGAGATTAAACCTACGCTCGCGATCATTTATATGTGTCCTTTTCATCGACTTTTCTTCGAAATTATGATTTAAATAAAATGACATATTCTGGGAAAATCGTTAAAGAAAAAAAGTTTGTTGGGAAAGTCAAAAAGTCAGATTTCCGATTAAAATTGGAAAAGTTTCATCTCTGTGCATTAAGCCCCGTCCACTGCGTGCATGGGCAACAACACGTGCGCCTCTCCAATGCCACACCGCATGTTCCAGCTGCGTGGGTCATATGCAAGAGCACATGTTGGACATTTGTGCGCACGTTTCAGTCATTAAAGGTATAGTCCATCATTTGTAATTTGTGCATTTTGTTCATTTGAAGCAACAAAAGTGCTCAAATTCTAAAGAAGGGTACTGAACAACTAACCTGACGAAGTTTCAGCTCAGCTTCAGCTGTATATTCCGAGAAAAACAGCATTCTAGGATCTCGATTTCAAATAAAAAGTTGCTGAATTATGTTTTGAATTGGGCCTGAATTCAGCATCCGATACACGTTCTTACTGAGCCGATTGCAGCTATGCGATGTCGCGCACTGATCCAACAAATTATAGCAACCGCGCGTGCATGTGCGTCGTGCAAATGCTGGCGCGCGCTTCGCCGAATAACAAAACGAACTACTAATTTGAATTTCCTACGGTGCGTCTTAAGAAGCTCCGTTGGAAAGGCCTTCTTTTGTTGATTTCTTCAAAATGACAGCTTGCCAGAAAGACTAATTTCACAGGGAGTTTAGTCCCCTTACTATCTTTCAACCAAGAATGTTTTTCTACAATAATGATGCCAGTTACTTTTCGGTTAGCTGCAAATGATGGACTATAGCTTTAATCACAGCTGGTCAAAACAATCATAAGGCGGGGCTCATTAGTCAAAACAATCATAAGGCGGGGCTCAAAGGATCGGTCTAGCCTGGCAATACTCACACTGAAGAGTCGGTTGGCATTCTTGTCCTGGCCAACCTTGGACTTGTGGACCTGCCGCGTCTCTCTCAGGACGTCCAGGGGAGGCGGCTTGACGTAGATGATGTACGGTTTCAGGTCGCTGTCTCTCAGCATCTTCAATGCCTGATTGAACGCAGATAGTAACAGTTAATAAGTGAAAGCATGATGTAGACTACAATGCACAAACAGTTATGGTGCTTGCGGGAGAAACACACCCTCTGCGCCCATTCGTTTGTGCACATATTGCACAAACTATGCACGACTTAGTGTATTCTAAATATGCGCAAACCTGTAGCAATGTGTTTATATGTTCCTCCCACTGGTCTTCCCATATAAAGCTACACTATGTGCCTCTGTTGCCATTCTAAGGTCACCTGTCACCAGCTCGTTGCCATTGCGACTGGCTCACACTTTTTTTGTAACACTGTTTCATGTATGAGAGTGATGCAACTATTTGAGGGCAATAATGCACTGTGCAGACGAGCATCCAGCAGCCATAATATTTTTTCTAGCTTCGGAAAGAAAATGTAATTCCGTACAAGTCCTCAAAAGTCCATCACATGTCCTCCTGTCTCAATTCAAGTCACAAGCTGTTCAACTTGTAACCAAAGAATTGTGTTGTTTATCACCTGCTACTTATGACTGGGCTTGCAAAGGACATATAATTTAATTTTGACCATAATTGTGATTGACTTGACTACAATGCTGTCCAATAGGTCTTATCCATGGGGAAGCCATTTTTGATCATGTTTCCCGAATTTTATTTACACATATGCAATTTTGTCGAGCGATGTCGCATATATTTATATATACGCACAAATCAATGAGCGTGTTTATATTTACGCGACAGAGTTGTGCGACTTATCGTGTTAGTAAATCGCGCAACATATCGTGTGTTTTGTTCGTTCACATGCGCGCGTGTGACACTGCTGCGCGGCACAGTCGTTGCGACAAAATCACGTATAACCTTGTAAACTGTCGAATGGTATGGTGCCAGACTATTTATGCATTCCAAGCCACACTTGCAATTGTTTTTTAATTACACATTTTAAATTATTCCGTAGAGCAGACTGGCATTCATTTGTAATTAAATTTATTTCATTACTTTTACTTCTATTCACAAGTTCTAAAAATGAAGATGTTAACTCGCTTTCAATTTAATATGGACAACCTGTGAAAAAAGCCTATTTTGAGATCAGCCATGGCACAGATTGGTCAAGGTTCAAACCGTCACTTTGATGTCCAAACATAACCTTATTCCTCGTTTTGACAGGGTGGGACACGACAATGTCAAAACAAAGTATGGGTCAAAATAATGTCCAAACACATCAAAAGTATTCCTCATTTTGCCAGAGTGGGAGACAACAAACCCTACCTGTGGATGTACATTAACGATGCAGACTTTGCCAGCTTTGGACACTCTCTTGATAGTCTCAATGCTTGTGCCATACAGGTTTCCCTTATACTCCCCGTACTCCAGGAAGCGATTGCCTCGAATGGCCTCCTCCATGGTGGATCTGTCTATGTAGTAATACTCCTTCCCGTCTTCCTCCGCCCACTTTTTGGGTCTTGAGGTATCTGCAAACAAGTGGATTGTCGTGGTAATGATGGTTTTTCTAAGGAATAGGCAAGCCTAGTCAAGCTGGTCCTAGAGTTTTCAAAATTCTATTTAATTGATGCTGACTGGCTATTCACTGGAAGTCTTTTTATGCATCTAGTGGGCTGGATTTAGCCCATTCATTGGTATTTAAAGCTATAGTCCATCATTTGCAGCCATCCGAAAAGCAACTGGCATAATTATTGTTGAAAAACATACTTGGTTGAAAGATAGTAAGGGGACTAAGGCGAGGCGTCATAAATAAATTAACCGTTCGCACGCGTGCGCACGCGTGCGCACGCGTTCCTTCCCGTTCTGAACGGCCCCCGTTCCTTCCCGTGCCGAACGGCTTTTAGAACGCGTTCCGTAGATCGTGCTTGGGCAAGCTTCACTGAGGGGGTATTGTTATGTTAATCAACCGTTCCTTTGCGTGCGAGAACGGGAGCAGCACAACAAAGATGCGAAGAACAACTATGTGTATATACTTGTACAGAAAAAAAATCCGTTTTGGTTTGGAATTTAAATCAGATTTGGAATTTGAAAACCCGATATCGGAGCAAGCATTAAATAAAAAAAACATTTCAGAGTTTAGACAGCACGAGCAGGTATGAGGAGTTTGATAAGATTTATGCCTTTTTATCCTTAAATATCGTTGTCTGCCGCTGGGCGGGGCGAAAAAAAAAGTATGTATGGTCTAGGTTATATTAAAAATGCGGAGATTGGAAGGGTTAAAAAAATATTTGGTGGGCGGCTACATGCTCAGAATAAAAGCAATAACATCATTGTCGGCCGCAGGGCGGGGCGAAAAAAATGTATGGTCCATGCAGGTTCTATTAGAAAATGCGGAGATCGGAAGAGTGAATAAAAAAAATTCGTGAGCTACATACTCAGAACTATCTTATTGGTGGTAAATTTCGCCTTCATAGCATAACGATCTGCCCAGCTAGCTGTTGCACTGTGTGATACTATCGACAAATTCCCACGCTGTTCTTACTTGGCAAGGAGCCAAACTTGTTATCGTCCGCGCCCAGAAGATCCTCTCGAATTGCCAACGGCTGTTTACTGTGCCTACTGTCGACTGATGCTGAGCGGCATCTAGGGGATCGCGGGATTTCACCCTGCTCCGAACAACATCTTCGACAAGGCCATCCCATTTTGCATTAACCCACTTGATAGTAATTTTGTTGGTCGACATCTTTGCAGGAATGTAGAAAGCGTCTGGACTCGAGAAAGTTTTCTTTCAAATAAAGACAGGGACAGGTTTTCAGAGGACGCCAAGGAAATGACGCTTTGCTTCGAACCAAATCACAAGGCGTTACCGCGCTATTCATAACCCAAGACGAACCAAATCACAAGGCGTTACCGCGCTATTCATAGCCCAAGACGAACCAAATCACAAGGCGTTACCGCGACAATGCATAGCTCTAAATGTCATTGTGAAGGTTGTGTGATGATTCCGCGAGTAGGGGGGGTTTGGGTTTCTTTTGAATCTGGCTAATTGCTAGCACGCATCACTTGTTACCCTGGAGAATACATGTACCCTGGCAGGGAAAAGAAGATTAACACCTTTGCATGTTTGTATGTACATGTACATTTGTTGCGTGAACATTCATGTACGCCTGCAAATAATAGTTCCCGAGTGAGTTCTTTTTTTAAGTATGAGTTCACTACTTCGAGTATGAATATGAAGATATTGTGAATGAATATTAAATATGCCAAAAAGTCGTCTATTTTACTATTACTATAATTGTTATTTTTTATTATTATTATTGTGACGGTCAGAACAGTTGGGGGGGGGGGGGGGTTCACCCTCTCGATCCGCGTCTGGCATAGCACTTAACTACTGAAACAGAAGCAGATCTTTACTTCTTCGCGTTGTACATGGTAACATGAGCACGCGCTGTCTTTATTAAACCCAATGTTTTGCTTTTTTTAAGTTGCCAAAAAAGAGAGCTGGCATGTGCATTCCTCGTTTACAGGTAGATGGTAGATGATAGATGATAATTTAAGGTCGAATATTCAATGTTTCAATATGCAAGAAACCCACGACAGACTGTCCTTTGTACTCCACTCTTAGTTTATTTCTTGATGGCCCTGACCCCCCTGTTACCAAGCAGACGAGATGCAGTCTTTGTTCCAAGTTATTGCCAACGCGTGGCTCTGTTGATAGGTCAATTCATGTCTTAGTGGTCGGGTATATTGTTCAGTGTTTTGGCAAGTTTTCCCTCACCCAAGCCGTCTACAAACAACCCGGGACATTTCATGACGTTCACGGAAGCTCTCCACTCCCGCAGTATTCCTCCATGTGAGAACCTACCCCTCTTTCGTCAGAAGGGATTGGGAAGGTGCCAAGTTTCTTCTTGCAAGTACGTCTTCACGAGCAAGAAGGACAAGGACGATCATCGCATAAGGAACCATCCCAGACATCACTGTTCTTAAGACCCGTATTTTGTTCGTCATTTTAAATCGTTACAGTTTTCACAAAGGGACGAATTTGGCAAAATATTCACTTTTTCCAATTTCATTTTTTTCCGTCAAAATTGATTAATTTAATCGATACCACCAAATTAGTGAAGATTTGTTTCGTCGAAATCTATAAAAGTGCTCTAATTGTTATATTATTATATACATGTATAACGGAAGTGATTTTATGTGCAAAAAATGTCAGTGTGCGTATACATCAAGATGTCATGCACCGACCTAGTAATTTAAAGAGGATCTATAAACCAAAAAGATTAATTTAGGCAGCCTGCCGCATGCATGACGTACTGCATGTTTAGGAAGCCCCTCCAGGCGTTTTACATGAAGTATAATTTTTGAAGGTACTGTACCCCCAAAGACAACGAAGCCGTAAAATAGTTTGTTTCAAATTAGAGTCCAGCTTCAAAATAGCGTCGGTCGGTAGGAAAGTTGTGTTTGAATATGCTGCTGGTCATGCCTCGGTCGAAGTGCATTTATACATGTGTATATAAATGTGCCGCATAGCCACCAACATTGCCCGCTATAAGAATTGCATATACATGCTTTCATTTCAGACATTTATTTTAGACGCATTATACCATGATACTCACTGGAAATGGTGGAAACTTTGAAAGCCAGCACAATCACGTGCAAAGTGAAACACCAGCGTGATTCGAATAACAATGTGGTCGGCGTGCGTAAAATGCACAGTACTTTCCACTCATAGTCCACCCATGGTCCACCCAAGCCCCCTGCGTGCTCTGTCGAGGTTGGTCCGCTACAAACACAAGCATTTAATTCTCAATATATATTCGCGACTTCGGAAAATGTCTTTCTGGAAAAAAGTTCTGATTGTTTTCAATGCTGTTGGTGACATGTTGATGCTGCCGAAGTTCCGACGTACCATGCATGCACCTTCTGTCATTATCATTATACGGCGGTACGGCCGGTGGGAACCATGCCATTTTGTACTGACCATGCTACACTACTGCATGGCCATGCGCGATTGCGAGTACAATGTACATGCCCGTGTATATGCATGGCGGCCTGTCAGCACGCCGGCGAACACAATCCTGTACATGTACATGTATATGTAGGCCTATACACAGTGCAGTTAAATAATTGTGAGGGTCTATTACTTATTAGTATTAGATTTCAGTTTTGTTTGATATTATTTTAATTTTGTTTTGACGTACAAAGGCCACGCAGCGAAACATTTCAAGAAAATGATACATGAAACAGCCGTTTTGCACGACTTGGGACTTCCCCCTGAGCACGCAATTCCCACGTTTTATAAACAGTCAGCCCCCGGGCTAGCATTGCATACTACATAGCATGTAAATGCAAGAGGCATGAGACGGGTTACACGACGTACAGCAGGGGGCCCGTTCGCACGCGGGAGGACGGTGCAGCGCATGAACCTCGCACCTTGCACGACGATGATCAGTTGGTGGCAGGAATTACTGAGACTTCAACAAGAGACAACCATGCCTGACCTTTAAGATATTCCTGGGCAATTTAAAAGCCAGAAACCTGGGCGTAATTCGTTAAATTTTACCACGGAATCTACTGAAAAACGCGTTTGCAGTTCAGAAATGAAAACAGACGAAGAAGATAAAGTCGTTTTAAAATAAAAATTGAGAAAACCAGACATATTACACTAGATCGTATCCAACCCAAAAAATAATTGAGACGTTTAACACTTATTTTATGTAAAACAAAGTGCGAGTATTCTTCTTCTTTTTTGGGGGTACAGGCACGGAAATGTAAATTAGCAGGTACGGTACTGCATATAATGTTCACAAAAACAAGTTTAAACATTGTAAAAAGTTTGCTGACTGATGTTATAAACTGGCCTTGTACACACGATCAGCGAATTATAAATCGAATATTCAAGGTTTTTACATACTGATAGTAAAGTTTGCAAAGGACTGCTATCCCGGTTCAAGTTTCCCGTATTTTTATACGTCCCCCCTGTACTGTACGGGCTAGCCTGTAGCGACGAGAAAGTTTGTCGGATACTTTTAGTGCCGATGAGCTCTTCGTGTGTGCACAGACCGTGACTGGCCTTTTGTTGTATAAGAACGCGTTCTGAACGGGATGCCGTGAGCACGCGTGCGAACGGGAGGTAGATGTAACAAAAGGCCCCGTTCCTAGCGTGCGCACGCGTTCGAACGGTTAATTTATTTATGACGCCTCGCCTAAACTCCCTATGAAATTATTCTTTCTGGCAAGCTGTCATTTTGAAGTAGTCAACGAAAGAAGGCCTTTCCAATGGTGCGTCTTAAGACGCACCGTAGGAAAATTTAAATTAGTAGTTCGTTTTGTTATTCGGCGAAGCGCGCGCAAGCATTGGCACGATGCACACGCGCGCGCGGTTGCTATAATTCGTCAGATCAGTGCGCAGCATCGCGTATAGCTGCATTCGGCTCAGTGAGAATGCGTCTCAGACGCTGAATTCAGACCCAATTCTAAACATGATTCAGCAACTTTTGACTTGAAATTGAGATCCTAGAATGCTGTTTTTCTCGGAATATACAGCTGAAGCTGAGCTGAAACTTCATCAGGTTAGTTGTTCAGTATCCTTCATTAGATTTTGAACACTTTTGTTGCTTCAAACGAACAAAATGCACAAATTACAAATGATGGACTATATCTTTAAGGGTAATCCTATATGACAGGACTACCTGGCTCACAACTGACAGTCAGTGAGTGAGTGAATCAGTCAGTAAAGCTTGCCGCACACCTCTCCAATATTACCCGTTCACAGGATCACCGGAACGTTGGTTTTTTTCCAGCATTGCGGAGACAGCAAAGTTACACGCACACATGCTCGTCTCGTGACCAGTCACATGATGACAAAATGTCAGCCGTCAATTTTGAATCATGTGACTTCCTTTGTGAATCTGATTGGTTAACATACATTTGTAAATATCGCGTCCAGTGAAATCCGGATGCTGCCCGCACACCTTTCCGGTGACATAGGATTCGGTGAAATTGGATGCGAGAAAAATCAAACATGTTTGATTTAATACGGTCATTGTACATCCATTGTACGGTGAGATAGGTGTGATTTTTCAGTGCACACCTCTGCAATCTGTGAACCGATAAAATCGGAAAGGCATGCAGGGGGCTTTAGTCAGTTTGTGCTTACGGGGAATAGCAGCCTGGTAGTGATCTGGGTTGGTGGCTATAATTCGTCTTTTCAGTTCGTTCCGACCGACTCCTGGTGGTCCTGCAGAAAATAAAGCATAAATAATACCAAAAAGTGAAACAAACAAGATGAAATTTAGTCAACTTTAGATCAAACAAAGGATCACCCCTTAAGTCGCAATGATCGCAAAATTAGTAATGCTGCAAACCTGGGAATTGGCAATCTGGAATTAGAATGCTGTTCCAGTCAATATCCTTTCTTATTATTTATTTCTGGTAACAAAACCTCAAAAGCGCCCTAGGCACTGTAGCTCGCAAGCATAACAAAAACATGTAGAGAGGAGGCAATGAGAAGCAATGATATTTTTAGAGGTGGGAGGAAAACCCCAGCAGAATGTTTGAGGGAAAACCCACGGAATCAGGTAGGGACTGAAAACCAAATCCACATGTTGGCCCAGGCGGGATTCGAACCCAGGTCACAGCAGTGGAAGGCGAGGACAGTACTGCTATGCCAAACTCCCCCGACAACAATAATTGATAAATCAATTATATACCATTAACAAAACAAAAAAAAACAATTTAACCGTTTTTCTTTTTCTATCATTCAAGAGGCAGCACATTGTGCTGCCAAGCAAACAGGTATGCTGTTACTCACAGGTAACCAGCCAGAATGCAGTGTGATGCATTGCTTCTAAACGACTGGCTCCCGGCATAGTTTTACTTTTAAATTTATATTAATTGGTACTGAAAAATGTATGTGAGGATGAAAATAAAATAACATCAGTAAGTATCTCAAGACTGTCAAACCTCGGTGTTGAGACTGTCAAACCTCGGTGTTGATACTAACAAGACTGTCAAACCTCGGTGTTGATACTAACAAAATACTGATATGTCTTTGTTCATGACAATGAGGACTTTTGATGGTCCCAAGACTTACCTACAAGAACAATTGGTCGTGGATGTTCCGTGGCAACATATGGGATCACTTCCTCGTACGTCATGATCTCATGATGGGAAAACTCTGATGATTTTGACAGGGAGAAAAAACAAGCAACGCAATTTAATATGAAAGTACATGTATCAGGGTTCGACTTTAAGTTTTTTCTCACTAGCCAGCCGGGCTACTGAAACAGACTCTTAACTAGCCAGCACCCAGCGGGCATTTTCACTAGCCTGCATGTTTTTCTTTTATAGAGTGTCTCATAAACAACAATGTGCATACATGTAAAACATGTATCCAGAGGCAATCTTGTCAGTGCTTTTAATTAATAAACAGATCTAATAATTCAACCCTAAACAGTTAATAAAATTACTAATTAGACACAAAGTGATACAGGTGTGCTTTCTGAATTTAATGACTTATTTCCTCCTGCCCTTTCATCTTTGCCGTAGCCCAATAATTTTGGACTCGCCAACCGGGCTACTTAGGAATAGTTTGGCTAGCCCACCGCCGTTTTGACTAGCATTTGGCTAGCGGGCTACCGCTTAACCCTAAAAAGGCCGGGTTATTTTGACCTTCTCTCAGCCTGGGGGGGGGGGGGGGATTCCGCGCCCTCCCCCCAAGATGTCGGCCATCGAGCGACGAAAATTTTTGAAACTCGGTACATGCATAGAGCAACTCATCATGGACATACCCAAGAAATTTCATGACTAAAGGTCAAAGGGTTTTGGAATTACGGCTAATTAATTATTCATATGTACGAATGGTAATTCTGCTCTGTGTACACGACGTATATGGGAAAAATTAGTTTTCCCGGCGCATAGCGCCAGAAAAGAAAAAAGTCATAACAGCTTGGGTCGCGAAAAAAAATTTTTCAAGGCTATCGCGGAAAAAGTCGAGGGGGGGGGGCAGATTCCGCCCCCTCCCCCGGCTCTTTTAGGGTTAAGTTGAACCCAGTATGTATACACATAAGTGAACAAATAAATGGACTCTGTGCGGAAGTACCCTTCAACAGACAGTATTTTTGCCATTCACAGTTGAAAAATTAGCACTGCGTAGTCCGCAGATACATGCTTGAGAGCCACGGTATCCTTCTCAGCATTTGCGCAAGGCCTAAATATATATCGTTAAAAACACATTGACTGAAAATGAGGCCCTCCCAAGTAAAAAAATGAGACCCTCCCAAGTCCAAAATAATGAGGTCCTCCTCATTCAAATAATGAGGCCATCCCAAGACAAATAATGAGGCCCTCCCACGTCAAAAACATAAGGCCCTCCTAAGTCCCAAAAAATGGGGCCCTCCTAAGTCCCAAAAAATGGGGCCCTCCTCAGTCCCAAAAAATGGGGCCCTCCTAAGTCCAAAAAATGAGGCCCTCCTAAGTCCACTGAGGCCCTCCCAAGTAAAAATAAATTAGGCCATTCTAAGTCCAAAAAATGAGGCCCTCCTATGTCCAAAAAGTGAGGCTCTCCTCTGTAAAAAAGAAAAAAAAGAAAGGCCCTCGTCCGAAAAATGAGGCCGTTCCAAGTCAAAAAGATTAGGCCCTCCTAAGTCCAAAAAAAGGAGGGCCCTCCCAAGTCCAAAACGTGAGGCCCACCTAAGTCCCAAAAATTAGGCCCTCCTTAGTCAAAAAAATTGAGGGCCTCCTAGGTCCAAAAACATGAGGCCCTCCTAATACAAAAATGCTGCCCTCCTATGTCAAAAGAGTGAGGCCCTTCTAAGTCAAAAATTGAGACACTCCTGTCTCACATAAATTGGAGGCCCAATTTAAAAGAACGAGGCCCTCCTATTTCACATAATGAGGCCCTCCTAAGTCAAGTAATGAGGCCCTCCTACGTCAAATAATGAGGCCCTCCTACGTCAAATAATGAGGCCCTCCTACGTCAAATAATGAGGCCCTCCTACATCAAATAATGAGGCCTTCATAAGTCAAATAATGAGGCCCTCCTACGTCAAATAATGAGGCCCTCCTACGTCAAATAATGAGGCCCTCCTACGTCAAATAATGAGGCCCTCCTACGTCAAATAATGAGGCCCTCCTACGTCAAATAATGAGGCCCTCCTACGTCAAATAATGAGGCCCTCCTACGTCAAATAATGAGGCCCTCCTACGTCAAATAATGAGGCCTTCATAAGTCATTTATGCAATTGCTGTGCGTGCACTAGCTGGATTTGCACATGTATAGAAGGAAACACACACAACTTAGTTTCTTCTGAACGTGCATATTCCTTTATCAGGGAATCCTTAACTCTCCCTTTGTAACCATTGAGGGGGTACTTGTGCACATACTCCTTTGACCATTGACATCTTGACAATTTCCAGAACCAACTTCTACTCCTACATACCGTCACTTTTTCTGGCTTGGTACATGATCTTCTTGATTTTCCGTTTGCTGCCACGGAGGCCGCCACTTCGCGTGGAAATTCTCAGTGCTGTGAATTCAAAAAAAAAGGAAGAAAGTTCACTCTTGAACGTACATTTTCATGTCACAAAAACAACAAATTAAAAGGATTTCAGAGAATCGTTACACAATAAACTAATACATTAGGCCCTGTCCACAGTGTTTTGACCAATCACAGCCGTGATTAATGTCTATTGTACAGTCTGACATGTGCATGTGCATATGACGCATGCGGCTGAAACATGCAGTGTGGCATTGGAGTGGTGCACGTTTTATTGCTCGCATGCTCAGTGGGTAGGGCTGTTATGGATCAGTCTATTGTTCCAGGTTTTATAAATAAACACTGATCACAAAAACAGATGAATGTGATTTCCATGACTTTTTGATGAGCTGGGTTCGTAAGTGAAGGATATAACAAAATATCTCTTTTATCATCCAAATATAAATCTGTCATGGAAAGTGAATTAGAAAATTGTACGGGCACCTCAAAATAATTGTTTAACTTACAACTCCTCTGATACGCCAACTCTGTTGATCGGTTGCCAAATGGGGTGGTAGGGCACTTGTTTAGGGCCTGCCGTCTACAGATACACAAAAAAATTGAAAATACAAGTGATGAAATTCAAATTTGAAACATTAACTTTTAATGTCAAACTACTGAAGTTGGACTTGAATCAAGGCTTGCTTTCAAGTAAGACACAAAGCTTGAATGAGACTAGCTCTCAAAGATTGGAGACTTGAATTGAGACTAGCTCTTAAAGATTTGAGACTTGAATTTCATGGAGACTGTAAGCAGTAAGCAAAGCAACAGGCTTGCCTACCTCAAGAGGGAAAAAATTGCTTAAATCAGGGACGTAACAATAGAAATCTCCATGCGCACAACCGTTAGCACATCCACGCCATGAAATAGTGCTTCAGGATCGCTATAGTTAGCACAACTTTTCAACGTGTGCATTGTGTCAACGCTTGCACGCGCTTCATCGAATTAAAAACAAACCACTAATGGAAATTTCCCAAAAATGCGTCTTCTTTCTTTGGAAATGGCCTTCTTTCTTTGTTTTCTTCAAAATGACAGCTTGCCATAAAGAAAAATTTCAAAGGGAGTTTAGTCCCATTGCTCTCTTTAAACCAAGTGTGCTTTTCAACAATAGTTTCGTCATTTACTTTTTGGCTAGCTGGAAATGATGAACTGAGCTTTAAGCAGTGCCATGAAATTGGCCCCTGCTAATAGAGACATGACATTTGAATCTAGACTTGCTCTCAAGGCTTGGTACTTGCTTAGGATTTGACATAAGGGACTTCCTGACAGCTGAGACATAAGCTGTCTCGTGGCCTGTGTACCTTTCTTGAAGTAGCCTGCTTGGGATGAGGCCAGCGCGCGGTCCCTTCTCGCCCTCCCTCCTAGCCTGCCACCACATGGGATCGTCCTGGTTCACAATGTGAAGGACGTCTCCTTTCTTGAAGGACAGCCCGGCTTCGGGGCAAGGGATGGCGTTGTCATTGTAAGGGTTGTATTCAAAATATGTCTTTACACGCACCTGCATTGGCAAATACAAACGTGAAGTTACATGCGTGAAACAGAAACAAAAATGTCATTTTAATTTGTGTGGGTTTTCAGTTGAGAAGCATGGTCCTGCAATTTCTATGAAGACAGTACATGTACATTCTTCAGTTACAAATATATTTCTAGGCTATCTATCCACAACCGTGCTGCTCGGCTCATCTTCTCTGTCAAATGCACTGTGGATGCTACTTTCTCATCACAAATCTTCACTGGTTACCCATCCAGCAGCGTATATCATTCAAAGTTCTTCTGATGGTTTACAAGTGCCTACATGGTATTGCTCCTCCTTACTTGTGGGACTTACTCTCTTTGCATCAACCAGGCAGGCCAGGATTAAGATCTTCCAATGATAAACTTCTTCTCTCTATTCCTACAAGTTCAAAATCCCTTGGAGACAAATCTTTTTCATTAGCAGGCCCCAAATTATGGAACACTATTCCCATCAACATCAGGGACGCCCCATCTCTCACAATTTTCAAGAAACGTCTTAAAAGTTTCTTACTCATAACATCATAGTCCTCTCTTGTACAGCGCTTTGATCTATCTTGTAAAAGTGCTTTATAAATACTTTATTATTGTTACTATTATTACTATCTTTGTTTCATGAATCTAAAAGATTTTCTTGTTTCTTGTTCTCTACAAATCTCAAAATGAATTGTGAAACTTAAAATCATTGAAAAAATAACCTTACCAGAAATAGGAAACTTTTTGAATAATGTAAACATAAAATGTTGAACTTACTTTCTAAAATGGCATGGCACGGGGTAGCAGCAACATGCAATGTAAACAGACAACATGATTAGTGTTTGACATGCATAAAACATATCAGGACATGAATCACACGAGCACTAAAAAAATGCAGACATCTAATCACAAGTTTTAACCCTTGGAGTGTTTTGTTGTCTTTTTGGTATCCACCAAAAATCCCAACTCTGTTTAGAAATCAACGTAATGAGGATATCATCAAGCCCAGTGTGAAGTACATTGCAATGGACTATGGAGCACCAAAAGTGGACAACCGAAGTTTCCCATTTTCTGCTAGCAGAATTTTAGTTTTATAGAAGTCGCAACACCCGTTTTAAAAAAAATCCTCAATTTTCTGCTAGCAGAAATTTGGATTTTACGTTGATGACTCTCTCGGTGCCCCAAAAGTGGACAGTTAAAAATCTCAAATTCTTATAAGCAGAAATCATGGTGCTCCAAAAGTAGACAACCCCATTTTCCCATTTCCTGCTTGCAGAATTTAAGGTTTTTAGACGTCATGACACCCATAGTTTTAAACACGTCAATTTTCTGCTAGCATAAATTTGGGCTTTTTTTATTTTGACGACTTTCTTGAAGTTTGGTGGACAACTAAAAATCCTAAATTTCTGTTAGCAAACATTCAGGTTGAACTTATTGTAGAAACCAGAATCTCCTATTTTTTGCTAGCAGAACTTTAATTGGTCGTGAACCAAAACTAAAATTCAACTTGTCTACTCTACTGGAGGAAGTCACTGAGGACAAGTACCTTAGGGTTGTTATTCAAAACAACTTGAAATGGGACAAACAGTCTCATCACGCGGCAACCAAAGCAAGATGCTAAATTTTGTGCAAAGAAATTTTTACCAGAGCTCAAAGACAGTTAAAGAAAACCCACACGAAACCATTGTCCAAACACATTTGGAGTATGCCTCTGCCACTTGGAACCCAGGAACCAAGAAAAACAGGGACATTCTTCGAATAGTCCAACGAAGAGCAGCCAGATTCGTGTGTGGTGACTTTAGAGCCAAATCCAGTGTGACCAAGATGCTCATCGACCTCAATTGGAATCCCATCGAAACCAGGCGACAGACGCAACGACTAGTTACATTCCACAGAATTCTTAACCAGGGCATCGACATTGACGCTAACTTATATACCTCAGACAGAAACTATCAGATCCAGGAGAACCCACAACAAGCAGTTTGAAGTCCACCATCATACATCTACCCCCTTTATCCAGTCTATTTTTCTGAAGCCATTTTACTTGGAATGCCCTACCACAGCAAACTGTCAGCATAACTTCCTCTGCAGCCTTCAAAAGTTCCATCCAAAACCAACAAAAACATCACAGCCCCCCGCTAGACATTAATCCACTCTCGTCAACTTCCAGTTTAGTCCCTGGTGGACCGTTTGGGAATTTGATCTACGAGGTACAAGGTACAAGGTACTTAAATCGAGTTCAACGTTTTTCCAGAAACCAGATCTCGCCAAATGAGATGTAACACCGCGCACCTCTCCTTTCGAAATCCGTTAACATTAAACCACACCCCTGAAAATTGAGGTTTTAAAAACGGGTGTCGCGACTTCTAAAAACCTAAAATTCTACTTGCAGAAAATGGGAAAATTGGGTTGTCCACTTTTGGTGCTCCATTAATATACCTTAAATGTGTTCATTCAGAGTCAAAGGGCAATGGTTTTGTATCGCTGGGATAGGCCTGAGTAAACCATTTGTGCACTCTTTGTATCTAAATTGAAATAACACAGAAAACCCTCCGAGGTACATGTACCTGCAACGCATAAAAAAGGTCTAAACTGTCGGTGCAGTGCTGGATATGAATGCATTTTAATATATATACCTGAAATACTCTGGGTACACAACTGGAACTGTGTACAGCTGAAACAATGAACATGCACAACTAAATCAAGAACTGAGCAAACTGAAAACAATGCATTAAGGCCAGTATACTTGCAGTGAAGGTGAACACAAAGTGAAGTTCACGTCATGAAACATTCGCTGCTCACATTTGCCGGAGTTAAAATATATACAACTTTTGTTAACCTGTAGCCCGAATATTTGCCCTGAAGTTACAACTTTGCATTTGCATATTTGCTTATTACGCTGAGTAGGGACCATCCACAGTCGCTGTGAAATTCGCTGTGTTCAACTTTTGGGAATTTACAATGGGAACATTTGCTTTGACGTACGTCACAAATTTGCATTCGCAGTCTCTTTTGCGCTGAGTATGAATCTGCCTTTAATCTAAATACGAATAATTCCTTTTTCAAAGTACAACATCAGTATTTGGATTGTGACCATGCCATGAACTGAACTCTTTGCACACAACATAAACCACAATAGCAATACATTTTTTTGCAGAACCATGCAGTTTGTACAATCCACGATGCAAGGTCATTACCTGTGTTGGTATTATTTCACATGATTTCTAGAGTGGAAGAAAGTTGTAGACAAAGTTTTTAACACTGAATGTTACTGAGCCCTTTTTTTATTTGATAATTTGTTTTTAATGAATATGGGTACAATTTAATGTTCAACTCGGCCATAGAAAAAGATCTAAAGACAAGTGCATTACAAGGCCAATTTGCATCGAGATGAATATATTGTCAATACACAAAGAAATTCATTGTCTTGCATTTATGTTTGCACTAACTATGTAGGTCGTCTTAATGAGCAGTATTGTTAGTTTAACGAAGCTGTTTCAGTAAAACTACTGTTTTAGTGCAAAACATGCCTTTGTAATATTGTTATGTTAGTCCACAGAATGGTCTGAAACAATCATGCTGCACGTACATAATAATATAATAGATGTGGTATTCTGATGACGGGATATGGGTCATTTGGGAGACATTCCCATAGACTTGTGCATAGAATTTGTCCATCTTTAATGACACCTAACCCCAATTTTACCTTATCCTACCCCCATGAATTTTGGTATATTTATGTTTTGGACCACGAGCAATCAATCTAGTCTATTTGTGATCGTAAAATTTTGCCTCTAAATAGGAGCTGTGACATTAGGGAGACATTAAAATGTCTCCCTAATGTCCGATGTCTCCCTAAGGTATAATTAATGACAATAACATGTATCCCAAAGGTATCGTTGACAGGTATTCTATCAACTAAAAAAAAGTGATAGGAAACTTCAAAATGAAATTTTGATTCCACAGAAAAATAGACCCGAAGTAGGTTGAAGAGTCCAAGTTTGCAAAATATCTGGATATTTCAAAACCCTTTTAAATCACGCTAATAGTATATTTAAAAAAATGATTTTCGACCAGGAGCCAGTCTGCTCATGAGGCAGATCTGAGTGTGACCAAAATAAAAAACATTTTTTCAGAGGGTTCCAGACATCCCAAAACAGAAAAAAAATCTTTCTTTTTTTGGCTGTAAACAAACAACTAGAAAATTTATCGAGAAAATTGAATGTGTTGAAGAGCATGAAAAAAGCAACTTTTTAAGGTTTTTTTGTGGAGTTTAGTTTAGAAGCTATGTGAAGCTGTCAATGAGTAATGATTGGTTATGAAATATCCCATCATGCATTTGGGTACTCAGTTACCTGGCTCTCCATGGCGTTTCTCGTCTCAACGTCGGCCGGCACAAGCTTGAAGGTAATCGTTCCATCGGACGAGGTCTGCTCACAAAGTTCCCAAAAGAAGAAGAACAAAAAACTCACAATTAAATATATCCCATCTGAGAGATCCCTGTTTGCTATTTCCCAGGTTTGCAGCATTGCTAGTGTTGCCAGCATCCTGACTTGGGGCAAGATCCCTGGCTACATGGCACAATTACACAGGTTTATGGCTTCTGACTAGAGCACCCTTGAACAGACATACCTTGACAAAATGGGAAACCACCAACATAGGGCTGGATACATGTAGCTCAGCTGGTAAATTGCTGGTACGGTATTTCGGAGATCCCAGATTCAATTCCCACTCCAGATAATTCCTTTGTTCAACTTAAAATCATATTTTTATAATAACATATACACTACTGCATGGCTGCATGCGCTAACGCATTATTCGCTATATTCATAAATACCCAAGACAGTTTACCCATTCCTATTGGTCGAGTGCCCGTCACATGGCCGGTTTTATATGGTTGAAATACCGGCTGGCTGGTCTTAAACACTTTTCCAGTGTAACATGAAATTTGGACTCCTATGAAATCCTATGCCTTTTACCGTTTTTATTGGTGGAACGTTCACAATCCTCACGTAGGCAAGCACAAAACTACCAGTGAGTCAGCATTTAATTGTCCTACATGTAAATGCAACCTGCACGGGCACAGCTGCGTTCTGCGTCACGTTACGCAGTACGCGTGATATTACGCAGTACGCGTGATGCGCACGACAATCTCCGTATAAGGAGTTGTTTACAACTACTCGCGAGAGGGACCTACCATGTAGCTAGAGGGGTGTTTAAAAAAACATGAAAAAGGCATGTATAAATATGCCCTTGGCCGGTATTAAACACTATGTTTGAGTCTGGATGCTGATAATTACCCTCACTTTCGGCTCGAGTCATTATCAGCATCCAGACTCCAACTGGTCTTAAACATAGTGTTTAAAACCGGCCAAGCAAACATTTAAACAAGACAAATGTATTTGACTGAATTTTCTTTAATAAACACAAAAAATAAGAATTTTAAGTAGGATTTTATCTCATTTAACATCCAGGATAAGTTGCGTACAAATATTTGCAATAGGCCAATTGTATTGGGTATCAGTTGCAGGATTCTAAACAACTTCGCTGGAGTCTTCTTGTAATCAGTTTGTAAACGATGCTGATAACTTGAATGCAGGAAGCTGTTCCAAACCCTGCAACTAACACCTGATCCACTGGCCCTAAAGACCTAATGACGTCATGCTTTGTTTACATGTGCACTTTCCTATGAGAGTCCGGTGGGACACGTCTTAAGTCTTAGGTCTATTAGGTCTATTGTCTGCAACTTATTCCGGATATCTATCGAGATACCTCCTAAGTCATGGCTTACCAGGAGACTCACGACTTCATCGGGGTCTCTACCCCTCACGTCTACTCCATTCACCTCATGGACGACATCACCAACGTGAATCAAGCCTGCAAAGACAACAAGCATTTTACATTATTAAAGGTACATATACATGTACATCATACATGTTCATGTAGGATCGCGGTTTTTTTTGGAAAAACCTAACTATTTTTCAACTACTGCTCCAAATTTACCATTAATTCAGTTCAAATTTTGTTTGCTATCATGTTCACGAACGGGTGCAGGCCAGCTAGACTGGTACCCTTACCTTACAATTTTCCGGCATCTGTAAATTGATCCATTTTATATTTAGTGGAGTCAGGGAACCAGACTACTTGAACAGTTTTGTTTTTCTTGGTTTTTCCAGCATTTTCGAACACAAAACTTCAAACATGTGAGTGCAACAATATTTGATCTATTATACTAACCCCTCAAATAGTTCATTTCTGAAAATTACAGCAAAAGCCAATGATGTACATTCCCTTTAAGGAGGAAAATCCATGCTGAGAGTGAAGAAAGGCCAGCACCCTGAACAGTTGTTCACCCTCATACGGTATCGTTCTTAAGAAAACAATTGAAGGTGTCTTTTTTGGGGCTTACCACTTCTGTCTGCAGCACCACCGTGCATCACCCTTGCTATGACTACAGAGTTTAGTACATCATCCCACTTGATTGTAGCTCCCTGTAAATATGACAAATTGGGGGGGAAAACACATTTAAATGTATCACTAATAATTTTTTTTAAAAGAAATTGTCACACATAAAATGCGTAAGATACCGGTAGTAAAAAAAATTTCTACTGTTATATTGACCATTAAATAAGTGACCACTAAATTGACCATTAACCCCAACTCCCCAGGCATTTTTACTAGGATGCAACCTCAATCCTGCAATTTTTCAACTGCCTCTATGTAAAAATTGCAAACAGCCTCAATCCTTAAATATTTTCAGTTATTTCTTGAATGTGGTCCTTGGAGGGGTGACCACTGCCTCAATCCTACAAAATCCTCAAGCAATCACTGTCAATATGTTGAGGCACAGCCAGTGACATCCTGGAGCAGTGCAGAGGATTTCAAGTATAATCTACATGTAGGCCTAAATTTATGCACGGCTGAGCACCAACAACTCAAGGTCTGGCCTAAGACCTTGACACAGTGCATCCTCAAAAATCAGCCACACATTTTTGCCACAGCCTCAATCCTGCAAATTCCTCCATTTTGCAAAGAGGATTGGGGAGGACTTTGGAAAGTTAGGGTTAAATACATGTACATGTAAGTGCTTTATATCATATTTTCCTGTTCAAATTGATTTTATGAAAATGATTGTAAAAACAGGCAAATTAAGGTTTGAATTTATCGGAAAAAGACAACAAATTATTTATGCCCTTCATAATATTTCCACGATGTGGATGTTTGAAAAACGTGAAGATGTATAGTTTTCAGGTGGGTCATTTTAATGACAGGAGGTTGGGGACCTAGTGCACTATTCCTTGACTGCGCCGTGGGGTCAGGGTCAAAACGCTGCCCTGCAAAACATTTCCTTCCACGTTTCCTGACTTTCCCATCAGAAAACCACTCTCGTCTGTCATCTCGACACTTGGTTCTCTCACCATCTTCTCACAAGGAAGCCAGCCTGTTTGTAATTGCCAGCTTGACTAATGAGGACACGATTCAAAACAGGAGCAAACCTTTAAGCCCCAAATGCTGGCATGATTTTTTCTTCTGGTGTCCATCAACGAGCTGTCACTGTGTCACTGGGATGTTCCGTTAACTTGATTTGCAGGGAAAATGAAATGAAATGTAGAGTGGTTTGATTTTTTTCAAGAGTTCAGGTTCAAATTCAGATCCCCCCAAAAGTTACGATGGAGTTTGCAAATTAAAGTTCCTGTGCCTCTTTTGAAAATTAAAGCTACGTGCTAGAAATGGACTCGGAATTTAGAGAAAGAAAGAGGAATTGTATTCTTCAAACAAACAGCCTGGAAGGGACCTCAAGATGCGTAGTACACAAGTACTTTGCACATATCAAGGAAGTCAATGACTTCCAAGTTTCTGGGTCATGGGTCGGCTCCTCCAAGCAAGACATCCGCATTCGCAAAGGCCTTGCCTGGAAGGTTGTATTCATGGAATGAAGGAATGAAAACCATACGGAGCTCAAACATGTCAAGGGATGTCAAGCTCAGTTTCTTCCGGGCCACAGTGGAGTCCATCCTGCTGTACGGTTGCGAGTCCTGGACCTTACCCGGACCCTCCAAAAGTCCCTCGACAGGTGTTACACCAGAATGTTGAGGAATGTGGCAACGTTGACTGGAGAGACCAACTATCCAATGAGGCCTATGGCAAGCTACTGCGGATCTCAAAGAAAACCACATACAGGTGGATGGGCCCGGCAAGACACTGCCACAGGCATCCTGTGCTGCCGGCAAAGCAGCTGGTGCTGTGGGAACCGACCCATGGGGGCCGAGCTGAGGGGAGGACAGAGGACGAGCTACGTCAGTGTCCTAGAGAGGGATGCTGGGGTGGACACCACGGCAGAGCTCAGGCTGCCTGCATAATGGAAAAAGGAGACTGGAGTCCCCATAGGAGATCCCGCCTGCGGGCGACATACATGTAGTAGTATGAACAGTGTTCCCAAGCGTCTGTTGATGTCCAGGCCCCCCCCCCCCCAGACCACAGTAACACTACTGGAAATGGGTAAATTAACCACTGCATCCAGGAATTTTCCCCGAAAGATCATCAGCTTTATGGTTCCACTACAAACCCCATGAATAATGTATACATGTGATGTTATCTCCCCAACTCCTGCCCTGCATGATCTTTAAAGGTAATAGACGACATTTGCAACCATTAAAAAAACAAACTGCCAATAGATTATGAAATATATCGTACTTGATTGAAGTAACTAGCATCAAGTATCCTATGAAATCATTGAGCCTAGCAAGAAAAGAGGAAAACTACCATCATTTCTTCGCAATAGCGCTGACCATTCCGAGGAAAAAAACCACAAAACAATCCAGTCAATCCTGCTTAAAGGGAAAGTACAACATTTGCTTTTGCTGCAATTTTCAGAAATAATGGATATGGAGGATTAGTATGTTAAAGCAAATATTGTTAAAATGACTTGTTTCAGGTTTTGGGCTTGTAGATGCTGGAAAAACCAAGAAAACCATTCATGTTCTTATAGTCTGGTTCCCTGACCCCACTTTAGATAAAATGGAGAATTTACAGACTTTGGGGAATTGTAAGGTCAGAGAATCAGTCTAGCAGTCTTGTGCCCCTTCACAGTTGTGTAATCAATTGCAAAGAAAACGCGGAATAACTAATTATGAAAAATTAGGAGCAGTTTTTGAAAAAAGCCAGTTTTCTCCAACGCTGGTCGGCCAACCAGCGTTGGAAAAATACCATTTTTCTTGAAAATGTGAGCACACCAGGAGCCATGATTTTCAGGATGCTTTAGACTGTCATTCCCTAACAATCCAGTACGGTATTTTGTGACATTTGATCATTTCGTTTTGTGATGTTTGCAAATGTTGTATCTTCCCTTTAAGTAGGCACGATTCATTATGTATGTTTCATTTTCAAAGTTATCAAAAAATGTCTATATACTGAGCTACAACTTGATAGGTTATTAACCTGTTTCATATTTATTGTATTGTTGCCCCTTGAGATACATTTTTTGTTTTTTAGAAATCGTGTTCATTACCTTTACAAAACATAAACACACAATTCTTGGTAGAGCATCTGTAGTTAGTCAGTATGTGCGAGGCCGACCGTCACGGTGATCCAGCGTTCATGGTAACCGACTTGTGACTCAAGCCTCGGTTTCCTGAGCGTGGGTTATATACACAAATTACTCCAAATTGGACTGGACTAGTGCTAATCCACGTAGGATTAAGGGCTAAGCCAGAGAGCTTAATGGCAATCAGTGTCTGGTCTTGTGGTTAGGTGAGGGGGGGGGGGTAGGTTGAGGGCAAGTTGAGTGCCAAATCATACACAGGTGGATTTCTTGAACTGACTTACTGCTTTAAGATCGGCACTTGACTGGTCATCAATCGCTATGGAATGGGGGTGGGGGATCTGAGGAGTTGGGGTGGGGAGCAGGGAGGGGGAGGGGAGGGGGGCTAAGCTGGAGAGCCTAATGGCAATCAGTGTCTGGTCTTGTGGTTAGCTGAGGGGGGGGGGGTTAAGGGCAGGTTCGGTGCCAAATCATACACAGGTGGATTTCTTGAACTGACTTAATCCTTTAAGATCGGCACTTGACTGGTCATCAATCGCTATGGAATGGGGGGTTGGGGATCTCAGGAGTTGGGGTGGGGGATTTCAGGAGTTGGAGTGGGGAGGGGGGGGGGGGTTTGTGGTGCCTAACACAACACAGGTTGTTTTCTTGAACTGTCTTAATACTCTGAGAACCCCACAAGCCTGGTCATCAATCATGCTATTGATGGGGTAGGGGATGGGGGAGGGATGCCTAGATGTTTTTTTCCTGGGTTTTTTTTTTTGGGGGGGGGGGAGAGGTTGTTGTTTCTGTGCCAAGTCATACCAGGTTGGTTTCTTTCATGTCTTAATCCTTTGAGATCATCGCATTGCTGGTCATCAATCACTCGTCTGAGTTCACGTCAATGCCTTTTGTCTGGCCGCTTGTCTAGCCACTTTATAGCAGAAAAACACTGTTAAGCAAATAAAAATGATCTGACACAATCTGTTTACTTCAACCATGTTTGTGCTACAACCGGCGCAAGCATACAAAAATGCACTACTACACTTGTGTATCGTGAGATTTAAAACACTCAAATATCAGAAATTGTTTGGAGTGGACAAAAAAAGTGATTAATCGTAAAGAAAAAGCTACTATGATAGTTAGATTGCTGACATTTTTCTTATATTTCCCTTTTTTCCGTTAACAGGCAAATAAGACGAGAAACATTCCTCACTCAACAAGACTGCAGTCAAGAAAACCTGTTTGTAGAATGAAAGTTACATACATGCAGGGTGACCGTAAGGCCATGGCCAAAGTCCGCTAAATGCGCTTCAAAAATCTGTCAGATTTATCAAAAATCTGCCAAATTCCCCAGAATTACTCGAAATACACAATAAACACTTAAAATCGTATGCAGATGTTGTAGTATTGCCTTATTTAAGGTTCAAATTACATTACAAACGATCTATAGTCACATAAAGATGTTATGAAATTGCGTAAATTTCAGGCAAAACGCAGTTGCGCCACCACGAATTTCGGTTCCCAGTGAACCTCAGTCACCTAGACCACCCAACCTGTCCCATTGGCATTATGCAAGGATTTGTTTGAAAATATATTTTTTTTAAATTTAAACAAATGTATCATTTTTTTTTCAAATTTGCTATGTTTTTCTGTCAAATAACCATTTTTGCAGAATTCTGCCAGAAATCTGTCAAAAATATCCATTCTGTCAAATTTTCTGTCAAACTCGTTTTTTGAATAAAAAAATTTGCCAAAGTTAGCCGAAAATCGGATAAAACGGTCACCATGCATGCATACATGTAGGTCAATCTATATCTACGTGTACACGTCACAGTTAATTTAACTGCCCCTTTATCGGGCCAAAAAAACACCAAATTGCAGACGTCATTTGGGCTTGTTTTTTTGGACATTCAATATCTTTCTACACACGAAACTATGAATCATCCAAATTTTTTTCTTCAGTTTCTT